AATTATTATATTACCAAGATGAAAAAAATTTGAGTCGTACATTTTTTAAAATCATAATCCAAGTATGCTTAGTCCAGATTTCAGGCAAAAAAGTGTGAAAGTACAAAAAGATACAGGTCAAAAACTGTGGTCATTTTATAAAGTTAATATTAATATTTCATTTATGACGATAAACAAGGGAGAATATTTGTGTTTTTTAATTTGATCCTATCTTGATCCTGATCCTTAAATCATTGTTAACTATTACTTCGCGGATGTTGAATAGCCGATTCTTGTGTTGTTGGGTCGTGTGAGGGTTGCTTTCATTGAATGCCGCCTTTCCTTGTTGATCTTGTTTATCATATTTTTTGTATCAAAATACTGCATAACTGATTGTTTTAATGCATTGTCATATGAGAAAAATACTATGTTTCATGGCATTAACGACTTCTGTTTTACATGTAAATATGGCATATCTCACATTGACACAACTATTTAGATGATAAGATGTACTAAACATGCAGCAATTCCGTGTTGTCTTAAAACATCTCTATTTGTTTGGGGTTTTTTTGTTGCTGTTTTTTTAATTGATTTATCTTGTATTTTCTGTTTTCAAAATACAGACATAATTTGATGGGTTTTTTTATCTTCGTAATAAATATGTATAAAATTTCTACGACATTATTGTTTAATTGTGATTTTATTCATAACGAAAGCCTACAAGGCCGTGCAAAAGTGAGCGGTAGTAACGACTTAAGTAACAATTCAAAGTCCTCAGTATATCGCGTGAAAGGTCATAAAATGCAGAAAAGTGGTTATTTCTAATTCTAACACACCGCTTTTCCTATTGAAAATGAAAAAACCCCGAAATAAAATTATTTTAAAAATTTATACAAAACTTTATTTTTTTGGGCTCAAAAAATTTTTGGGTTTCATGGAGGAAAAATCAGGGGCTTTTAGCCATCCAACGCAAACATATTTTATCGAATAAAAATTACCGAGGATATTTTTTTCGTTCAACAAACATTACAAATAATTCAGCCGACCTGATTTAAGAAAAAATTCCATTTTTTTTCGATATTATTTTTTCTTAATTATTTTCTTGGAAGGGGGGAAAAAAAATGCCGCTTAGACTTTATTCCAATGCATTATGAATTCAAAAAAATTTCAACAGCAAGAAAATCTTTGCTCCATAAAAAAGGAATTTTTTAGGGCTGAGAAAAGGGTTCTGACAACAACCCCAAATCCACTGAAATTGAAATTAATTAAATTTTGGAAAAAAACTTTAAAGTAAGGGAATATTATTTAGAAAAAAACTTTTTAAGTACTAGATGATAAAATTTAAATTCCCAAACAAAAAACTTAAAACTCTCTTATTAAAAATAATGTTTTAAAAAGGGGAAAACTTTGTAAAGCTAAATTTACTCTATGTATTTTTCACACTTTTTAAAACGTATATTAAAGCGTTTACTTTCCCCAGATTCTGCTGTTTTTCATAAATTTTTTAAAAAAAGGGTATCTTACGTTTTAATATTGAAAAGTTATCAAAGAATGAAATTTTAAAAATTTATAAAATGGCACTTAAAACCCTATGAAAAATTACGTAATTAAGAGGTAAAAAATATCCCAAAAATAGCCCTTACTGCATGCGTTAGTAACTCAGTAGAAATATAATTATACATACTGAAAAATTCGGTCATAAATCGCATATAACATGTAAATTTTTACTAGAATTTTGAATCTACCTACCTTTCCTTAAATCTTAGTACAGTTTTCTCAGGTTTGAATTCATCGAAAAATTGTTTGCTCATCTGGAGGCGTGTAGCTTTAAATGATATTGTAAATTTTCAAACATTTGCGCCATTGTAACAAAAAGGTTTATAACCATAATATATACGTTGGGTATATTACTATATCATTATGCGGAGCAAATCTTAAAATCTGAAATTGTGAATTTTATTTCTGGAACAAATTAAATTTTCAGATACATGTTATTCAAAGTCAGTCAAAACACCATGTATTTCACTCATTCAATGTACAAATTATTCAAAGACACAATGAGGTGAAAAACATAAAAATACATTGAAGCTCAAACAGCAGTAAACAGAAGATAAGCTCATGATAACGAACTACTATTATCTAACATTAAATGTAAGAGTTCAGTGTTATTTGTGCAGTGTGGAGGCCATAGAAAAGTAAACGTCGCCCCGTACATATAATCAAAGATTTTATACTTTCGATCCTTGAAGATCGAGCGCGTCATTATTGTTGTGTGTACATGTACATGCTTATTGTATTTTAAGCTACTGCTATTTGACCCTTTACAACTTGGGTTGTTTAGTATTTTTACTTGAATACTTTAAAATCATCCTTAGGATATGGTGCCTGCTTTTTGACGTCTTATTGTGATATGCAGGCTTCATAACCTCTGATCCCCTTTGAAAATTCTATTTTGTTTGGTTCCGCGCATTGCTTTTTCGGAAAAGGGCATACGCTTTCTATTGCTTGGGGACCATACGCCGCATTTCATGGAATGGCGGGAAAGTATCACATTGAAGGTTATATGAACCTCTGTATGAACACACCTGCAAATGTTTCTAAATTAAAATTTCATCAATTTCGTGTCTGTTTACACCGTTGCTAGGGGGCGTAGACGGTAACTTGCATTTTCCAGTACCGTCCATGAACTATGGTGGCTGATTTGGTACACTTTTGTGCGTCGTGTTGTCACTAGCGACAGCACGACATAGCGCCATACGGCGCGTTGTCTGACTTTCGTCTTGTTTTCCTGTCGCTAACGATGCACGTCCAACGGCGCGTTGTCGTGCGGCATGTTGTAGCGATGTCACATTGTCGCTCAGCTCAAATCGAAGATTAGGCTATTTGTATATATATAAGCCAAGCGACAGGACGACATCACGACAACGCGCCGTTTGGCTTGCTTCGGTAGCGACAGGTCGACAAGACTACAATGCGGCAACGCGCCGTTTGCTAGCGACAGGACGCCAAGGCGATATCGATATAGGTTGTGTTATCGCTATCGACAACGCAACGGGCAAAGTGTACCAAATCAGCCACCATAATGAACAGGCTAAAAAACGAGCATGCAAGATTTTTGAGCGTTCTTTAGGGATTCCGTTTTTTTCTATTATGTATATTGTATACTTCAAGTATACCGGGCTGCGTTTATGTCTTAACCTTTCACCAATAAACCTAGATAAAATATATTCCCATTAATGATCAACAAAGTGAGATGTGATCTCAGGGAATTGTGGACAATGTTAAGCAGCACCTGAGTTTTCTCATAAAAAATGAAGCGACCAGCTGAACTCGCCAATAACTAAAAGTGAAACAATACAGATGAACTGACTTTATCATTCCTAAAATACATTATCATTTTGTTTTCTGCTTGAATAATAGATTTTATTAACCCACTTACTCATTTTTTATTTGAGTAACAATGCAAAACTTTCAAGAAAAATAAAACATTCTGTTTGTCCGCAGCTTTAAAAATACAAAAGTAAGTAGACCTACTTTGTATGTATAAGCATATATTATATTTTGAGAAATTTATTGAAAAGTATATTGTATTTTCATACACACGGTAATATTTGAATGTTCATGATCAAAGTGGTTTTTAAATTAGCCTTTAACCTGTTCAATTTCTTAAATGAACGTGTCCAACTTCTATTTTTGGCACAGTCATCTATCAATTTAGGATATGTTAAATCCAGGTCACATGTAATGGTACTGGTATAAAATCCAAATCTGTTCAGTATTTAAAGTGACATTATGTCCATTCCAAGATGTTTAATTTGTCACCTGTAAAACTACGCTTTAAGTTATCATCTTATGTCATGATTTTTTAAAGTCAAACTTGGCTCGGCGCCCGTCTGCATGGTCGATAATACTAGTCCTCATCGAGGTACTGCCTATGGTTATAACACGCGACTTAAAAAGGCTGCATATTCAACCAATATTTAGAGGACGCAATTGAAAGTGTCGCGTAACCCCTTGTGTTGGTGTGCATGAATTATGTTTGTGCCTTGTTATGTCTCATACCATATGTTATATGACAATGTACAAGTATGAACATTATGCTGAAATAAATTTGAGCCTCGCCATGACAAAACCAACATAATGCGTTTGCGACCAGCATGGATCCAGACCAGTCTGATACTAGTAATCCGCGCAGACTGATCAGGATCCATGCTGTTTGCTATCAGTTTCTCTACTTGTAATAGGGTTAGGAAGCGCAGGCTGGTCTGGATCCATGCTGGTCGCAAAAGCACTATGTTTGTTTTGTCATGACGCGGCTCATTTTATCTAGAGGCATTTTATTTATCACGACATGAACTGAAACGTTCAATGAAGAGGTTTCGTCGAAACTATTTTGAAGTATTATGGAATATGAATAGATTTTACAAAGTCAATGATTTACTTTCCCAGATAGTTTTGTCTCTTTCAAGATTATTCTATGAACTACAAGGTTTTTATTTTTAGAAAAGTTGTTCCAATAATGATTCTCTTTAATCATGGAAAGTTTAAGAAAATGTTCTTATTTAAATTCTCTTACTAGGAAATGTCGTTAAGAACGGTGTCAAAATCATTGACCCCGGAGTGAGACCAATTTTGATACTTTGTCCGTTGTTATAGAGATCCATTAGACAATGCTAAACACGAAACACCTCAGATGGAGACCTTTCGGTTAGACGAAGACAAATAGAATGTCTTTGTTTCTTTTTTAAACCTTTACGAAACTTTTGAAAATCAAGTGACCCCGATGCTAAGCCAATTGAGATCATGTGGCCATGATCTGAAAACTCTTGGTAGAGGTTTACTTCAAAAATGCAGCTCACTATTAATATAAATTTATTATATAAAAACTGTACGCTAGTGTTTGGTTGCACTTACAACTCGTTTAGACATTTATTCAATTACACAACTGTAAGTATTTTAAACTTGCAGCTTTATCTTAGTCAATTATGATCCTGTATGTTGTAATTATGGTTGTTAAAATTTATATACGTATATAATTATGCTTCTAAAACAATTTTCAAACATTGAAGAATATGTAAAATATATACTGCAAATATTTGTCTACATTATATGTATTTATTAAAATATAATTATGCATTCATTTCTTATTGAAAAATGTTGACAAAATATATTTCTAGTTACCTCCCTTTGTTACATGAAATGTAAATTCGGTAATATCCTTATAAATAATGCTTTTTGGGACTTACAATATTGATAAATCTTCATTTGAGCATTATATTTATGATATGAAAACACAGAATAATTGAGTTTCAGGATCTTTAACACAATTACAGCAATCTATCCATATCTATGCTACGTTTAGTAACCGGTAATACAATATGCTAGTTGTTAATACACTTGCAGCAACCGTCAAAGAAGAAGAAATCCGTCTCAGTGTCGTCTATATATTCGGCGTCATCAACACTGCCAATATGTGTCTTTAAAACAACGGCTGTGTGTAAATTGTTCTCCCTGTAACATGTACAGCCAGTGCATCCACTCACTTTTCTGAAACATAACAAAACAGCCTGTTTGTTTGAGAGTTAAAAATAAGTTGTTTTTTTTTAGAAGAAATATATTTAGCCACATTATTTTACTAAAATAGTTGAAAAGAACAGAATTATGAATTCAGAAAAAAATGTACGAATTTATTCTTTTTCTTTAGTTATCATGCAATGTTTACAAAGTAAGTTTCACAATATATCGTTTCCAGCGTAAAAAGTCGCATATAAATAAAATCTTAATTCATAGAACTATTTCCATTGAAAGTCATAGATATTAAAGTGACTGATATAGCTTTTATTTAAAGGCAAAGATTCATAAAAAATTACTGTAAGTGCCCTATAAGTATCAAATAAAATCAGTCGAAAAAAGCATTTTTTGTCCACTCAGTACTTACTGGCATCTATGCTCTGCAAAATATTGCATTGCTCCTTGTAGTTGTAGTAAAACACGTTCTACACCGAATACATTTGTTTTCTTTTTCGGAAAGGCGAACTTCACTGTACTGTTAATAGATAATTGATGAATATTTTTCTATATTATGAAATGAATATATATATGTATAGCAAATGATATAGAATTGCAGTGCTTTTAAACAAAATTTAGATTAAAAAATTATTTAATTAAATGAACTAATAATTGGTGTTGATGTTTAACCGTACAAAATACTTGAAGTTATGCACCAGTCAATTATAGCCCCGACCCCCATTCCCGAAGCATTTTGAGGCATTGCGCTGGAGGAGGGCGGTGATGAGCAGATTTCCATATTCCATCTGTCGACGCATTGTGGTGGTTTTGCTTTGACCTCAAAATGGCCCCTGGGAATGCGTATGTTAGCCTATCAGTAAAAGGGAAACTACACTATTTTGAAATGTTCTGTCAGTCTGTTTAGCCTAAAATGTGTTCAAAAGTGTTAATTACAAAAAAGAAGTTTGATAAAACGTTGCGTCAATCTTGTTTAACATCATGACCCGTGCCTACAAAAGTAGGTCAAAGAAACGTAAAACGTTAAAAGAAAATAAAAATGTCTTATGTAGCCACAGTCGCTCCAACACCGCCCTTTTTCAGCTGCTTAAATCTTCTTTTTTCTTATTTGCGGTTTCTTTTTCAGCTGTTTTAATAGTTCTTTCTGTAGCTTTTTTATTTGCCGTGGTTTTATTTTCAGCTGTTTAAATTGTTTTTTTCTTTTTCTTATTTGCGGTTTACTGTTACGTTGACTAACCATGCTATGCATTTCACCATATTCTAGTAAACAAATACTAATTTGAGACATAACCTTAGGGAGATCAAACAAATAAGTTTATCAAAACTGCAAAATATCTAAATAACATAAACCATATGTAATAGCTGAACGCTTACAGAAAAATAGAAATAGAAATAGCTTTCACTCTGCTTTTTCGCCAATGCTAAGGCCGCTGCTCGAAAGGAGCTATGTTATGCTGTACATAATTTTCGTCTTAAACGAAGGTACGCATTTCAAAAATTATGCCAGTCATATTCGCATAAACTGTCCTCAAATGAGATTTTTTGAACGTTGCGTCTAGTTAGACGATGATAAGAAAAAATGTAGGAGCATGTAACTCCGGCAAGGGTAGATCTTATCTTGATAGACCAATCGCAACTTTTCGGCCCTTTCCGTCAGTCTTCGGATAAGGATTATAGATAATAACCGAACACGTTCTGATTGCCAGATAGATGCCACGTTTAAATGCATGATTTAATAAATTCTATTTAGGAAAAGACTGTTGAAGTTTTTTGAAGTTCGACCTTATCATAGGAAAAAGTAGGGCGGAGGCTAATCTTACTTACGACACGCAGCATCCGTGGTAAACGCCCCTCGGATTCGCTTGTCTACGACGACGTCCTGGGACAGTTGTGGAATTGTCGAAACAGGAAAATGCACATGGTCCTCGAACAGATTCTGTTATGTTTCTAACAATAGTCCTATTTGTTATTCCTTCCATGTATTTTTGAAGAAATGTCGTTTGTTCTTTCTCTGATCTGAAGGTACTTGGATATGATTTGATGAGATTTTCTGCCGTAAGTTTCATCTTTTCTATCTCGTCAACATCCCTGAAAGAACATGATCACTTTAATCATGGCTTCTTGTTTATGCTTTTGTAATATATATCTACTGCCAAATTTTCATTTATTTAACGCTGGACGGAAACGTTCACGCTTTAAATTAAATTGATTATCAAGTATTAAAGCTGCATGCCCCTGTATCAGCCAAAATACTTAACAAAAATACAACCTTTGCGTTTGAAGAAAAGTATAAAGATTCAAGATTCAAGTATTAACTTAAATGTTTTGTGCGATTATTTACTGATATTGCAGTATTTATTACATATTTCTGCTTGGTGACTTACGCTGTAATGGTGCATATTTAACCTTTTGATTATTCACATATATTGTATGGGATGTAAAAGCTGTGATAACTTCAAAATAGTTTCTGACCTGTCCGATGTGGAGCAGCGATACGTTTGACCCCGGTTATATAGTTACCATCCGACTGGCATTAGCGTTGTTAGTTGTGGTGAGGTAGATCTTGCCAGCGACCCATTGGTATCTAAACCGGTGCGTACAAGCGGCCCATAAATAACTGAACCGGCACGTTACCACTGGACCACATATCCATTATAATCAATTGAGCAAACTATTTTACCTTGTTTCTCTCCAAATCAGTATAGCGAGTAGAGCCACGGTCACTACTGACAACACTGCGACCACACCTGTCTGAAAATAAAACAAAGACACCAACTAAAGAAACACCTGTTAAAATTTTCTTGTAAAGTAAATTCCTAATTTTAAGATTCATTTAGTTGTTATAATGTAAGGACATGTGACAAGTTTAAATTTATATAAGAAGGCAGACCATCAAGCAGATGGACAGGAGTATATTGAGCAGGTTTACTGGCGGGTTTCGGGCAAACAACCGGGTCTCGGGTAAATAGGCGGATTTCGGGCAAATAAACGGGTTTCAGATAGTTTGCTGGGTTTCGGGTAAATAGTCGGGTTTCGGGCAAACAACCGGGTTTCGGGTAAATAGGCGGGTTTCGGGCGAACAACCGGGTTTCGGGTAAATAGGCGGGTTTCGGGCAAACAACCGGGTTTCGGGTAAATAGGCGGGTTTCGGGCAAACAATTGGGTTTCGGGTAAATAGGCGGGTTTCGGGCAAACAACCGGGTTTCGGGTAAATAGGCGGATTTCGGACAGACAGGCGGGTTTCGAGCAAACAGAGCGGTTTTGAGCAAACAGGCAAGTCTCGAGTTGGCCGACACTCAGACAGGTAATTAAGATAAAAAAATATTTTAACCCGATTTGTATACGATAGCATGACAATTTTATAAAGTTTAATCATTGTAGAATGGACCTGGCTGCTGTCCGATATTGCAAAGCATGTTAAAACAAATTTTGATTATAACAACTGAAAATGGCGGCGAAATTATGAAAAAATGATAAACAGTCATGATCGCATAAAATCTACGAGCTAGCCATTCAGTGTTGGTTCTCTAAAAACCTATTAGTTACTTACAAGAATTCTCTGGCAACTGCAATCTGTCATTCTCTAATCGGCTAAAACATAAAATAAAACATTGTTATAAAACTGATACTGTAAAATGTAGGACTTTGTGCTTTAATACATATAAAAACAAATGGTCTTAAAAATATGCCCTTGCAATAGACAAAACTGTTTATTTGTTTAAAAACCTGTAAAATGTATAAACAAATTTTGCTTAAACCTTCGGCATTGATACGCAAGTGTTTGCAAAATTTCGACAAGGTGTTTATGCATATTCCAAACGGGGTTTAACATTCTACTGGTTTTCATTACATATGGGTGGTCATGAGTCGAAATCTTGTTTATTGTTTTTTACTTGTTCCTTTGTGATTTCATCTTAAAAGTTTAAGTTTAAATTGGAATTTCAGAGGGTGCTACGGCTAGACTCAAGGAGAGGTCAATTTTGAATCTCCAGCTCCGCGCATAAACTCACAGATCCGCGCATAAACCTACAGGTACGAAATGTAATGCATTGGAAAAGAATTCTGGTTGAGCAAAAAAATTAATGTAATTCATCTTTTTCTTAATATGCCTTAAAATCCTGTATGTTTTGTGATTGATATTGTTACTGTATGTGTATTTTGTTGTAGTTAAAGCTTAATGAGGGTCCATCCGCCCTTTCGGGCACAAAATGCAGCTTTCGCTGTCGGATTTGCGACCAGCATGGATCCAGACCAGCCTTCGCATCCACGCAGTCTGATCAGGATCCATGCTGTTCGCTATCAGTTTCTCTACATGTAATAGTGTTTGTAAGCGAACAGCATGGATCGCAAACCCATTATGTTGGTTTTGTCGTGACACGGCTCATTTAATGATTTTACTCACTCTGTTTTAATTTGTTTTTGTTTTTTTATTATTATTATTTTCCTTCAAAACAATTATTTTCAGTATGCAAAATGAGTCTTAATTTATTCTTTGGCTCTAATATCAGACTGACAATATGACATAAAAAGTGTTATAATTTCAATTCTGGATATATTTATTGGATTATATTTATTAATTTATCTTTTGTATTATGCATAGCTAGTCCATGTATTTCCGTTTTAAAGCGCCAGTTGATCTTAAAAAGCATTCTTAACGAAACATTTACTTAAAATATTTTCGGTTTTAATATGGATTACTATTTAAATGAAAATAAGAAGCAATAACTTATTTTTCATAATGAAACAGTCAATTTGATAAACTCGCTAAATGGGAAACGCCGCCACAACTACAAATCTAACAAGGAATACGTGTTAAGAGAACGTAACACTTAAATTCGGCGGCAAAAAGCGACATATACCTCCGAAAGAGGTAGCTCGGTTGTATATACCCGACGTGTTTTAGGGTTATGCGGATATTTGCCAAAACCCCAACCCCGACAGTGGCCCCCCCCCCCCCAACATTTGTCCCCCTTTTTGCAGTGGCTGACAATTGCCCCCTTATATCTTTGAAAAGGGGTGGACACTTGTCCCCCCCCACAACATTGCAAAATGACTGACATATGCCCCTCAACCCACCGTTTAAGTTAAAGAGACATGGCAAAGTTTGGTGATCAAAATCCATCCATTATTTTTTTTTTTTTTTTTTTTTTTTGTTTTTTTTTTTCAGTTGGAGATGGGTGTTCAAGGTTTTTCTATTTTTAGCTTTAGCGGCCCATCAAAAGAGGCCAATCAAATTAATATGAGCAAACTTGATGAAAGACTACCTACGAATGCTACAGACAAAGTTTGGTTGATCAATGTTATTCTAGTTTTAGCTTTTAAGTGGCCCTTAAAACAGGCCAGTCAAGTTAATATGAGCAAACTTGATAACACATTACCTAAGAATGCTACAGACAAAGTTTGGTGATTACCCATAAATCATTTTAGTACGAGATGATATTCAAAGGTTTATATATTTTTAGCTTTAGCAGCCCATAAAAGAGGCCAATCAAATTAATATTAACAAACTTGATAAAAGATTACCTAAGAATGCTACAGACAAAATTTGGTGATCATCCATCGATTACTTCTGTAGATGCAGACGTTTAAAGGGATTTCTACTTTTTATGCTTTAGCAGCCCCTTAAAGGGGACAATTTAAATCAATATGAGCAAACATGATAACAGACGACCTAAGAATGCTACAGACAAAGTTTGGTTGATCATCCGTCAATATTTTAGTAGTAGATGATGTTAAAAGGTTTTTCTATTTTGAGCTTTAGCAGTCCCTTAAAAAGGGCAATCAAATTAATGTGAGCAAACTTGATAAAAGACTACCTAATAATGCTACAGACAAAGTTTGGTTGATCATCCATCAATTATTTCAGTAGGAGATGATGTTCAAAGGTTTTTCTATTTTGAACTGTATCAGCCAGTAAAAGGGGTCAATCAAATTAATATGAGCAAACATAATAAAAGACTACCTAAAAATGGTAAAGACAAAATTAGGTGATCATCCATTAATCAGTTCTGTAGAAGCAGACGTTTAAAGGTATTTCTTTTAATAGCTTTAGTGGCCCCTAAAAAGGCCAATCAAATTAATATGAGCAAACATAATAAAAGACTACCTAAAAATGGTACAGACAAAATTAGGTGATCATCCATTTATCAGTTCTGTAGAAGGAGGCGTTTAAAGGTATTTTTAGCTTTAGTGGCCTCTAAAAGGGGCCAATCAAATTGATATGAGCAAACTTGATAACAGACTCCCTAAGAATGCTACAGACAAAGATTGGTGATCATCCATCTATTAGTTCTGTAGAAGAAGAATTTCTAAAGCTTTTTTCCATTTTTAGCTCTGGAGACCCCTTAAAGGGGCAAATAAAATTTAATACAAGACTACCTAAGAATGCTACAGACAATTTTGGTGATCATACATTATTTAATTTAGTTGTAAATGTTTAAAGGTTTTTCTATTTTTAGCTCTGTTGACCCTAAAAGGGGCTAATTGAAATGGCATGAGCACATTTGAGCGTGCCTGTCACAAGGATGCTACAGACCAAATTTGAGGTAAATCTGTCCAGTAGTTTCAGAGAAGAAGACGATTGTTGACGCATGACGACGGACACCGGAGTATCCCCCTTTGATCCCCCTTCGGTTCTGGTGAGCTAAAAAAGTCTTCCGAAATAGCCAATTTGCTACGATATTGGCTGATATAAGTTTTTGTTTTTGACTGGAAAGCATTACAGTAAGACTACCTTAATATAATATGATACGATATGATATATGATATGATATGATATGATATGATATGATATGATATAATATAATATAATATATATTAATATAATATGATATAATATGACATGCACTTGAGTACAAAAATTTTCATGCTTTGGTGAACATCATTTAATAGATAAACTATCAAATTAGATCTATCTTCGTATTATGTTTACTCCTTAATATGTGTTTTAAGCAAAAATAAATCAGTAACACATTTTAAATACTTTTCCAAGCGTAACAATCAATTTAAGTAGAAAGTACCGGGAAGTCGGTGGTACATTGATCATCATTTGCTAAATACGTCATTTTGTTACAAATCTTTGCTAACCAATCGAAATAAAGAGTCGCCGGCAGGGAAAATGACTCGACTTAAAGTATCCTGCTTTATAACTGTTTTTAACGTTTATAGACAGTATAATTCCAAGAAAATTAAACTGTTTAAAGCTAATTATTTTTTTACTTAGAAATGAAATATTGAGAAATATTGATGAAATAAAATACGTATTTTCATTTTCTATTTTTTTTATCGTATTTTCACTGGTGTCTTGCCAGAATAATTTCTTTCAAATTCAGTAAATACACAAAACTAAAATTAAAAAGGAATTCTTTAAAAAAGGAGAAAAAACATATAATAAACAGAAAATTCAAGTTTTTTCTTTTGATACAGGTTCATTTTTCATCTTGTGGTATGAAAATTATTATATTTCACTCGTGACTACTGCCACTCGTGAAATATTTATTTTCTATATCACGTAATGAAAATAAATCCTGTATTTATAGAAAAGACTTGATCAATTTAAAAAAAAAAAGAACAACACGCACGCACGCACACACGCACACACACACACACACACACACCAAAAACAAAACAAAAACAACATGAGAACCTTTGAAAGAACCATGTTTGATTTTTTTCCCTTAAAGCTACATGCCTCCAGATTAGCCAAAATATTTCAATAAAATCAAACTTGAAATAAAATGTACTAAGATTTTTAGGAAAAGTAAACAGATTCAAGATTCATTTTTCAAATGTCATGTGCGATTAATGACTGATTTTTTATTATTTATATCTACATGTATATTTGTACTGCGTTACTAACGCAGTAAAAGTTTTTTTTGCATATTTTGACCTCTGTTTGGTCATTAACGTGGGCTGCAAGTGCCATTTATAATGTGTAAATTGCTTCCTTTTGGTTACTTTACTATATTATTCTTTTAAATACATTTTCAGAATGTTTATGAAAATTAGCATGAACCAAGAGGCATGTTGTTTTAACAGCGAATGGTGCATGCATGAAATGACTGCTAAAGGTAAACCCCCTATCTTATCATAAAGCAGCATAATACATATTACTCTGCGTTATATACGGTTTTCATGTATGTGTTAAAATAACTTTCAATGCTACAACTCAACATCAGTTTACCATTTATAAAGGTTTAATAAATATCATCATTCTTTAAAAAGTGAGTTTTAGGTGCTAAATTAAACTTTAATGATTAAGCTTGCCTTACATATTGCATTATGTGTCAAAAACTAATTCATAGTACATTTGTCATCGCCTCTTGCTTAAAATCTGGTAGTTTTGAGTAAAATTTTCAAATTATTTGCCAATTCGCAAGTATTGACCTGTTTATTTCAAGCCTTCATCCTTGCCATACATGATTACCTATTTATAATGCAAACTAACAAACATAAAGCCCCGGCTAACAAATTTATACCCGATTTTTCAAATGTCCCGGAGTTCTTGTGATAACTCAAAATATGTCCTGGAGTTCTTATGATAACTTTAGTTACTGCCAATGTGTTTCTTGCCTAAATCACTTTTAACAATGAAAAGTACCATTTTTGACGAGTGTTTTCGCAGTATATACAATAGTTTTCTGACGAACTCTTTGACAGTTATCACAAGAACTCCTTGACAAGTTATCATAAGAACTCCATCCCTCGTGTAACACTTCCTCCCCCGGGATCTTGTCGCTGGCGAAACACGCCAAACGGCGCGTTGTCGCACTGTCATCTTGTAGTCCTGTCGCTAACCCCAAACGCGACAAATCACAACAACACGCCAAACGACAACGTGTCGTTTGGCGTGCATCGTTAGCGACAGGACGACAAGACGAAAGTCCGACAAAGCGCACATAAATGTTCCAAAACAGCCACCATAGCCTCGGAACGTTGCCCCCTCTAACATGTCGCACAGTGTTGAAGATCTGCTGACGTCAGTACTTTATAACAGAGATTTTGGTTAGCAAGACAGCGGTCAAACATCAGTACATTTTAGATGTCAACATGGATGTTTACCAGTCACGTCATCTGTTGTTTGATAGCAATCGACAGACAACGGACTATGTTATGCTCTAGTCAGATGTAGATTGTGTATGTGTATTTATTGTGTTGGGCATACCAAAGGACCGCTAACATAGACGTCTCTGTGTAAGACGTCTTATAAATCCAATTCATTGGGAACAACGGTGTTTTCACATGATCAACCAAGAATGACTGGTTTCAAATATCATAACAAATTTGCCTTTTGAAAATGTAACATGATATTCCCCTGCCATACAAACAAATGATGCAACATTTCATTCTTAACAGTGCGACAAAACCTCGGCAGAACTTTTCATTGATATGAGGGTTGAATAATAAAACTGAAAATAAACATCTCTCAAAAAAGTTTAAATTAAGAAGAAAAAAGAATGGAAAATGCTTCATTATAAGCGTTACTAACGGCATACTTTTTTATCTTCTTGTTCAAAGGGGTAAATACTGCCAGCGGAATAAATATGTATGTACATGTAAGTATGTAAGCCCGTCCGTGTTGTAAATTCATAAATGATACATCAAACGCTTTAAATGAAAATCAACATACCTTAATTTATTTAAAGTCCCAATCCCTGTATACACAATGTCTGAATTGTATGTAAACACTACAGCGTGTGACGCTTAAATAAATGCATCATATCATATATGAGCAGTCTTAAATCAGTTTGAATCATACTTTCCCGAAGGTACGTATCGTACACTTTCAATTTAAACCCTGTTTTTTTTTCTCACAATTTTTACAAAAATAAAACGAGTAATAAAAGATAACCTAGGACAGCTGAGTGGAAAAGATTTTGCTTCGTCTTGTAGTACAAATGTTGTTTTCAAGAGTGTTTTAACATAATTTTGATATACATGTTTTCGTGTATAATATGTCGTAGTAAATACGAGAATACGAATCAATGTAATCATTAAAGTATATGTATGATTTAAAAAGTAAGTGGGAGTAAGGGTATGTGGTTATTCTAACTTCAATTTGTGTTTAAAGGGCATTTATGTTGTTGTTTTTTTGTTTTGTGTTTTTGTTGTTGTTTTTTTTTAACATAGTGAGACTGGAAATATTTTTTTCCAGAATAATTATTTTATTGTGCAAAATTACCCAACATAAAAGCGTTGCAACGCTTTTGAGTAAAATCCGACTAAGAATCGTATATTTCTTTGTTTTGTTTTCTTTCTTATGTGTACCATTTAAAATCGCAAATGATAATTTTCAGCTATTTTTATCTTCTTTTTTTTAATTCTTAAAGAACATATGTTGACAACATCGACATGGTTTCATTTTACTATGTTTCATTTAATTGTTTTTATCACAGGTGGCAGTATCAGTGTTTGGCCACCAAATACAAAACCACCGATAAAAAAATTAAAAAAATATATAAAAAAATCCACTATTATAACTATATTTATAATCTATAGAAAGGTGAAAAGTCCACTATATGCTTTTTTGCCAAACAATGTGGAACACTGATTGGACGATTCAATTTGTTTGTGCCTGGCGTCTATCGTCCAATCAGATCGCGTGTTACAACGCATGCATCATACTCCAAGATGGCTGCGAAAAATAAAAAATACCGGGAAACAGAAACAGATCGATAGAATATTGATATTCTTAATTTAGACTTGAATTAGGTAGACTGTGGAATTCTAGTTTTTTTATTGGTGTTAATGAATGAGTCGACAAAACGAGGATATCCCGTGTTCCACATTGTTTGGCAAATGAGCTTATAGTAGACTTTCCACTTTTTTTAGTTTTGAAAGTGGATTTTAATAATCGATGGTTTTGTTTTGGTGTTCATACACTGATACTGCCACCTGTGTTTTTATGCTTTGCTTACATTGTTGTTTTTTTTTACATTTGTAAGATATCAATACAAGTTTATGAAACTGTTAAGAGTAGTGGAAGAGAATAACGTTGTAAAACAAATCGCCGTGTACATAGCTTAGTGAGGTTGTTTAAGGATGAATGGGTCGCACGCTCCAATACGTTTGCAATGAATTAATAATGGGTAACCGCCAGATTTGTTATTTATTTAGCGTAGGCTGCCCAAGCGATAGTTTAAGTTGTTGAAAAATGTTAAAATTGAATACCTGGTCAAGATAACCACGGTGTTCATTCACTTCGCGAGTCAATTGACGAACGCCCGTGTGCATATTTTCCAATTATTTATCAAGTTGTTTGAACTTTCATACAAGATATTCCTATCCACCGTGTCTATCCAGTAACGCAGGAATGTGCAAATAACGCAGGAATTGTGCAAAAGTAAGTTCAGTGGCTAAAACGAGCACCGCCATACAATGCCATAAGTTAATGGACTTATATTTTTTATTGTACACCAAATTGGAAGAAATAAATGAGCGCTTACGATTGATTCAAGATCTTACCTACTTGTAACTAATGTATTGATGGCGACTTTTTGTTTCGTTGATATCTTAAAATACAATAACGTACTTATGTTACTTTACGATTTTTTTATATTCGGTGTACCTGAGACATTTTCCAACCTACTCGGGTCATATTACGATGTAACGCCGAATTCGAGATAAATCTTATTTTACCAGCTTCCTTCTATTGTAGTACGACACTTGTAGTTAAACAAATGTTTAAGGTATACAGAATATGAAAAACAATGTTTTAAATGTACATATTTATTTGACGAAACACAAAAGTCACCTCAAAACGGTACTCACGAATGATCTAAAAAAGTAAGTATGTCGTAGCAGGCGTATGCGCTAATTTATTTCTTTAAATTTGATTGCTAATAAAATATTTTGATTCGTTTATTTGCTGTCTTATTAATTTCGACAATAGGGTTGCACAGATTCTGCGTAACTGTTGCGTTATTTGCACATTCCTGCGTTACTGGATATCGAACTGTGTATGATAATGCAATAATTAAAACAGTGCTTTGCTAGAGTCAATCTGCTTGACAGTAATTTGCTAGAGTCAGTCGGCTTAACAGTAACTTGATGGGGTCAGTCGGCTTGACAGTATTTTGCTGTAGTCGGTCTGCTTGACAGAAATTTGCTGGGGTCGAATCAGTTTTGAGTGCAAATTCTTTTGCTTTTCAGTTTTCTCATTTATGCAAACAGACAGTCACGTGATATACAAGAATGTAACTATCAGTTTATTAACATATGATTTTACTCATTTGGGAGAAGTAAAATAAAATAAAAGCCAATAATTATTTTAGCTATGATTTTATTACATGTATTGACACACTTAAATTCTGAAAGCATAAAAAATATACATGAATGTCACAAACTATAAATATCTCTATTTTGTCATGTGCAACATGGTTCCTACAAAACAAGCAACATGCGTGCATACTTAACACAGTGATTTCATTTAAAATATGAATAATTATAATAAAAGGTAATGCCTTTTATTTGCTATACATGTACAAACAGTTAAAAAAAAAGATAACTAAATTTTATTCCACATAAAACTGTACAATATGGGAATATATTTGAAAGTCCAATATGAATTCTCCAGCTATGTGCTAGTCCAAATATATCCCGTATTGTACAAAACAATGCTATATAACTTATTTATTCTAGAACATCAGAACTTTGCTGTAAGCTAAAGGATGTTCTTTCTGGTTGTTTTCGTTTCTTGCAAGACACCTTTCACGCTCTAAAATCTAAATATTTTGTCCTATTTGGATACCCTGTTAACAGAGTTTGACCATCCACACTAAAGATTATGGGCACACAACTGTCTGACATAGGATAAACCTTATGCTACAATGTCCAATATTGGTCGATCAGATTACAGTTCAAAGCAATTGGCTATAAATAATTAATAGTATATACCATCATATTAAACTTTAGGGGGATGCTTTATATCTAGCTTAGTAAGCAATATATCTTGACCAATTAATAACCCATATAGTGAAAGTTACCAATAACCAATAAAGTGTGATAGATAGGGTGAAGTAACCAATAATCCATATAGTGTGAAAGAGAAGGTCAAGTTACCAATAACCCATATAGTGTGATAAACAGGGTCAAGTAACCAATAACCCATATCGTGTGACAGATAGGGTCAAAGTAACAAATAGCCCGTATATAGTGTGATAGATAGGGTCAAAGTAACCAATAACCCATATAGTGTGAAAGAGAGGGTCAAGTAACCAATCATAACCAATAACCAAGACTATGTACATCACAGATAACAAAAACCCTTTCAAATATTCAATCCCCCCCCCTTTTTTGGTTTAAGAACCTTATGTTTGCAAATTAAACAAGAGGGCCATGATGGCCCTGAGGTCGCTCACCTGTATATAGGCCCCCCCCCCCAGGGCCAATTTTTACCCAAGGGCTTTTATTTGTTTATTTGAACAGACTTGGTAGACACCCATAAGAAAATGTTTCATGCTAAACATCTAAGTTCTAGCTCATTGGGTTTTTTAAAAGAAGATTTTTTAAGTTTTTACTATACACATACAGTAAAAAACAATGACACCCCTGGGGCAGGGCCAGTTTTGACCCCCGGGCTTTTATTTGAACAAACTTTGTAGAAATTTACTAAAAGATGTTTCATGCTTAATATCTAAACTCTAGCTATATGGGTTTTTTCAAAGAAGATTTTTAAGTTTTTGCTATACACAAAAAAGGAAAATCAATGACCCCCGGGGCAGGGCCAATTTTGACCCTGGGGCTTTTATTTGAACAAACTTTGTAGACACTGATTAGAAGATGTTTCATACTTAATATCTAAACTCTAGCTATATGGGTTTTTTCAAAGAAGATTTTTAAGTTTTTGCCATACACATATAAGGAAAATCAATGACCCCCGGGGCGGGGCCAATTTTGACCCCAGGGCTTTTATTTGAACAAATTTGGTAGACACCCATTAGAACATGTTTCATGCTAAATATCTTAGCTCTAGCTCTTTGGGTTCTTTAAAAGAAGATTTTTTTAAGTTTTTACTATATGCATATAGGGAAAATCTATGACCCCCTGGGGCGGGGCCAATTTGGACCTCAGGGCTTTTATTTGAACAAACTCGGTAGACACTCACTAGAAGATGTTTAATACCAAATATCTTAGCTCTAGCTCTTTGGGTTCTTTAAAAGAAGATTTTTTAAGTTTTTACTATATGCATATAGGGAAAATCTATGACCCCCTGGGGCGGGGCCAATTTTGACCCCAAGGCTTTTATTTGAACAAAATTGGTAGACACTCATTAGAAGATGTTTCATGCCAAACATCTTAGCTCTAGCTCTTTGGGTTCTTTAAAAGAAGATTTTTTAAGTTTTTACTATATGCATATAGGGAAAATCAATGACCCCCTGGGGCGGGGCCAATTTTGACCCCAGGGCTTTTATTTGAACAAACTTGGTAGACACTCACTAGAAAATGTTTCATGCCAAATATCTTAGCTCTAGCTCTTAGGGTTGTTTAAAAGAAGATATTTAAAGATTTTTCTTTCGGTTGCCATGGCAACCAGAGTTCTGCATGGAATTAAATTCTTTGAACAATTTTAAAAGGTGACCACCAAAGGAACATTCCTGTGAAGTTTGGATGAAATTGGCTCAGTGGTTTATGAGATGTCATTTAAAGCAAAAGTTTACGGACGGACGCCGGACGGACGAAAAGCGATAACAAAAGCTCACCCTGTCACTTTGTGACAGGTGAGCTAAAAAAATAGCAAAACTTAACCACTAAGAGTAGCCACATTATGGCAGCTTTGTCATTTTAATCTATTTTTAGAAATGTACTATGAACTGGCCAATCAGAATCCAGAATAGTTACTATGAAATGAACAACCTGATATAAATCAAAATGTAATTCTTAAATCAACTTTGCTGATGTACATAGCTCAAGAACAAAATCTTAATCAACTAAATACATTTTTTGGGTTTGCAGTCACTTACAGGCAAATCTTTATCTTTAACTTTGTTGAAACATTTTTTTTGATTGTGAGAAAAATCTTGTAGCGTATGTGGACCTTTTTAGCTTCTTGGAACTAACCACTACTGGTGTCATATAAAGCAAGATGGTCGAGACCCATGTAAGACTCCAACCCTAAGAAGGACTCGAACCCTTATTAATAAGGAGGACCCAAATCTTAAGGACTTGAACCCTAAGAAGGACTTGACCTCATAAGAAGGACTCGAAACTTAAAGACTCAAACCTAAAGGACACAAACTCTAAGGACTCAAACATGAATAACTCGAACCCTAAGGACTCAAAGCCTAAGTAGATTTCGAACCTTAAGATGGACTCAAACCCTAAAAAGGACTAGAACCTTAAAGACTCAAACCCACAATCCCCTTGGTTGATAGACAGACACCTTAATCACTTTACAATGTAAGTAACTATCTTTTTTATATTAGTACTGGACATCTAATGGTGCCTAGGCCAGAAACCTCCAACATGCCCTGAACTAGTGTATAATATTTGATAATGTACACTTTACTAGACAATTATACAAAAATAAATCACACCAAAAAAAAATATAAATTTTACAGGTTTGACCAGTCACGCTACAGTGATAAGCCTTTTTTATCAGTATAGAGCCTGGCAAGCCTGGAAACACAAGCAGTCTGGCCTTGCTTTATACTATTGGCAAAGAAACTTTTTATTTATTGATATCCTATGAACTGATAATGGGCATTTCCAAAAATGGAAGCTGAACATGTCCATTTAGGAAATTTTATAGGTTAACTGTACACATGGCATTCTTTCAAACTATTATAATACACTTAACAGAAAGCATTAAGTATGAAAAAAATGTTCATAAAAATCTACATAAACAAATGTAATAAATAAAACTTGAAAGACGTAACATGAACAAATAGAGAACAAAATACACAAATTTTTTTTTTGGAACAACATACGTATTATATAAGTATACGACTATAGTCACTCATACCAAGAAAATAATTTTATAAAATCCCCTACTCTGACCCTCAAAGAAAATAAAAATTATTTAGTAAATACTGAGGAAAGCCTGTAACACTTATATATAATAAAATATACATGTAGGAGAGATTTTTTTATTATTATTCTAGTTGTAAGTAAATGGATTAAGCACACCCATTTTCTTTAGGAAGAGAACTGTTCTAGTTTTAAGTAAAATAATCAAGCACACTTTTAGGTGATGTAAGTAAATAAAACAAGCACATCTATTTTTCAGGGGTGAGAACTGTTCTAGTTTTGATTTAGAAAAAATCAAGCACACTTTTGTAAGTCAAATCTAATCTCATATGCAGTGATCTCCCCTTATCAGTACAGAGATCTCTGCCATCACAAACATTTTTATCAATATTTTGATATCTTATATTTTTTAGCTTTGGAATTTATTTTTCATTATTTTGTACACTTTTGACAATTTTTTGATAAATATAATGAACGTAGGTACGAAAAGTTAAAAATAGAACAGAAAGAGAAACATGACGTTAGGAATTTCTATGTAACAGTCAATATTTACATTTGAATTATGACGTTACGTCATGTGACTTTCATCATCATGTGACGTCTGCGAAGGCAGTGATTACAAATCTGCAAAAGGGAGGTAATCACTGAGAGGAGTTTGAGTCAAATCACAGCACTTAGAATCATACAGACAAACACAAACAATATATTAAGCTTAAAAACATAACATATCACAATAGTTAACTAGATAATTACAATGGTGTCCATGGGACAAAGTACGTGGACCTCTCCATCCTTACCCATTGCCTGAGGGTATAATGTCAGTCAAGGGCTATGTGTTTAGTGTAACTTAAAGAAATAACATGCGGAGAACAAACTTTGTCCCATCCAGGTTTATATGTCTGAGAGAAATTCCAAAAATTCAATGAGAAAAAGTTTTAGATTTTTAAAGTAATCAACTTTAATGAAACTAATATTAATATCAGTAGACAGACAAAAGGAAAACTAAGAGTGGCACAATAAAAAATCAATAAGCTTCTTGAATGGGGGCAACTTACTGTATCTGTATCTTGCACGCATAATCCTCTAAAATCTAAAATGACTAATACACTTCTTGATATGGCTGACCAGTGGTGAGTGTAAATAAACTCAAATACAAATACGTTGAAGTTAATATTTAACAGTTGGTTGTATCAAATCTTTAAGAATGCATCAATGTGCATGGTTAGTACAGCTCTTAACATATTATATAGTAAAACATTATACATGCTGTATACAGTTCATTATCTGATATTAAATTACAAAAATACATCCCCATTATCTCATGTGTTATAAATATATTAAAACAAATCATCTACAACAAAAAAAAAATATTGCACGTAATACCTATAACAATTGCCATACAAGGGTTTTTAAATCATGGACATTTGACCCCAGGATGTTTGCCCCCTTTTGTTTGCAAGAGCAGACAGTTGGCCCCCATGATGTTTTGAAAGGGCAGACATTTGCCGTTCTGAATTTTCTGAAGGGGGGGGGGGGGAAATGTTGTTCCCCGGTATGAAATAGTTTTAAGGGCGAACTTTAGGACTTTACTGCCTTTAGTATATTTTCAATCTTTACAATGCTTAAAGGAGCCATACTTCAGTCCAAAATTTGAAACTATATTCCATAGATCAACTGCAACACTTATTAATATTACTTAAAACTGAAAATAAAATGCACAAGATAATAGATAAATTTACTAAGAATCAAAATGAAAATCCATTCTTTGTGTTCGATTCTTAATCACCAAAAAATCATATCCTAACCGACACTCAACTACCATTCGCTAGCCATGGTCTTCATAGGGAAGAGTTACAAAGCGAAAACAATGATCTCGTTTAAATGAAATTGTGAAATGCATTTGCAGATTTTGAGCTTAAAATGTTCACCACCTTTTCAATTTCTGGAGACATTTTGCACAGTAAAAAATGATCATTCTAGAAAAAGTGAGTGAGTGAGCAAAGTATCTGAAATTTTTTTTCACGTTATTGGTCTAGACATTAATCATAGGCTACACAGATCTTGAGAAAGTACTTCAAGTCTTATCATGTAAAGATTAAAGGGACTCCACTGAGGTTTTTTGACATGACGGGACTGGAAATATTTTTTTGAGATTATTACTCCATCTGATGTAGGTCTATACCAACAATTTATGTGCAAAATTTCAGATCATTAGCTCGCTTCGTTTTTCCAGAATAATTGTTTTAATTGTCAAAAATGACCTAAAATTGAAAAGCGTTTAAACGCTTTTCACTCAAATCGGACTGAGAATAACACAAACATACGATTTTCAGTGTATTTCTAGGTATATTTCTTAATTATCTTTTGTATATATTTATGTTTTAGGTGCACCAGTTGATCTATGTGAGAAATTAAAATTTTATGGTTTTAGGCTTATGAACCTCAGTGGAGTTCCTTTTCAGTGGAACCCGATTGACAATTATGAGCTGTACACAAAATAACGGATAAATATCCAAGATATAATAACAAGAGCTGTCCGTAAGACAGCGCGCTCGACTTTTTTATTGCTTGCCAATAAAAAAAGTTTTTGCAGTAAAAGGCAATACAAGAATCTCTGTATTTTTAAAGTGAACAATGGCCATGAGCATTAAGATATTTAGTGAAGAATTATTTTACTGAATTGTGTGATACCCTTGAACACTGCAGCAAAGTTTGAAATGTTTAAGTCAAAAGAGGGCTGGTAAGAAAGAAAAAAAAACTGAGTTGAGCCTTAAATAAATTTAATAGTATTAAACCCACTTTGAGAGAATAAGGTATTTTTACGTCACTCAGAACACCTTGGTAAATGACATAATAACATAATTTTTCAAGAAATCTATGCCAAGGAAGCAGTATATTTTTTGTACAATCAGCATAATATATAGATTTGACTTTGTATGTGAAAGTATTATAGTTACCTTATAATACAAGTAATAGATAAATTTTATCAAGCTTTTTTAGATGTTGTCAGTTGGTCACAAGTGGATCTCTTTCACACAGGCTGTGGGTGACTGGTTACTTTTCGTGGGTCCACTATGTAGATAATGCGTTGTAAACTGATATTTGAATTACATGAAGGAAGTTCAATTCATTATTTAATGTCATGCTAAATGTTCATGAAATCGTGACATTGAGTATATTTTTACCAATTGGGGCATCTCGTTGAACACATTCATTCTCACTATCTTCGAATGCTCCTAATTTCTGTATGTAAGCACAGTGTAGCATCACGAAACTGAATATAAGTTATATGATTTACTGGTAAAATAACTAGTTGTTTGATACCCTTGAATATTACAGCAATGTTTATATGACATAATTTATGGTAAAGTGAACAAGTGGATAGGAATGAATTTTTTTAGATTTTTTAAGTTTTTTAGTGCTTGCCTATAATACAAAACATTGACAGTTAAGGGCCATAATTCAAATAAAATCTTTGACAGAATTACCTTCTCCTGGACATGTTTGGGAATCATGATTGTAAACAAGTATTCCAACTTTCAAATTAATATCTCAAACAGTTCAGTCAAAAAGTGGACTGGTACTAAAAACTTAACCAAGATTCTAAGTCGATAAAAGGCCTTAATTTTTAAAACAAATCCTTGACACAGTTACCTTCTCTTGCGTACAGATGGGGGTAATGATGTGAAATAGCATTAAAAGTTTCAAAGCAATATCTCAAAGGGTTAAGGCAATAAGTGGATTTTACCCATATTCAATGTATTTTCTAAGTCAAAAAGGGGCATAATTCTGTCAAAAACCTTGACAGAGTTATGTCCTCTTGTCTGTTGATGAAGGTCGTGATGGTAAACAAGTATGGTCAGTTTCAAAGCAATACCTCCAATGGTTTTGAAATAAAGTGAGGTGGTACAAAAAACTTAACCAAGCTCAATACACTTTCTAAGTCAAAAAAGGGCCATAATTCTGTCAAAAACCTTGACAGAGTTATGTACTCTTGTCTGTAGATGGAGGTTATGATGGTGAACAAGTATGGTAAGTTTCAAAGCCATACTTGTAATACTTCTGAAATAAAGTGGGGTGGTACGAAAAACTTAACCAAGGTGTGACGCCGACGCCGGGGCGAGTAGGATAGCTCCCCTTTTCATAGAAAAGTCGAGCTAAAAATCGCAGATATTAATAACATGTCAACAAAGGTACTAAAAGGTTCTATAAATATACAAAAAAGAATACCTTTAAATATTATATATACATACTGTGTAATTATTGTGGGAAACAAAATACAACTTTATAATTTTATTTGATATTCAAGAGAAGGCTAGTATTATATACATGTATGCCAGGGATCAACATAATATTCTTGTATAGGGATCAACATAATGTTATTGTATCAAATACATAGATAGTGAATAAAAATAAAATAGATTCTCATTAAAGCCAAAACTTTTTTTTAAGGGACAGTACAATCTTATGCACTAACTAATTAGACAGATATGCAATACAAACTCTTATATAAAGACCACCTGTGCTAGATCCACAAAATTACCTTTACTGACATGTGACAAAAATAGTTTTAATTCTGGAGTTAGTCATTTGATAGCAGGTATTAGACATTTGTTATCTTCCAATCTCATACAATCATACTCTAAGTGATGCCCTCTTACTATACACAAGTTTGTAGCGTACAGTTGCTGAACATAAAATGAATAGCCGATTGATTACCATATATTAATGAGCTTGATTGAAATTTGGTTTTACTCCGGATTTTTAACCTTTTAAGTGCTGGAACCTAAAGCATTAACCTTTTGCCACCAGTATAGAGCCAGGCCAGCCCGCACATTCATGCAGTCTGACCAGGTTCTATTATTTGGCTGAGAAAACTTTAAATACCTAAATTTGATAATGGACAGTCCCAAAAATGGAAGTGGGACAAGTCTACTTAAAATATTCATCATGTTCAGGGTTAATAATACAATAATGACAAAACGATACTGGTCCTTTACAAACATTACTTAAACTTCAAAAACTATTATAATCACAAACCCTGTACATAATTTTGACTAGCTTGGCTAGTTAAAGGAAATATTATTCTCATCACAAACTTCTTATAATATTATAAATCAAACAGTATTTGTAAACTTCTGGTTAATGGAAGCTTCAACATGTATTAACATTTTCATAACCCTTTGAAACAGACTATACAATTACACATTGCATATTCTTGTGAAACTGACTATAAATTTACATATTTCATAACCTTTTTGATACAGACTATAATTAAACTTCGAGTAAAACAATCATTTTCAAACAGACTATAGATTATAGCACAGTTCACAGAGTTCAAAAGAAATATATTATCAAATTCTCACAAAAAAAGCATAATTATATGAGAAAGCCCATACATAAAACAAAATTGAGCCGCGTCACAACAAAACCAACATAATGGGTTTGCGACCAGCATTGATCCAGACCAGCCTGCGCATCCGCGCAGTCTGATTAGGATCCATGCTGTTCGATTACAAACCCTATAACTAGAAGAGAAACTGATAGCGAACAGCTTGGATCCTGATCAGACTGTGTGGATGCGCAGGCTAGTCTGGATCCATGCGGGTCGCAAACCCATTATGTTGGTTTTGCCATGACGCGGCTCAACTGAATATAATCTCAAAAGCATATAACAACATAAAATGCCCTTATATAACTCATAATAATATTTTTTTTATCCCAAACTATTCTAAAACATTAAAGGAGATCCACTCAGGTCCAAAAGCCTAAAAACATAAAATTTTAATTTGTTATATAGATCTGCTGTGGCTGTTAAAACAATATGATTTTAGAAATACCACAGAAATAAAATAAAAATCTAATTTTTGTGCTATTTTTAGTTCAATTTGAGTGAAAACCATTGCAACGCTTTCTATTTTTGGTCATTTTTCACAATTAAAATAATTATTCTGGAAAAAACGAAGAAAGCAACTCCTTTGAAATTTTGCACACAAGTTATTGGTCTAGAATTTCAACAAATGGAACAGTAACCTTGGAAAGTTATTTTTAGTCGTGTCATGTCAAAAAACCTCAGTTGAGTCCCTTTAAAAGGACTTCACTGAGGCTTTAAGACAGGAACTGAAAATTTTTATTTTGAGACTTGTTAAGTTAACATTGACTTATAACTTGTGAACAAAATCTTAGATCATTCTCTTACTCGATCTTCAAAAAACAATACATTTTTAATGTGCAAAAACACCAGAATATGAAAAGCGTTTCAATGCTTTTCACCAAATCAGGCTAAGAAATGGTGCAAAAACTTGGATTTTCAATTCTTAATTTAATTCTCAGTATGCATATATTTCCTTTTTCTCTTTTGCAGATTTCCAAGTTTATGCATATCACTTAATCTATGCAATGATTTTATATTTTTGGCTTTTTAACCTCAGTGAAGCTCCTTTAAGATAAACATCCACAGAATTTAGGGTAATGTATGGTTAACATTCAGTTTCCTTCCTTCTTTATTATCTTATATCAATAAAGACTAGAAAAAAAATGCTTGAATGTAATTTTGTATAATATACATGAAGTGTTTTAAATATTTCGTTATTTAGTTTGGGCTTGCTATTTAGCAACCAATAAACCAAAGTTTTGTCAAATTGATCTCTCTATTTTTTTCATGAATTTATATATAAACATATACATATTAAAACAATAATATATTGGATTTCTACAAATTGCTTCAAACAAATGTAGATCTTGATTCAGTTTCCTCACTATGAGTTGATTCCCTTCCTATAGTTGTCTCCCTTGATCTATTATTAGTTTCCATGGAGATGACAGTTTGGTCAAAGTGAGATAAGGCCTCTGATTGGTCCAAATTTATCACACTGCTATCGTTGTTTCCCTCATTTCCTAAAGTCACACTTTCTTCTATATGTGTCTGAAGAGTTGTCTCCTCTTGGCTTAAACTAAGTCCACTAGGTGGCATCTCATCCACAGACGGTGAACCGTGGGAACTACTTTCTGTGGGACCGTCTGCAGTAACAGCAGACGCCTCTGATTGAGTATTAATTTCAAACCTAAGTCTATCTTGCATGTCCAATGTCATTTGAAGCAAGTTTTCAGTCATTTCTGATATAGAAATCTGATTGACCGTCTGGTTATTGTATCCAATCACATTCTCTAATTTTCCTTCGTCAGCCATGATAGGACTGTTTTCATTGGCTGAGTCGTCATGTTTGTAATACATATTCTGATTGGGTAAATCAGCATAAGAGCACCCATCAATACTTGAGTCGGTTTCGGGAGTTTCAGTTTTATTTTCTGTGATTGGTTGGGGTCTGTAGCCCCACACTTCACTAGAACTAGACTCTGAAAAATCTGATTCCGGACTAATGAGTGAAAACACTTTCTCATCTTCCCCAGGTGTGTTCGCAGCAAACAATCTCCCATTTCCACGTTGAATATTTTTAGACTTGTTCTTAGCAAGGTTACTCAGATCTTTTTTAGCAAAATGTCTCGTTTTGTCATCATCTTCTACTAAGATATTTGATACCGAAATGTCTTTGATTAAACCAAAAGCACTTCCAGCAGACGGGGCAGTTTCACTGCAAGCATTGTCTATCTTATCCATGTTTAATAATTTCTGCATGATTTGACCTTCTATTCTTATATCATCAATCCCTGTCTGGTTCTCAGCTTCATCAATTTTCCTAGACTGTGTCTCATCAATTTCTACACCACCACAAGCTCCCAAAGATTCTAGATCAACTCCATCAAAATTTAAACTTTCAAGATCCAGTCTACCCTGCGATGCTGCCCTCTGGTGGACATGTTTACTAGCAGACAATGGGGACATGGCTGGATTATTCTGACAACTGATGCAGTCTGGGTGATAGAGGTCTTCAACACTTTTATTAGGTACCCTGCTCACTACAGTAGACTGGTTTTCACCGAATCTGCTTACATTTTGGACTGGTTTTTCATCTGATAGTGGTTCGGGCAGACTGGCATTTGATAATTTTCTTTCTGTCTCATCTATATAAACAGAGAAAATGAAAAGAATGATACTTTTCTAGTTAAAGTCAACATCAGTAACATGTTCACTGCACAGCTTGAAGTACAGTCGAGACTGTCATATGCGACTTTCCAAGGGATCTTCAGAAAAAGGTCACATATGACAGGGAGTCTCTAAATACAGTCTCAAAGAAAATTAAATTTAAATACCATCTATCTGTCTATATACCATTGTGACTTAACATACATAACTGTGTGAAGGAATAATATCTAACCAATTGCAAATAAACATGGGTATTCGTAAATTTTTTTATGTAAATAAAATAAGAATCCATGTAAAACAAATATATATTAGCATGTATATCACATAAAATTTAATTTTATTTTTTGTATTAAGATTTAAATTGAATCTTTATGGTATAAATTAACTGGAATTTGATGCATTCAAATCCATACTTGTAAAAGTTAAACATATCCATATCCAAATCTTTTTCTGGTTTGGTATCAATATTTTTTCCGTATTAATTATGCAGCCATAGAAAGGTAAATTAAAAAAATGCTGCCTAAATATCTTCCGTTGGCACTCTATAATTAAAAAAAACATAATCCAGTTTACTCAGGTCATTACACACACCGATTGCATCATGCTTCCCATGAACAGACACTTAGTGACGTCACTCGATACCTGTATACATGTTAACTGTGTAATTGAGACAGAGGTGTGTAGACTTTGTTTGCTACTCAGTAGTACTGGATTATAATTGGACTTAATTATTTTGGCCCTCTGGGTGTTAAAATAGGTATTATTTATCTGATTAACGGACAATTAAAAGGTGTGAAAGTCGCTTGTCACATATGACGGGGAGTCGTTTAATTCAGACCATTTATATAGGAAAATACGTTGGGAGTACTGAAACAAGGTCGGATAAGACAGGGAGTCGTTTAAATCAGGGGGTCGCTAAGGCAGTCTCGACTGTACATGTATTGCAAGTTAACAGTGGTTTTTCTCATTTAATTGGGAAGAGGCCTTAGCCTCTTGATTTTAGGAAGAATCTTCACTATAATTGCTTACTTGGGTAGTTAAAAAGCTGTAGTAAGTTCAATATTTTGGAAACTTCATGAATTAAAAGGAAAAAGGCCTTTAATAGGCCTCTGTTACAAAGGTAAAATATCACTTGTTAACCAATGTAAAGGTCAATACCCGCCCCCACACCCAAAGTCCCTTTTTTTTTTAAGTATTATAGTACTATTCAGCCAAATTTTACAACTGCAGGGATATAATTTATAATGATGTGCATAACAAAATTATTTGGTGTGTGAATTCTTTCCAAACTGACTGACTGCAGTCCTGCCAGAGTTTGTGATATTTTGTATTTTTAGTATTTTGATATTGAAGTCCTTTACACCAGACAGTTTCAAAACAGAAACTGGATAAATCTAGTACACAAATATATAGTGGTAAAGAGTATATAATAAAATATTTAACTTCTTAACTACTGACTAAGTTGCATTTAACCTCACACTGTCATCAAGTTGCATTTACACTCACACGGTCACTTTGAAAAGGTTATATGGCACCTTTCCAGCTTCAATGGTGGAGGTTAGGCTGGGAAAAGACCTCAGGTGCTCCATGTGTGCCTTATTTCAAGAACAAATGAGCACTTGAGTAGAACCACAGACCTTCTGTATGCTAGCTGGATTATGGGATAGCTTCCTCACATGAAAGAATCCAAAGACCCTTGTGGGATTCACACCAACAGTTGTGAGAGGTAAGACATAGTGGTTTGAAGTCAGTCCTCAGAACCACTTTACCACAGAGGCTGATAAAAATAGCTAAATGTACAAAAAAACAACTCCCAAATAAATGGAAGATGTTATAATGTCACCTTCTGCTCCGAGAGATGATAGCTCTAGTAAACGTTTAATCTCAATATCGAGTCGCTCTGCTGGCGTATATATATCTTCTGCTTCAGTTGTATCTTTGACCTCAGTGACCTCTCCAGATGAAGTGAGGTCTGATCTGAAATTTCATTGGATAATTTTGTTTAATATTCTAACACTCTTCACATTGTTCCTCATTCAAACAGATGGGAGTGCTGATTGCATTATAACATGATATGAGCCGCATCATGACAAAACCAACATAGTGCGTTTGCGACCAGCATGGATCCAGACCAGCCTGCGCATCCTCATAGTCTGATCAGGATCCATGCTGTTCGCTTACCAACCCTATTACAAGTAGAGAAACTGATAGCGAACAGCATGGATCCTGATCAGACTGCGCGGATGCGCAGGCTGGTCTGGATCCATGCTGGTCGCAAACGCACTATGTTGGTTTTGTCATGACGCGGCTCATATGAACGGAATAAAAAAGGAATGCTTAAACTTCAAATGATGTCAGATACAACGTTAAAGGGACCGCACTGAGGTTTAAAAGCCTAAAAATATAACATTAGAATTCTTACATAACTGAGCTGGGGTACTTTAAATAGAAATATATGCAAAGATAGTTAAGAAATATACTTTGAAATAAATTGAAAATTGTATTTTTATGCTTTTCTCAGCCTGATTTGAGTGAAAAGTGTTTAAACGCTTTTCATTTTGGGTCATCTTTTTACAATTTGAAAAATTACTTTGGAAAAACAAAGTGCGCGATTCATATGAAATTTTGCACAAAGATTAGTGGTCTAACCCTACATCAAATGGTACATTTATCTGGAAAAAAAATATTTTCAGTCCCATCATGTCAAAAAACCTCAGTAAGTGGAGTCCCTTTAATAAGCCAAATGATGTCAGGAAAATTACTTCTACGCTTAATGAAGTTCAGCATATTTTTATTAATTCTCTTTTTATAAGCATGTTTAACACTAAACTTCAATAATGCTATAAAAAGATTCAGCTTTCACAATTTCAAAGTTTATGGTTTTAGGTTTATGGAACTCAGTGGAGATAATCTAATATCCAAGCAATATATATGTACATATTGATAAAGAGTTTTCGAGCTGAGTTAAAATGAAAATACTTGTTCACAATGATATTGCTCTTTAATATTGGAGGAATAAAAAGTATCTAAACTTTACCTGGAGTCATCGCTAATCACACCTTGTTCCTTCAGATATTGTAACCTTGACATTTCTAGAGCCCGTAAGAAATCCATCTGTTCGTCCAACTGAATATCAGTAAAATCTAAAAAATGTGAAAAAGTATGTTTGTTAAATATGCAAAATGTGAAAAATGAATTTGTTTAATCTACAAATTGTGAAAATCCTGTATGTTAACTTAACAAAATGTGAAAACTATATACGTCAACAAAATGTGAAAGAAATAGAGGATATTTGTTTGTTTTGCATGTAAGATTGAAATATAATTTCACTTAGTGAACACCAGATGCAATATTTTCACGAGTGGCGTGGCCACGAGTGAAAATATAATAGCTGGTGTTCATGAATGAAATATATTTCAATCTTATATGTAAAACAAATAAATTTTCTTTTTATTTTATGCTTTTTCAACGATTTTAAGTAATTTTTTACTGATTTTGCCGCGTAACGTCACGCATTCTCCTTTGTGAGGTCATATATATCATGACGTCACATCATCAGTTTTGAAATCTAGTTCTGTTGAATTTCTCTAATTTTGTTAAATTTCTAACATGATCTATGATGACATTGACTTTCCTTTCCTAAAGAAGCAAAATTTACGTATGACGGCATTTATTTCTGCCTGTTATTCCATTTAGTTATGATTTTCTGTTCATCCGCATTCAGATATAGTCCGGCTACAGTGAAAATTATATTTTATAAATTTCACTAGTGGTTTATCAGAATATAATCATCTGATATATTACAATAAAACACTGGAAAGCATGAAATAAATGTATGATAAATCTACAAAATGTGAAAAATATGTATGTTAAATGTAAAATATGTGTAATCTACTTTTAAATGTAAAAAATTTGTTCAGTATGTTAAAATCTACAAAATGTGAAAAATATGTACCGTATGTTACATTTTGTAAATCTACAAAATGAGAAAAATATGTACAGTACGTTTAATCTACAAAATGTGAAAAATTTACATGATTATTGTACAAAATGTGAAAAATGCACCAATAAAATCTATAAAATTCACTTCCATACAAAATACTAAATTACTTTAATTATACCAATTGCCAAAAGAGAAAAGGAACAAAATTTGGCCATTGAGTAAGTATTTGGAAACTAACAATATAAGTAAAAAATAATGAGTTAATCAGTTGTTACACTAAGGTGATGAGGAGTTAACCAGTTATTGCACTAAGACAATGGGGAGTTAGCAAGTTATTACACTAAAGTGATAACATGATCAGCAGGTTTAAATGGTTAAATATAGAATTTAAGCTAATAAAATGAAACATTATTACTTGTTGTAACCTCCTCCTTCCTCTGTTTATGAAGTCTTGAACATCGCAGACTGCAGAAATTATGTAATTCTCCCGTGCGCGGATTCTTAGCACGAGATCTTGAGCAGCCTTCACGATGGCAGTGGTCGGGAGAGATTTCTGAAGTAGGTGAATCTAAAATGAACAGAAGTTTACAATAAAAACAGGCATGTCAGATGTGGAACTAATAAAATGAGATCTGATATTGATCTTAGAGTATTTCTTTTTCACTTCTGAACCAGATATCTTCTCTTACTGTTTATTTTATGGATATAAAATTTATAAAACCAACACTTAAATTGAAGAAAAAGAATAAGAAAGTTTAGATGTAAAATTTAGAGGTAAACCCTCCTTGTAGGCAAGGATCAACTCTCCTTGTAGGTTAGGATAAACCCTTCTTGTAGGTTATGATAAACCCTCCTTGTAGGCAAGGGTAAACCCTCCTTGTAGGCAAGGATAAACCCTCCTTGTAGGTTATGGTAAACCCTTTTTGTAGGCAAAGATAAAGCCTCCTTGTAGGCAAACGTAAACCCTTTTTGTAGGCAAGGGTAAACCTTCCTCCTAGGAGAAACCCTCCTTGTAGAAGGATAAACCCTCCTTATTGGTACAGGTAAACCCTCCTTGTACGCAAAGGTCAAGGCTCCTTGTAGGTGAAAGGTAAACCCTCCTTGTAGACAAGGATAAACCTCCTTGTAGACAAGGATAAACTCTCCTTGTAGGCAAGGATAAACCCTCCTTGTAGACAAGGATAAACCCTCCTTGTAGACAAGGATAAACTCTCCTTGTAGGTTACGATAAACCCTCCTTGTAAGCATAAACTTGTTTTGTTGAAAACTCAAAGTTTACATAAATTTATGTTCAAACTAGAAATATCTGACTTATTATAATTTCTGTACTTACCCTGATTACTTGTTTTCTGTTTGCCATCGTCACTATCATCACTGTCCTCACTACTCGGCCAGTCCAGCAATGCTGCAACGTTTGTGTGACGTCCTGACGCATCGACAATCCATGGATTATCAGGGTCAAAGTCTTCTATAGAGGCGAGGATAGCCTTCCGAAGATCTTCCTGCAACAAGTATAAAGAAAGATACCAAATAACTTTCATGGGTTATTGGAAAACCACAATATCTGAATGATTATGTGCTATTCATTGCTGCAGAAAGAGTTTACAATGTCTATAGACAACTATAACAAACATCAAAAATCAAGTAACTGTTGCACATTTTAAAGTTCAAGTGCACAAAGAGATCAATTCTGAACCAAACATAACCCAAAATCTTATGTCAACCCTTATGAATTGCAGTCATTAATTGGCCCAAAAATCACTACAAAGTACATTTGTATCTCTAAATTACAAAAATGATAGCAAGTTTTTTTTTTCTCTAACTTTTAAAGTGTCAATTTTTTTCTTTTTGCTGTTTTATTTTGTATGTTCTGCCTTAACTGTTATTCTCACTTGAATAATCTTTGAACATTTACACCTTAAAATGCTTAAAGGAAGGACGGTTGCTAAAGTTGCCAAATGTTTTGTTCAAACCTTTGTGAACATTTTTATTATGTGTTATAAAATAAAACAACTCACATCCTCTGTATCCATACTGTATTTCCGTCTTTTTTTCCTCATACCTGGGGGCGTCTCTGGTGGTACGAGACCTTTCGATATGGCAGTGAGAAACTCAAGTCTCTTCCTGTGACAGATTTGTGACTGGTCTATGATCTTCTTTCGTGGTGTTCGTAAATACAGTCTATTTACCATCTGAGACAATATCTCCGTGCATTCTTCTAATTCCGTCTATAATGTGTGGAAGAAAAATTAGTCCAAAAAATAATGCTTTTATTTTTTATTTTCTTAAAAAAGTTTATTAAAAAGTTTTTATTCATTGTTCCTGTTAAATATTTTTAAATCTTCCAAGGTGTTCGTAAATACAGTCTATTTACCATCTGAGACAATATCTCTGTGCATTCTTCTAATTCCGTCTATGTGCGGAAGAAAAATTAACCTTTAAAGACCCATTAAGTGTAAAAAATGATTTGATTTTTTTCTTTCTTAAAAAGGTTTTATTTATTTTTTCCTTAGTTTATATCACAATTTTTGAAATTGTACTTATTGGTCCTATTAGCTTTTTTTAACCAGAAGTAAAGTTTATTGAATGAGATGAAGTGACCTCTAACTTCTGATTAAGGTTTGGTTTACAGACAAAGTGACTGACTAACAAAAATTTATACCACTTCTTCAAAAAGGGGGCAATCAGGATTTATTTTCCAGATTTGCATTTAAAATGCCAAGTAACTTTGATGCTAACTTTTTCCTTTACCTTCAACAAAAAGGGCAGAGAGTAAAAATATAACATAACAAAACAGAAAATTCTGTACAAACCTGCATGAATTCAAACACAATTTTACGATACGGTGGTCCGTCTAGATAGTAACCATACACATAACTATATTTTAATACCCTTCTTGCCTTTAGTAACTTGTTAATAGCTTCCTCTACAAACTTGGTCTCGTCTTTTGCAGTGGCTGTAAAAAACACAACAATTAAGTAAATGCGTATTGGAATTGAATGACAGTGACGTCAAAGGAAAATCCTTAAACTAGCAGCTCCATACAACCCAGCTTCATAAAATCTAATCGTTCGTTGCAATCTGTAGCTCTGGGAAAAGTTCTTCATTTCATGCAAACGTGAACAAGCAAAGCAACACTTAAAAAACTGAACACCTGCTGACACTTAAAACTTTTTTAGTCCAGGCAGCATAATATTGATTTAAAATAAACAATATATTTATTTTTTTTTTGGGGGGGGGGGGGGGCTTTAAAGTAACAGACACTGTTAAGGTCTTCTTTTTTTTTTAAAGCTATTGTGATGAAGGAAGACCTCAGATAACACTATGCCAATTATTTCAGGTACACAATATTGGCCACATTAATAGAACCACCAATGTTTCATAAGCTGGCTGGAATTCTGCAAAGCATCCTAGCATGTAAGAATTTAAAGTCACTACTGGGATTTGAACCCACATAACAGTGACTGGCAATTCAGTGTGGGTCAGTGACTGTGACGTCACCATTTGGGTTTCCTCTCCATTATGATTTTCATTAAAACTATTCATCTGATACTTTCATACTTTCCCCATCCACCATCCACCCCCTGTCCCCTCAAAAAACAACATACAATGCTATCACGGAATAATAGAAACAACCACTAAATTAACATACCTAAATCTGTGACTGCTTCAGCTAATTTGAGCATTTTTTCTTTGGCAGTTTTTAACAATGGTTCTTCCAGCTATAATATAATGTATAGAAACAAGGTTTTTATATAACTCAAAAAAAATAATAATATGTGTATTAATAATAAAATAGTGCTATTCATTAAAAATAACAAATTCAATTTGATTATTTTGACGCAAGTTAAAAATGACTCAAATCAGAAATCAAAAGATTCATTTAAATATAAGCATGTTAAATAATAAATGAGCCGCGTCACGACAAAACCAACATAGTGGGTTTGTGACCAGCATGGATCCAGACCTGCCTGCGCCTCCGCGCAGTCTGATCAGGATCCATGCTGTTCTTTATCAGTTTCTCTACTTGTAATACGGATTGTAAGCGAACAAAAGGATCCTGATCAGACTGCGCGAATGCTCAGACTGGTGACGTCACTCTTGACCCATGCTGGTCGCAAACGCATTACATTGGTTTTGTCATGATGCGGCTCAAATGTCTTATTAAGAAAAACAAGAGCTGTTGGTAGGACAGCAATGCTCGACTATTCTCAGTGCTTTATAGTAAACCAAGTCTTGATAATGTAAAATTTAAATTTCAAAAAAGGCCATTATTCTGTCAAAGTCCATGTAAGAGTTATGGGCCTTAGATAGTAAATGAATATACAGTCTAGAAAAGAAATCTAGATGCGGTGAACTGTTAGACATTTATCCCAGATGTACAAAACAGCAACCACAGTAATTAACCCTTTCATACGGAATAGTCTTATCAACAATACCACTTTACCATACAAGCTACATGCCTCCAGATGAGTAAAAAAATTTCAATAAAATCAAACTTGATAAAAATGTACTAAGATGTAAAGAAAAGTAAAACGTTTCAAGATTCAAGTAATATTTTACATATTATGTGCAATTAATGACTGATTTTTTAATATTTACAACTATATTTCTACTACGTTTCTAACGCAGTAAAGGCTATTTATGCATATTTTGACCACTTTCTGGTAATTTACGTGGTTTGAAAGTGCCATTGATAATTTGTAAATTGCTTCCTTTTGGTTACTTTACATTATTACACATTCAAATACATTTTCAAAATTTTTCATGAAAATTAGCATGATTCTTGAGGTGTGCTGCTTTAAAATTCATTATTGCATTATTGCAGAAGAATGGTTTTAGGTTCTTTTTTAAATTTACTACACTACAGCCTCATGTTGCAGTCCAATGTCTCAACACCGCGTTCCAACGAGGTTCTCATTAGAACGCTCATTGCGAAATTACCGCATTACCCCACCCACCGCCTATATATATAACGCTGACAATTTTTACTTACTGTTCAATGAATATCGACATTATCTTTATATTATATTATGTATTTCAAAGTTTAATGAATGTAACACATACCTTATAGCTGTTCTCGTGGTTTTTATATCTTGTATAATAGTGTACAAATTTGTTCAATTCCTGCATCTTGGTATTTTTTTCATTGGCCTGAAATATATACAATTCCATGTAGATACATATAATGAAGGATGGGCGGGTGGGAAGGAGGGTGCTCTAGAAACCACAATTTTCAGTGTAAAGATCATTGTGACCCTGACCTTTGACATTTTGACCCTAAAATCAATAGGGGTTATGTATTGGACATGGCTGTTCATCCTATAAAATTTTACAGCTGTAGGTTGATTAATACTTCAGTTAGTGAGCTGAAACTGTTTCAGTTTTAAGGTAGTAGTGAACTTGACCTTTGACCTTGTGACCCCAAAATCAATAGGGGTCTTCGACCAAATATTGACAATCATCCTATGAAGTTTGAACACTGTGGGCCAAATGAAACTTAAGTTATGCTCCAGAAGAAACCACAATTTTTCAGTGTAAAAATCACTGTGACCCTGACCTTTGACCTTATGACCCTAAAATCAATAGGGGTCATGACTTGGACTTGGCTGTTCATCCTATAAATTTTTACAGCTGTAAGTTGATTAATACTTAAGTTATTGAGCAGAAACTGTTTTCAGTTTTTAAGATAATAGTGACTTTGACCTTGTGACCCCAAAATCAATAGGGGTCTTCTACCTAATATTGACAATCATCCTATGAAGTTTGAACACTGTGGGCCAAATGAATCTTAAGTTATGCTCCAGAAGAAACCACAATTTTCAGTGTAAAAATCATTGTGACCCTGACCTTTGACCTTATGACCCTAAAATCAATAGGGGTTATGATTTTAACTTGGCTGTTCATCCTATAAAATTTTACAGCTGTAGGTTGATTGATACCTCAGTTATTGAGCAGAAACTGTTTCAGTTTTAAGGTAATAGTGACCTTGACCTTTGACCTTGAGACCCCAAAAATCAATAGGAGTCTTCTTCTCAATATTGACAATCATCCTATGAAGTTTGAATATTGTGGGCCAAATAGAACTAAAGTTATGCTCCGGAAACTGTTTTCAGTTTTAAGGTAATAGTGACCTTGACCTTTGACCTTGAGACCCCAAAATCAATAGGAGTCTTCTATCTAATATGGACAATCATCCTATGAAGTTTGAATATTGTGGGCCAAATGGAACTTGAGTTATGCTCCAGAAACCAAATTGCTAATATATATCCCCAAGTGGCAACAAATCACACTACAATACACAATGATAAATATGCTATTCTGTTGGAAATTTCTGGTAAAAAATCCACTTACATTAATGACAGCTATTTTAGTTGTATCGTCCACTTTCTTGGACACCTCATATCTGTTACACTTAAAGTATCCACCAGTCGAGGAATTATGTCTCTTCCATTGATCTAGGCATACCCAGCAGAAGTCATATTTACACTGTATAACAAAAAAGAATCAGTTTTAACCCTTACAGTGCTAGAACCGAAAGCGTTAAGCCTTTGCCACCAGTATAGAGCCAGGCCAGCCTCCACATCTGTGCAGTCTGACCAGGCTCTATACTGTTGGCTGACAAACTTTAAATATTCAACTTGTTATCCCTAAAATTGATAATGGACAGTCCCAAAAATGGATGTGGGACAAGTCCATTCAAAAAGATTCAGCATGTTTAGTGTTAATATATTAATTTTAGCTTGATTGCAAAACATATTCTCACAAATGATACAGTTTATGTTAGAAAATGTGGCCATTTTTCCTTTAACAGTGAACCAATGGATTTGATTTAAAACATTAAATTTTTTAATTCTTATATTTGATTACAAATCAAGCACAAAATTCATTATTCAGGTTAATGATAAATCATCAATTTTTCTTTTTGCTATTGACATGGCAACTTTCCAGCTTTACTTGTGGAGGACCTCCGGTGGCGCTCTGAGCAATATTTTGCATGCATGTAAGCTAGCTTGATAGCTAGCTGGATAAATTCTTTTCATGGCAGAAACAAAATACTTAAAAAAAAAAAAAAAACCCAAAAAACAAAACAACCAACATGCAGATCCTTTGGAAAAATTTTTGACATTATTTTGTATAAGATATTGTTAATAATAATTTTTTATACTATACCTTAGAACATTTCATATGGTTACATCCTTCATTTTTCTGTATGGGAGATTTACAGTTGGGGCAAGATTTAGAGTTTGTCACTAGCCATAAACAATTAGCAGCAGTCTCTGTCTCAGTCTCTGTATCATGTACTGTAAAAATGTCAGTGAAAAATAACAAAAATATGAGCCGCGTCACGACAAAACCAACATAATGGTTTTGCGACCAGCATGGATCCAGACCAGCCTGCTCATCCGCGCAGTCTGATTAGGATCCATGATGTTCGCTATCAGTTTCTCTACTTGTAATAGAGTTGGTAAGCGAACAGCATGGATCCATGCTGGTTGCAAACGCACTATGTTGGTTTTGTCATGACGTGGCTCATATTACTTTGTGTGTTGAGTTTAAAGCAGCACGCCTTCAATTTAATGCTTATTTCCATGAAAATTTTGAAAATTGTAATTAGAAGTTTAATGTTGTATAGTAACCAAAAGGAAGCATTTTACACATTATCAATGACACGCACAACCCAGGATTATTATAAAAAAAGGAAAAAATATGCAAAAATTGCCCTAAATATGTTAGTAACCCAGTAGAAATACATGTGTATTTCTACATAATGAAAAATTAACCATTAATCGCTCATTACATATAAATCATTATTTGAATTTTGTATCTTTCCACTAGTCCTTCAATCTTTTTACAATTTTCTCAAGTTTGACTTTATTGAAAAAATTTGGCTCATCTGGCAGGGTGTTGCTTTAAGTAGAGCTGTCATTGATTTAGTGCAAAGCATATTAATCATACATTGACCATACATCAAATTCAATTTAAGTCCTTCTCTTTTTGACTATCTATCAAAAGAGTCATATGTGACTAAAATAATCTTTAAAATAAAAACTCTAGACTAAATAGCATGGCAAAACAATAGAACCCTGCATCTCTCCACCTGCAATAATATCTTAAGTTTACCACCCAACCCAGCTATATATTGAAAGTTCTACTACCAATCAGTCCTGTATTTCACTCTTTATATAAAATTTCTACATAATGTTCATAAAAATATGTTCCTCTTCCAGGATTCCAAGCTGTTAAGTGAACATCCATAAGCATACTCTTAATACTTTAAAGCGGCCTTCAGCTGCCGTAAAGGTTAAATATGTTATTTTTAGATAAATAAATCATTTCATATAATTGTCAAATCAAAAGAATTAAGATGGAAAATGGAATCTGCTGTCCATACAATATACAAACAATAAGGAAACCTCCCAATACCTCTATTCTACCATTACGCTCTCTATATGTAAATTAGTAAGGCGGACAATTTGTTTTCCTATTTTCTATTTTTAGAAACGAACGTCACTATAAATAGCCTTCGGGACTCTGTTTTGAAGAAGGCTTAACAGTGATATGATGCACTTTTTTCAAGATTAAGTAACTGAAATACTTAGTTTAAAACAAAACAGAATTGTTTTTCTAACAAAAAAATTAAATCACGGAAAATAGAAGAATCGAATATCACGAGATTTAAAGTACTCAAAAAACTACACATACAAAATACACGTACTCAACACCACATTGAATATCTACAAAAGTATATTGATTTATGTCCTACCTAGAAACAAGATTTCTAGCAACCCAAAAATATAAACCATTGGAATGTTGGCGGTTCATTGACGATATTTTTATGATATGGGCCCATCCTCGACAGGAATTGTATTCCTTCCTGGAGGCTATAAACAGCTTTCACAAGTCAATCAAGTTCACTTACGAAGTCGACACAGAAACGGCTCACTTTTTGGATATTACAATCACAAAAGACTCTAACGGGTACTTAAACACAACGGTATACACGAAACCCAACGACGCTCACCTCTACTACTCATCATATCATCCAGATCACCAGAAAAATGTAAACTGTCTCATCAATAAACTAACCAAGGACTTGGCACAGTGCCAATTACCAGAACGTTCATGTTACTATATATAGTAACATACGTCATTTACATATCTGATCATTTTGTGTACTTTAGCTATTAATTTTCAATGTAAATGTGTCCTGAAGAAGGTCTATAGTGAGACCGAAACCGGTTGACCATCATTAAAAGCAGTTAAACCTACCCTGGTGTTGGTCGTTTTGCACCTCCTATATCCCGCTTTTTCTGTGTAAAAAAATTAAAAGCTGAAGGCCACTTTAAAGTAAACAAATCAAACACAAAGAATAAAGGAGCACGTACATGTTTCAGGGCGAATATCTTTGATTTCACTCATCCATTTCTGTAAACTTTCACAGCTACATGGTTCATGAGCCTCTCCAACACATTCCCTAAAACAAGAGCCGAAAAAAATTAAAACTGGGCAAAAACATAAATTTAAGATCCTGCAACTCATTTTTTTTTATAGTTTTATGTCATAAATATAATGCTCATATGAAGATTTATCAATATTGTAAGTTCCAAAAAGCATTTTTTGTAAAGATATTACCGACTTTACATTTCATGTAAATAAAGGGAGGGATTTAGAAAAAAATTTTTTGCATGGTTTGGTCATACCAACAGATGACCAAACCTGTTTTGGTGACTTTCAAGCGTTACTGGTATTGGAGGATCACAAATGTTTCTCTGGGCATTATTTCTGGTACACGAGTTGAACCAAAGACATACCGTAAGCTTGTTGAATAGTTTTCTCACAAGAAAAAATGAATTTAAAGTCTTTAGCTTAGAACCTTAATGGCAAGGGTCAAGTGGTTTGGACTCAGCAACCTAAACCACTTGACTGCCCTACTATTACATTTATAAACAAGAAATGCTCTAATGCTGTGAAACCAGGTTAACATTCATGTCTCACATAAGCACAATTACATATATGAAATATTCATATTCTACCATATCCAATAATTGTTAATTACCAGCAAAAGTAATGTCCATTTCCGCAGTCTACAGCCCTTGAAGTATCATTTGGTATTTTGCTATGTCTGGGCGAGGCTACCCCACTGGCAGTGGCCCCCTCAGAAACCTCTGGAAGTTTTACTGCCCTGCCACAGCCTGGAAATGGACACCACTTGATATTTGGGTTGCTGTCCACAAAGGCCTGGAAAAAGAGGGTACAAATTTATTTTCCTTACACATTGAAATATAATGTTAGTTATACTGTGAATTCACTTAACTTTGTGGGCATGAAATATCATGGTTTTGCCAAAAAGAACATTTTCATGGGTTCTCATATTCATGGATTATAGGATAGTTTATTTTTTTGAAAAGGTAAAATGTACATTTGTATATATTGTGATGCAAAATAATTTAACAGCAGATGGAATGAAATTTTGTGCATTTACCTATCCACGAAAACCACCAAAACTAAAGCTATCACTGAAGGTGATTTAAATACCCCCACCAGCAATTTTGACTTTTTAAAGAATAACTGGTCTGAAGGAAAATTTGAACTCAAACCTATAGTAAATGAAGTATCAACTTTGTACAAAGAATTGTGTCAATTAATTGCAATACCATCCAGGGTCTTCATATAAGCTTGCTACATCCTATTTTTTCTATTTTTAGCAACAGTGACCTAGACCTCAGGGGATCCAAATGCAATACCAAATGGTATTTTTCTTTAGAGTACTTATTTCTTCAGTTGAAAATGACTACTTTTTAATAAGAAAAATTAAGGGTATACATACATGTATATGATAAATATTTTATATTAAAAACTAACAGCTTTGCTTTTAGTATTATGTTAAGATATAAATGAAATTAACCTTGATGTCAAACTGTAGATATCTTCTAGCCATATCTCTAGATACAACATTTTCTATATGTTCTACAGGCACAAGTATGTTACATTCATATCCGGGACATGTGATATCATGTACTCCGCCTTCCTGTATCTTTACATTCAAATACCTGTATAAAACAATCATTACACATGTATTTATCAAGTGTAATAATCAAGTCCATCTGTAAAGTAACATTGATTACTTCCCTTGGCTAGTATACAAGAGTCACCACCCTTGACAAGTAAACAAAGCTTTCTTAGTTCATACAGAATTTTATTTCAGTTTGATTGTGTTATTATCATGTTTAAGACTGTCATTGATAGTAATAAACATTTTGTATTGTATGTTGAATGGAGATTTTTGGCAATAAATCAAACTAAATAGCTTGTGCAGGGAAAACCGTTTGAATATAATGTGTTATGAATTGTTATCATGGTGTAATGTAGGTTTATTTTTGTAACCGCAAAGACAGCATTAAATTATACACCTTACAAGAAGAAAATACATTTTCATGATATAATGTCTCACTGTCCTTTGAAAATTAAATTCAGGTTTCAAGCTAGCCAAGAAACAGGGCAAGCAGACCACTTTTAAACTTTTTTTTAGACAAAATAGAAACACATCTTTATAAGACAGTGATTTTAGGGTTTAAAATTGTATCAAATGTTGAATATTGATGAAACATCAAAATCATGAAAGCCCTTATCAAGTCAACTTATAACTTCAAAAAAGTATACTAAACATAGATACCTTCCCTTGACAAGTATACCATGTATACAAAGGTTACTTCCCTTGACAAGTATACATTTTATACAAAGGTTACTTCCCTTGACAAGTATACATGTATACAAAGGTTACTTCCCTTGAAAAGTATACATTTATACAAAGGTTACTTCCCTTGACAAGTATACATGTATACAAAGGTTACTTCCCTTGAGAAGTATACCATGTATACAAAGGTTACTTCCCTTGACAAGTATACATGTATACAAAGGTTACTTCCCTTGACAAGTATACCATGTATACAAAGGTTACTTCCCTTGACAAGTATACTGTATTCCTAGAAAAGATTTCGCGCATTTTAAGTTAGCGGCTTTCGCGGTAGGCATGATTCCGCGAATCTTTATAGCCGCGAATATGTCACTTATAACAAATCCGCGAACATTTATAGCTTCAACCAAATATAACATAAAAAGTGCAGAATATTTATTATAATCTACTTACACAAAACAACATATAAACACAGGTGTTATAGAAATGTGTAAAAAAATACTTATGTATGTTATTGATACTAGTTTGCACGCTGAAAAAGACAAAAAACAATTATTTGTAATTAACATGCTTATTGACGTTATTTGCTAGTCACGACGTTGACAAACGCATTTACAGATTGCGAATATTGAATAACTTGGGTTTTATTTGCTTGGAGTAGGTGTAATCCTTTGTTAAAAGTACAATAGCGATCAAGTGCTACATGGATAAACAGCTGTTATGTTGTTATAATGAAAGCTATGTACAGTACGATAATGTGTAAAAATGTGTTAAAAAATATGTATCGACATTTTGAAGATAAAGTCAGTTATGATTCAATGAGAATAAAAGCTAACGTGTCTGACAAAATCTTACTTAATTACATAATGAAAAAGGTAAGGAAATATGAATGTGTTCACGGAACAATCGTCCTTGTTCGGCTGGTCAATAGATGAAAATGTATCGAGTAACGTTGCGCTTTAGGCGCGACTTGTCAAAAAAAAAAATAATTAAAAGCACCCAACAGGCAAGGTCATGCATAAAAAAACGTAGCCTCCAAAAACTGTATTTTAGGCCGTAGCGACTTAACATTCGCGGAATTCGCGGTTACTATATTTCCGCGAAAGTTTGTCTCCGCGAAAATGCCGACGTTGTAAAAAACGCGAAATATTGTATCCGCGAACATTTCTAGGAATACAGTACCATGGATTACAACCTTTATAAATAACATCTAATTAACTAAAAGTCTACTGTTAAGATTCATTCCTTAGTTGAGTATTGAAGATTTGTTGATTATATGTTCTAAGAATTACGACTCCACACTTACCCTTCCCAGCAGTCCCTGCAAAACTGGTGACAACTCATGTGCACAGGAGCTTCGTGCATTTCAAATGCTAGAGTGCAAATATCACACTGTAAAATAACATCAAAATCTATCTAATAAAAATGTTTAAGTACAGACATCTTGCTGATCAACACTATTTATTACCTACTTGTTTACATATTTTCTATACAAAATGTATTTTTACACATATCACATGCAAATAAGTCAGCCACAAGTAAAGACCCTGCTCAGTCTGCAGGAATAATTGAACTGGCTCTTTACTAGTGGCAAAGGCTAATCACTTTTGGTTCCAGAAGGGCAAAGGTCAGAGGGGCAAGGTGATTTTTCAGTTGCACAGTCATTCACCTTATTATGCTTTAAGTAAAATTCAAGTTTAGTAACTGCATTTACTTGCGGTTACAAATTCAAAATTAGATATTTTTTCCAGCTTCAATTAAGGAAGTTTATTCAACAAACACTAATTATTATAAGTGATAGTGAAATAAAGTCTTTAATTTTCTCGTCACCAGTTTAACTTCCTTTTGAATTACATGTATAAACACAGGAAGTCATCAGCATTCAGTACATGTGAGAAACAACATCGTATTACTCATTTAAATCTTTATAAAAAATCTATTTTTTAACCCTTACCACATTATATCTCTTAAATGAACTTTAAATCTCGACAAAACCATTCATAATTTTTATGAATCTCTGTTGTTGTTGTTGTTTTTTTTTTTGGGGGGGTGAGATAGGGGGGTTGGGGGCGGGAAGTGTTGGGTTTGATTTTACATGCCCATCAGGCACATTATTTCAGGCACAAGCAGTCACCAAGGTGGGAAATTTTACATGTGCTGTCTGTACCATAAACAGTGTAGACCATGAGCAGACTATATGATGGCTAATTTCAGATTGCAGTGAGGTGATTTAGTTGCTGCCGGCAAGCCAGGACTTCATGTTTTGTCACTTTCCTGCTCTTTGAAGTGACATTATACCCACCAAATGGTATCGTGAGTGAACAGTTAAAATAAGTTTACATTTGCTACAATTCCTTTCAATTTGATCAATAACTCATATGGCCTATGGAAATTTCTGTAAATATTCACTGGAAATTACCCGTGACATTCAATTGTAGTTAAATTAAATCTATGTCTGTAAGTTTGTTGTAAGAGTTACAGTTGAAACAGAACTTCCTTAATTCATAAGACTGACTCTGTTTAAGTTACAAAGATCAAACTGAAACAGATGTTATTCATGCAACAAGGGGCAAATAATGGCAGTGTGGTATTAAAAGAAGTTTAGTTTTAGGTTAAAGATATTACCTCAGCAAAAGAACTCGGTGGGTGGGTCATGGTTGGAGTGCTAAGGGACTCAGCCACTACTGGTTTCTCACTGAACAGGTTTGCCGGACGTGATACTCCACTTTTCTCACAACATGCCACTGGGTCTGACATCCAGGCGTCCAACAGCATTTCCCTTGACCATTCTGAAAAAAAAAATTAAAATAAAATTTCAACTAAACAAACTACCTTATATATACAGTTTGGTCATCTAAAACAAATTGTAGAATACAAAAATTAAAATTTTAATTTCCTTTGAATTCTTTTCAATTATTTTTATTCAAACATTATTTAAGATATTTCTTGCTTTTATTTCGCCATATTTTTGCGAGAAGCATTTTTATATGTAAAATGAAAAAAAAAATTGTTTTGTTTTTTTATTCACCCATGCAAATTCAAATAATTAACACTACCACTATAATACAAAATGTATAAATATCTTGTTTAAATATAAAATCTGATTAACAAATTTCTACAGGAATGCACTAATTTTTTAGGCTAAAGATTTCAAAATCCTAGCCTGCAATTTTTCTCATGTTTTAATGCATCACTCTAACTTTGCAATAGGCAGAATAGCTACATGGTGATCATATAGTTTTATTGGTAGAAGATGACCTACATGATCCTATGAGCATGAGATTATGAGCATAATATAAATGGCTCTTTCTCACTGAATGTATGACTCTCTCAGACTGAATATATGACTTTTTCTCACTGAATGTATGGCTCTTTCAGACTGAATATAGGGCTAACACTGACTACTGTGAAATCATTATTATTCGTGGGGCACAAATTTTTGTGATATTCGTGGATAGGTCAATCGTAAGACCCGAAGAAATTTTATCCCAACAAATACTTCTTACCATGTCTCTGTTCCCTATAACACAACATGTGTTGGCACTTTTCCGGCCAATTTTTGTGGTATGAATGTATACAAAAAATTAGCTCTAACGGGTACTTAAACACAACGGTATACACGAAACCCACCGACACTCACCTTTACCTCCATTATTCATCATATCATCCAGATCACCAGAAAAATAGCATACCGTACAGCCAAGCTGTCAGGATTAGACGCATCTGCAGCGACCAAATAGCATATGAAGAATGCACAAGGAAACTGGAAACCAACCTAACAGCCAGAGGATATCCGTTACAGTTAATTAAAAAAGCTATCAAAAAGGCCTCTGCACTAAATCGAGACGAGCTACTTCTTCGTCAAAACAAACCTATTATAAGAAAAACAATTCCATTCACGTACACATTCAATCCTAAAAATCCACCAGTTAGCAAATTGATAAACACGCTCAAAAATATTCTATACGAAAACGATACGACTAAATTTATTAAAGATACAGCAATTTTAGCAGTCCAAAGACGGACAACTAATATAAAATCGATTCTTGTTAGATCAGCATTACAGGTACCCTCAAAAATCAGCGGCAGCTACCCGTGCGGCGAAAAATGTTATGCATGCCCATTTATGGCCAAATGTAAGGAATTCAAAAGCTCGCAAACGAATAAAACCTACGAGATCAAAGGCAACTATACATGCAAAAGTACGAGTATTATATATTTGATTACATGTAAGAAATGCAATATCCAATATGTAGGTCAATCTGGTAACTCATTTAGAGACAGGCTCTATGGACATTCAGCTGATATACGCGCTAAAAACAACGTGAAACCGGTTTCCCGCCACTTTTTGACGCACGACGTCACGAACATGAACGTCGTCATAATACAAACAACAACAAAAAACACGAACGTCAGACTTAGAACCGAAGAAGTTTGGATACGTCTTTTGAAAACCAAACAACCAGAAGGTTTAAATATCATTCAGTAAATCAAATATGGAAGTATATACAGCTAGAAAAGCTACGACAGATGACATAAATGCGGAAATCAATGAAGAGCCAGCAGTATGGGACAGAATATCACGTAAGAAACAGAAGAGGACAAGTACAGCCAACTTCATGAGACTATGTGACATATGTGGATATATCTCGACAACATCCTCCATGTTTTACAAACACAAGAAGAAACATGATCAAACTGAAAAAGAAACAAGAGGGCCATGATGGCCCTGAGGTCGCTCACCTGTATATAGGCCCCCCCAACCCCCCCCCCCCCCCCAACGTTGCAGGGCCAATTTAACCCAAGGGCTTTTATTTGCACAAACTTGGTAGACACCCATAAGAAGATGTTTCATGCTAAACATCTAAAGCTCTAGCTCATTGGGCTTTTTAAAAGAAGATTTTTTTTCAAGTTTTTACTATACACATATAGTTAAAAACAATGACACCCCTGGGGCCGGGCCAGTTTTGACCCCAGGGCTTTTATTTGAACAAACTTTGTAGACACTTACTAGAAGATGTTTCATGCTTAATATCTAAACTCTAGCTATTTGGGTTTTTTCAAAGAAGATTTAAAAGTTTTGCTAAACACATATAAAGAAAATCAATGACCCCCGGGGCGGGGCCAATTTTGACCCCAGGTCTTTTATTTGAACAAACTTTGTAGACACTCACTAAAAGATGTTTCATGCTTAATATCTTAACTCTAGCTATTTGGGTTTTTTCAAAGAAGATTTTTTAAGTTTTTGCTATACACATATAAGGAAAATTAATGACCCCCCGGGGCAGTGCCAATTTTGACCCCAGGGCTTTTATTTGAACAAACTTGGTAGACACCTATTAGAACATGTTTGATGCTCAATATCTTAGCCATAGCTCTTTGAGTTCTTTAAAAGAAGATTTTTTAAGTTTTTACTATATGCATATAGGGAAAATCAATGACCCCCCGGGGCGGGGCCAATTTTCACCCCAGGGCTTTTATTTGAACAAACTTGGTAGACACCCATTAGAACATGTTTCATGCTAAATATCTTAGCTCTAGCTCTTTGAGTTCTTTAAAAGAAGATTTCTTAAGTTTTCACTATATGCATATAGGGAAAATCAATGACCCCCCAAGGCGGGGCCAATTTTGACCCCAGGGCTTTTATTTGAACAAACTTGGTAGACACTCACTAGAAGATGTTTCATGCCAAATATCTAAGCTCTAGCTCTTTGAGTTCTTTAAAAGAAGATTTTTTAAGTTTTTACTATATGCATATAGGAAAAATCAATGACCCCCCCGGGGCGGGACCCATTTTGACCCCAGGGCTTTTATTTGAACAAACTTGGTAGACACCCATTAGAACATGTTTCATGCTAAATATCTTAGCTCTAGCTCTTTGGGTTCTTTAAAAGAAGATTTTTTAAGTTTTTACTATATGCATATAGGGAAAATCAATGACCCCCCGGGGCGGGGCCAATTTTGACCCAGGTCTTTTATTTGAACAAACTTGGTAGACACTCACTAGAAGATGTTTCATGCCAAATATCTAAGCTCTAGCTCTTTGAGTTCTTTAAAAGAAGATTTTTTAAGTTTTTACTATATGCATATAGGAAAAATCAATGACCCCCCGGGGCGGGGCCAATTTTGACCCCAGGGCTTTTATTTGAACAAACTTGGTAGACACCCATTAGAACATGTTTCATGCTAAATATCTTAGCTCTAGCTCTTTTGGTTCTTTAAAAGAAGATTTTTTAAGTTTTTACTATATGCATATAGGGAAAATCAATGACCCCCCAGGGCGGGGCCAATTTTGACCCCAGGGCTTTTATTTGAACAAACTTGGTAGACACTCACTAGAAGATGTTTCATGCCAAATATCTAAGCTCTAGCTCTTATGGTTTTTTAAAAGAAGATATTTAAAGTTTTTTCTTTCGGTTGCCATGGCAACCAGAGTTCTGCATGGAATTAAATTCTTTGAACAATTTTTAAAGGTGACCACCAAAGGAACATTCCTGTGAAGTTTGGATGAAATTGGCTTAGTGGTTTATGAGGAGATGTCATTTAAAGTAAAAGTTTACGGACGGACGGACGACGGACGGACTGACGGACGCCGGACGAAAAGCGATCACAAAAGCTCACCCTGTCACTTTGTGACAGGTGAGCTAAAAACAGAATACGAGTGTAGTTGGTGCCTAAAAACATTTTCCAGTAAATCTAACCTCAAACGGCATGCAAGAAAATCGATGCATATGACGGAAGTGGAGCTACAACAACCAAAAAGAGCAAATAGAACACCAAAACCAACAGTGGAGAAGTATGATCCGGAATTGAATTATAAAGTGACCCCTAGATTTAGGATCATTGAAGGAAAGAATCCAAGAACAGAAACAAAACAACCCAAACAAGAAGACGTGAGGACTGTAAAATCAAGGTACTAGATCTTATTACACCCATAGTTTCACCAAATAAAAGTCTCCATGATACAACTCTCTGTAGAGACGAATATGGACAAAATAGCGAAAGCAACGAACTACTGTATTCCTAGAAATGTTCGCGGATACAATATTTCGCGTTTTTTACAACGTCGGCATTTTCGCGGAGACAAACTTTCGCGGAAATATAGTAACCGCGAATTCCGCGAATGTTAAGTCGCTACGGCCTAAAATACAGTTTTTGGAGGCTACGTTTTTTATGCATGACCTTGCCTGTTGGGTGCTTTTAATTATTTTTTTTTTTGACAAGTCGCGCCTAAAGCGCAACGTTACTCGATACATTTTCATCTATTGACCAGCCGAACAAGGACGGTTGTTCCGTGAACACATTCATATTTCCTTACCTTTTTCATTATGTAATTAAGTAAGATTTAGTCAGACCCGTTAGCTTTTATTCTCATTTGAATCATAACTGACTTTATCTTCAAAATTTTAACACATTTTTACACATTATCGTACTGTACATAGCTTTCATTATAACAACATAACAGCTGTTTATCCATGTAGCACTTGATCGCTATTGTACTTTTAACAAAGGATTACACCTACTCCAAGCAAATAAAACCCAAGTTATTCAATATTCGCAATCTGTAAATGCGTTTGTCAACGTCGTGACTAGCAAATAACGTCAATAAGCATGTTAATTACAAATAATTGTTTTTTGTCTTTTTCAGCGTGCAAACTAGTATCAATAACATACATAAGTATTTTTTACACATTTCTATAACACCTGTGTTTATATGTTGTTTTGTGTAAGTAGATTATAATAAATATTCTGCACTTTTTATGTTATATTTGGTTGAAGCTATAAATGTTCGCGGATTTGTTATAAGTGACATATTCGCGGCTATAAAGATTCGCGGAATCATGCCTACCGCGAAAGCCGCTAACTTAAAATGCGCGAAATCTTTTCTAGGAATACAGTAATCATTAACATTGGCAACATCTACGGAATTTTTCAGAAGAACGACAAATGCACGTGTAAACTGTCTCATCAATAAACTAACCAAGGACTTGGCACAGTGCCAATTTCCAGAACATTCATGTTACTATATATAGTAACATACGTCATTTACATATCCGATCATTTTGTGTACTTTAGCTATATATTTTCAATGTAAAATTGTCCTGAAGAAGGTCTATAGTGAGACCGAAACCGGTTGACCATCATTAAAAGCAGTTAAACCTACCCTGGTGTTGGTCGTTTTGCATCTCCTATATCCCGCTTTTTCTGTGTTAAAAAATTAGCTTGGTGAAAGATTAAATCTATAAATAGTTTTGTTTTGCAATATTTAAGAAACTTAAAAGAAAAGTCCATTTTATGTCTTCAGTTTGTTGTCACAAATGTTTGTCACATATAAACATCAGGGGGACAAGTGATCCTTGTAGGCTACTTGAATGTGTTAACCAAAATATGTGACATCATCAAGTAAATATTAGAACACAGGGCATTAATTAGCGCCGATAAAACTTCTCAGTTTACACTTATTAATTGTTAATCTAATTGACTTTGATATTAATGTTGTAATTAAAGTATACAAAACAATAGAAAAAAAATTACCGATTGCTAAAAAAAGATGAATTATAAATTTTTTGTTGAATTTTAACAAGACTAGTGTTTATATGATCCATTTATATGAATTTCAATATGTATTTGTGCAACTGCTATTCCAAAAATATCAAAGAAGCCACCATCTTTTTACTAGATGCACACATAACTGTATTGAGCCACTTACTAATATTAATCTATATGCATATAAATTTACATGGTCCATGTGATATAGCTTGCTGTTGTAGTCAAAAATGGTAAGGCCTATTCATGGTGTAAACTTTTTTACTCGCTGGTTTAAATGTGGGAGGTGTTATATAATTTATGAGTTGTTTACATCCGTGAATTATAGGGGTAGTGTGACCGATGGAGCTGCATATCATCTCACACAAACATGTTAATTGCAGTCGATTATTGGCAGTAACTGCGTTACGCCCAGAGGCAAGCATTAAATTTATTGACAAAAGCTGTGCTATATACATGAGGTAAGTAAAATAGCATGGTGATTACGTGAAAGATAACATTGCATTATTTTTTTTTTACAAGAAAATGAAAATCCAAGAATTTAAGAACCCACAAAAATGAGTTTTGATAAAACCACGAAATTTCATGCCCACGAATACAAATGATTTCACAGTACTGGCTCTCTCACACTGAATAAATGGCTCTTTCTCACTTAATATATAGCTCTCTTTCACTGAATATATGGCTCTCCAACACAGAATATATGACTTTCTGTCATAGTAAGTAGTGACTAACCATAATTCCTCAGCAGGGCCTCAGCAGTAAACAGGGGTATACTCAGCATATCAGCCGTCTCTACTAGCAGCTGGTCCTTGGCCTCTTGCAGGTCCTGGGCTCGAAGCCCGCTGTACTCCTCCGAGTCAATTTGAGGCGGAGCTTCCTCAATCTCATCAGTACATCCATCATTCTAAAATTAGCAACAAAATCTTATTTGCAAACCACAAAGTTAAACACTTAACCTTCTGAATTTTCTAAACAGACTTGTTTGGACCTGTCCAATATAAATTTTGGGGATATTAAGATCAAATATCAAAGTTGGTCATTATCAAATTACAAGGACTTTTAAGCAATATTTTTCATTGTCAAGCATTTTTTAAGAAATTTCTCAAATTTAAGTACTTTTTATGAAAGGGGTTCAAATTTAAGTACTTTTTAAGACAGTATAAACTCTGTGATACTTACGGAGAAGACCATTTTGGACTCCAGGTAAAGAGCTATCTCGCTATAACCTTGACTCTCTGCACAGTCACAGGGCGTATGGTTACCTGTGTTCTCCACAAACAAGGGACATGCATGATTGACCAGTGTTTCTACACACGCCTTCAAACCAGACAGTGCAGCATAGTGGAGAGCCGTGTTGTTTTGCTACAAAAAGAAAATTACATTTAAAGATGTGAGTACATAAAATTATACAATATATAATCTGTTTGCATTAGAATTTTGTTTTGTAAATAAGATGTAGGTATGGCTTTTTTCTTGCTTCATAAAATACATGTATTAAAGCGTCAAGAGAGCTAATTTTACTAGGTGTGACATTCGTTACTAAAAATAGATCGGGAAATGAATTGTCCACTTTACTTATTTACATTCACTGTAAGGCCCTCTTCAAACAAGAGCTGTCGGTAGGACAGCAACGCTCGACTATTCTTAGTGCTTGATAGTAAAAAAAATGCTTGATACAGTTACCTCCTCCTGTTTACAGGTTGGGGTCATGATGGTGAACAAGTGTGCAAAGTTTCAAAGCCATATGTCAATGGACTTTGAAAATATTTGAACTATTACAAAAACTTTAACGTAAATTCCAAGTCGAAAAAGGGGCATAATTCTGTCAAAATGCTTGATAGAGTTACCTCCTCCTGTCTACAGGTTGGGGTCATGATGGTGAACAAGTGTGCAAAGTTTCAAAGCCATATGTCAATGGACTTTGAAAATATTTGAACTATTACAAAAACTTTAACGTAAATTCTAAGTCGAAGAAAAAGGGGCATAATTCTGTCAAAATGCTTGATACAGTTACCTCCTCCTGTCTACAGGTCAGGTGGGGTCATGATGGTGAACAAGTGTGCAAAGTTTCAAAGCCATATGTCAATGGACTTTGAAAATATTTGAACTATTACAAAAACTTTAACGTAAATTCTAAGTCGAAAAAGGGGCATAATTCTGTCAAAATGCTTGATACAGTTACCTCCTCCTGTCTACAGGTTGGGGTCATGATGGTGAACAAGTGTGCAAAGTTTCAAAGCCATATGTCAATGGACTTTGAAAATATTTGAACTATTACAAAAACTTTAACGTAAATTCTAAGTCGAAAAAGGGGCATAATTCTGTCAAAATGCTTGATACAGTTACCTCCTCCTGTCTACAGGTTGGGGTCATGATGGTGAACAAGTGTGCAAAGTTTCAAAGCCATATGTCAATGGACTTTGAAAATATTTAAACTATTACAAAAACTTTAACATAAGTGGTTACGCCGACGCCGACGCTCGGGTGACTACAATAGCTCTACTTATTCTTATTGAATAGTCGAGCTAAAAATAACATATTTTATCTTTAGAAAAAGCTGAAGGCAGCTTTAACAATCTCAATTATATTGTCATCTGATATCAATATATTATTAATATTTGACACCTAATATTGACGATAATATTGTCAGCATTTATTTTCCACTACAAAATGTCAATATCATTTATATATTTTGAAAATATAAACTAACTGTCAAAATGTTCTATCTAATATCAGTACATTGTCAGTATTAATCCTCTAATGTTGATATAATCATCAAATATCAATAAATTGTCATTAAATATCAAAGATATTCTCAATATTTGTCATCTAGTTTCATGATCTCAATAATATTATTCATCGAATATCATATTGGCACACTTGTCTTGACTAATCTTAATATATATTGTTTTGCCATCTAATATCAATAACTGACAATATTTTCCATCTAATAATATCAATATTATAAGTGTCTAGCCCAACTCAGCAACAACTGGTGTTTAAGAGCCAATGGGAAAATAAGTTGGGTGTTAAATTGAAATCCTTGACCTTTATGCCCCTGTAAAAGTATAATTTCCTTCCACAATACAATTAGTAAAATATTTATAGTAATGAGTTAAGTTGATTTTAATGAGATTGAGCTTCTGCTTAGTGTACAATGTATGTCTATAATGTTGCCATGTTCACTTATTGATAGTGAAAATTAATCACTGAATCAATCAAATCAGCTAATATCCCAGCCTGTCAGACACTAGCAAATCAATCAATCAATCAATCAATCATTCAATCCAATCAGTAAGTAAGCCAATCAATCAATCAATCAATAAAATCAGTCTAAAAAAACAGACATCAAATCAATCAACCAATCAAATCAGCATGTCAGCCAATCAATCAAATCAGCCAACAGGCCATACATATAAGCAAGCAATCAATCAATCTATAAATCAATCAATCTATAAATCAATCAAATCAAACAAACCTCGTCTACAGCAGCCAGGTCCACCTTTTCAATTTCACCGTCTTTGAGCTCTGCTCCTCTCCACTGTAACATCATGTTGAGACACTCCAGTCTCCTCCGCTGTACAGGATAGAATTGTGGATTCTTCTCCATACAAACACAGTGTAAAGCTGTCTCTTTTTTGCCATTGGTTTTATTTGGATTTCCGCCATGCTCAAAAAGGAATATCCTGCAATAAGATTCATACAAAAATTAGACAAATATATCTTTATAAGTAACAAAATAACTTCTACCAAAAGGGAAAAAAGCACTTAAACTTTAATAATTTTTAAGAAGTAATTACAGAAACTACCTACATATTGAAGCGAATTTTCACCCCAATAAGCCTACATTTTGTATCTTACAAAACATGATAATACCAGAATCATAGACGAAACTGCTGATTTACTAGCCTTTATTGAACAACAGATACTTAAGAAGCACTGGAAATAGTAAAAATGTGTTAGTGTTTCTGTTATACCAACATTGTACAAGTATGTGGTGATTTTCTACTTTGACAGGTAGTGGAAGAGTTCAGGTGAGAGATAGACAATGCCTGAACCTGAAAAACTCTCCCTATAAATGATGAAAATGTATTTATCCAGCTTGAAAATTGGCAGACATTAAGCTTGATGAGGGCTAAATTAGTCATTTAAAAGAAAATAAAACCTTAATAGACTTTTCATGCCATGCCGCGCTGCAAAATGGAGAGGTGTCTCATGCTGAAAATTGTCGCCATAGGAACAATTAGGGTCCAGCCCTTTCCTAAGGTCACTGTGATTATTATATACATTTAGAGCTGCCACTTCATCACCATTCTGTAGATGTTTGCGAAACTTGGAAGAGGAGCTGCCCATCTCTACAAAGGAATATTTTGCAGCTCCTGGAGGTAAAAATAAAATGGTTATTATTGAAATATTGTGCAAATAAAGCTTTTTTTAATATAAAGTCTTAAAAGGAATATATTCTGAAAAAGTCACTTAAATAATTATTGTGTAATAGTTCAGAGGCAGGCTGCTTTAGCGAACATTTGTTGAGGCTTTCTGACATACACAGTAAGGGTGTCAACTCTAGGGCATGTGCAAATTTAGCTTTTTGAGGGCACCAGACGACATTTCCTAAAAAAAGGGGAGTTTGATATGCACAAAGTCTGGGGTATAATATAATGAGACAAGCAAATATATATATGGACTAGGTAAGCCTTCTTGTTTGCGTCCAAATGACAGCCCATCAATAAGCCTAGATGTGTTTCAATCAATGATATTATACTGTCAAATTTATGACTAATAACTAGCTACAAGTCTACAAGGTAGACAAATGTTTCACTTCCAAGCCAATTGAACCATCTTGGAAGTGAAACCTCTCAATTATCTATAGTGAAATGTCTAGGGAGTGAAACGCCTGGCATTCAATTACAATATCATGTTCATGAATATTATTAAGCATATAAATGTAAACAATGAATTGCTAACTAAGAGATAAAAAGTATGTCAATTTTAATTTATTGTATATTTTATTTGTTTGGCCATTACTAATGTGTCTGTAGTGTGGGTCCGTTTTCCTTTGTTATAAACAGGATCTCCAGAAAAATATGTCAGGCACTTGAAAAAAAAATCAGCAACATTCACAAACACGTTCCATTCACTACAAAAAATGGAAACATTTATCGACAATTAACAAGTTAATCAAAAGCTTGTGATAGTGAGACTTACAAACAGCTGTTAAACGAAAACTGGGCATTTTTAATAACAATGTATTATTTTTCCCTTTCTCTGTTTTCATAGGTGCATGCTGGGAAATAAGCAACTTCCGCAACTAAATCCGAAGCATTCCACATATATAGGGGTCATTTCAAAGTGTGTTTTGACTGTCAAAGTAATACTGGACAGAAAGATACACGAGGAAATATACATACAATGATACATACAAATATAAAACACACAAAAATGCAACAAATATAATTATAAAATTCAGTGTTAAGTTCTCTATTTTATATTGAACTTCCATGGGTTATCCTGTCTTGTATATATTGTCTTGAAAGTCAACAAGATCTTTGATTTAATTATGAATGTTAAGTTATTATTTTTCAATTAATTACTGTGTTAAAAACAATGTGATAGATATATCTGTGATAAATAATTGTCTTAATTTGTTCTGTAATATGACATAATATTATATATATATACACAAATCAATCATCAAAAAAAAAAAGTAGTATGTTTTTAGTACTAGGATTGCCTACTAAGCTAATTAATGGGGTCCATTTACTGTGTCATAAAGGTATAAAAATGTAAACACTGTACATAGTATTTTCATTTCCATTCAAAATACTAATAATTCACTAAATATAACATTGGCCAACAGAGAAAATTAAAGAAAAGATAGTTTATGTAGAGAGCTAATTATAGCCTGGGACAAAAATACCGGGATGGGTTACCGAAGAAAAGCTTATTTTTGACTAATAACAGCAAATGAGATACTATAGCGCGGGAACGAAATTCGGACGAACGGATGGACGGACGCACTTACAAGTACAAGTATGTACGAATTGAACAGAATATTTACCCCATACTGTCACTGAAGTTCGTACGGAAGGACGAACGGACGACAACGCCAAAACAATGTCCCCCTCCCGAGTCCATCAGCGGGGGATAAAAAATGAAAAGTTTTTGAGAAATAACATTTAGGCATACTACTGAAATAGCAATACCTTAAATGAAAAAAATAAAAGCAAACAAATAGATGGTTTAATCAAATTTTTAAAAAAAAAATTAAAGAAAAAATAGTTTTTTCTTTTATTTTAATAGGTAGGTTTAATCACACTTGTTGTTTTGTACAAGTATAAATCATTACCATAATGTCCAATGATCACTATGCGCATGAAAAACCAAGAAAGTAGGTCATTTCATCAGACAATCTAGGTCATTTGATATCAAAGTTCAAATTTTCATCTAAAACTGTAAACTATGAACAAATTTCATAGCTGTACATTATAAGGCAAGAAAGTATGCCACTTCTTCAAATTATCTAGGTCAGCTGATATCAAAGTTCAATTTTATATCTGTAACTGACTAACTGTGCACATCGTCCAAATTCCATAGCTGTGTAGCAAAGGACAAGAAAGTAGGTCAATTCATCAAACTATCTAGGTCAGGTGATGTTATGTTTCACATCTCTAAATTATTCAATATATGTTTGGTAACAAGTTTTGTTTTGTACAAGTATAAATCAAATCCATACTTAAATACATTGTAGTTATGACAATTTAACCAAAATTCAATAATTTGACTGTGACAGTCAAGGTCATCGAAGTCAAGGTGAAGGTCAGTTCAACCTGTTTAGATGGTCTTGCCCGAAGGGTTGTTTCGTCTAAGTATGAAGACAATTCATTGATTAGTCACCAAGCTACGACCAGTTATTGCAATTATGAGTGGAAATTCAATAATTTGACCTTCAAGGTCGAGGTCATACATGAGTCAAGGTCAATAAGAGCTTGATATACATCAAGGTCCTGACCTAAAAGATGTTGTGTCTAAATATGAAGTTAATTCATTTATATAAAAAAAAGTTATATAGCCATCAGTTACAGAAACGAACAAGCGAATTTCATTAATTTAACATTGATGGTCGTTGCTCAATCTAAGGTCAAGGTCACATCTAAATTATTCAATATGTTTGTTCAGTAATAAGTCTTGTTTTGTCCAAGTATTACTTAAATCCACGTACATAAATAACAAAATTGTGACAATTTTAAAACTAAAATTCGATCAAGGTCATTTACAGATCAAGGTCAAAAATAGCTCATCTTATATTATATTAGAAGGTTTTGTCCAAAAGGATGTTTTGAACTAGAATGAAGATAAAGCAATGTACATTGTACAACCAATTATAGCAAAAATCAGTGAAATTTCAATAAAAGGTCAATGTCATAAATGAGCCAAGGTCAATTTGAGTTTGATATAAATGGACGTCTTATCCTGAAGGTCAATGTCATTTTTGAATGAAAGCCAAGTTTAATCTGGTGAACTTTGGATTCTAAAATCTTAAAAAGTTATGATCAAGGTTATATTATTTAAAGTATGCGGACTGCAACGCAACGAGAACGCCGCCGTGGTTGTAACAATATGTACAGTTCCTCTATTTTTTATTTTAATAAATAAATAAAAAATAAATATATAAATAAATAAATGTCGAGCTGGAAACTGAAAATGGTTGGTTTGCGAAAATATAAAAACAATATTCGATGCCGACGTTATTGATCACCACTTGGTCGTTTTGTAGATTTTTACAATATGATAATTGTTACTGTTGTAGGATAGTGAGGAAATGATATTGGGTATATCCAACTGATGAAAATAGTAAAAGAACGTAATTAAAGATTGAAGAAATGTTGAATTGGATCACGGATTTATATTACATAATACATAAATCCGTGACTTGATTCCATTTGTGGCAATCTTTAATCATTTTGAGACGCCCCCTAAGGAAATGCTCTTCACTGTGTGAAGATAAAGAAAGGGAACCTATTTCGCGTGCTAGGCAACAGATTGCAGTAGGTACGAAATTTAATTTTTATTCAATTTTCTATTTAATGCAAAGTAAGTATTTTATTTTTGAAACTGTTTGATTTTGTTATAAATTTTTAATTATTATGCTGCCAGGACAACAACTTTTAATCTCATAAAAATCTTATTTTTGAAAGTTTTTTTATTAGGATGTTGTCATGAGTCAGTATTTGTCCTAAAAATATTCGACCCATGAATTTAAATATTATATTCTTGTTGATAAAATTATATTTCAGTTTTTTTTCAGACATACTATTTAGATAAATATGGTAAAAATTATTTTGCACGATTTTGATACTTTTAAAAGGACTATTTAGTATTAATATTTCTATTGGATATGGATGTGGATGTTGGAACTCGGAAGAGTTTTTATTGTCCGTTGCCCTTAATTCGTCCATGTTCTGGACTTAACAGCCTTACTATGTATGTTAGAAATTCTCAAAAAAAAATGTCCGTTACACTAACAAAGTTTGCACTCTTACCCTATGCTACGACTGGATGTAAACAATACGTTCGCACAGGGCATGCGCGGTGGTTGAATCCCACCCATTTTATTCGATTAAATTCTAGAACAACCACTACTTTTGGTTTCAATTTTGCTGACAAGGAACAGTTTGAATCAACGTAAGCGTTAATTTTAATTGCAATGTCCAAAACTTTGCACTACAAGGCGTAATTTTCATTACATATCCGGTATTATCATCGTCATAGTAGTTTTTATTCCAGTCGGTCAAAATGACGGTACACATTTACATGTAAACAAACAGATTTAACTTCTTAGACAATTTAAATAAGGAATGGACACACGGTAAACTCTGTTGCAACGTAAAGTATATTCATAAACCTGTTTGAGAAAAATTGTCTCCGTGTTCAAATAAATTTCAAAAACGGGAAAAAAAGCAGTCTTTTACCGATACCCTGCAACAGAACCTTATTATTCTGACGAATTAAATTGACTTTATAACGCTCGTATGCAATTATTGATTGATCGATTTTCATTATATTTATTTTGTAATACCTATCATTCATTATGCAATCAAACAAAACCAAGTTTTCCTATATTCAAGGAAACTGTAAGTTAGGACGAGCTTTCAAAACGAACAGGTCAACAGGTAGCAATTTCCAACACGCTAACCGAAACTCCAACATGGCGGCTCAACCTGGCTCATTTGCATAATTTATTCATAAACGCAGAAGCATAGAACTTTGTTAGTGCGTTAATAAAGAAAACAGTTGTAAATTTTTATATATCAAAGTAAATTTAATGTAGACTATCTACAAAATTCTTTATCATAGAAAGCTTGGATCATAAGGAAATATAGTGTATCAAGCTAGCACTGTAAAATGCCAAGGGTAACCAGTCATGGCCATCCGAGGATATAAGTATGACTTACTCCAATATATTAGAGGTTCTTCGCTTGTTAAAGTTTACCATGGTCAAGCCCAATGTCCAATAGATATCGCTCAAAAAGGCATAGCAACATAAGAATTAAAAAAAAAATTTCTATTGTCTTACCTTTTAAGCTTTAATCAACATTTTATCAAATTTTCTTTAAATTTTGATTGCTCATTCATTAATAAAAAAAAATGAACAGATCACCACACATTAAATCAATAAAAGCACATAACAAAGCTGCAGCAGTACATGTATGAAAGGAATCAAACTATTTTCATCTGTTCTCAATAAATTGATAAATATTGTCACCGACTGAGAAAGATGTGAAGTCTGACTCACTCAAACCCATCAAAATTTCTTGATGGTTTTTTTTTACGCTTTTTATACGCCCGTTTGAAAAACGGGACGTATTATGGGAACGCCCCTGGCGGGCGGGCGGGCGGTCGGGCGGGCGGCGTCCAATTTTGTCCGGAGCATATCTCCTACATGTATGGAGGGATTTTAATGAAACTTCATAGAAATGTTCACCACTATGAGGAGCAGTGTCGCGCACATGAACCAGGTCTCTAGGTCAAAGGTCAAGGTCACACTTAGAGGTCATTGAAAAATGCTTGTCCGGAGCAAAACTTCCACATGTATAGAGGGATTTCAATATTACTTGGCACAAATGTTCACCATTGTGAGGCGGAGTGTCGCGTGCAAGATTCAGGTCCTTGCGGCCAAGGTCAAGGTCACACATAGAGGTCAAAGTTCAGATAAAAATATGAAGATGTGTATATGGACCATTTAGTCATTATTTATTGAGGGATTGTAACACAAATGGTCATTATCAAGACTATGGCTGTGATACATATAATTTAGGTCAATATATACAAGGTCAAGGTCACTAAAGATGATGAAATATCCAGATTTTGTAAATAGAATTTAATCAAAGGGCAACAACAAAGTTATTACTTTGTTCATAAATGACTTACACAATTACTCCCCTTGATCTACTTTCACTTTCAATTCTAAAAATAGAATTTAATCAAAGGGCATGAAATAATCCTCTTTTCTTGGACTTGAGTATGTTCTAAAGAATGTAACATTTATTTACACATGTTTCATTCATTGGTCAAGATTCTTAACTGTGATAACTATGGTGTTCTGTAGACTTGGTATTTGTTCATAAAGATCATACAGTAATTACCTTATCAAATGTAAATACTTTCTCATAGAAATTTAATTATATTTTAATTTTCAAGTAAATATCAATTCAGCTCATTCAAAGATTAAGAATTGTAATGAAATGTATTTCCCTAGAATAAAATCTTAAATCAGAATTTTTTAGTTATTAAATTACAATTACATGTACTTTTTATCTTCCCTACTGATTTGTTTTAAGGTTCATTTAACAACACAGTGCCAAGGATAAAAACTTGCTTGCTAGATAACACTTATCCATAATGCCCCCATCTGCATCTAAAGCTTTCGTAAACGGGCGTATTTTGTGACTATGGCACCCTTGTTTTTTAATAAGTTCATTTTTATGGCAGAAATTTAACCAATTCACACAGGGTGGTGTGATAGCTCAGTTGGCTATCACTGGCTGTCACTACTGAGGTCCCAGGTTCGATCCTGGGTAGCACCCTTGGGATTTTTCAGAGACACTTTCAGTGTTTCCCACCTAACTAGAGGTGTACTGGTAAGAAATCCAGGTAATCCTTACATATATCAGTGCTATACTCTAGGCATGTAAAAGGGGGTCTATTCAATAAGAGCTGGGGACTGGTTCCTTGATTCACTTCTATCTCATAGCTTTCTCTGATTAGTGACTAGTCTAAAGTCATGTCTACGTGCCCTCGAGGGGTTTGACATTAATGGAAGACAGATAGATAGATTAGTTTTTCCCTTCAAATCTTTAACAAAGTTCTCTTTTAATAAAAAGATTAGAATTTATTATAAATAAATTAATTATAAAAGTTTATTCCAACTGAATTTCCAGTTTAAAAATTTTTATTATCATTTATGTTTTGTCTAATTATTTATTATTTATTTATAATTGCCTCATCATCACATATGTGTTAACAGTTGCCTCATCATCACATATGTGTTAGTTAACAGTCTTGTCCATCATCAAATATCTGTTTACAGTTGCCTCATTGACACATATCTGTTTACAGTTGTTGCATCATCATCATCAAATATGTGTTTAAAGAGGCCTCATCACCACATATGTGTTAACAGTTGCCTCATGGTTACATAATATTTATGTATTTACAGTTATAAAATACCCATAGAAATAAATTAAATGTTTGCAGTTTCCATGAAATTGAATGAGATGTAAACTTAAATGTCAGCATTTAATTAAACACTGGTGCTTACTGTTACAAGTTACATTACCACTTCTGTCTGTAGATTAAAAACAGTTTCAATTTTATCACGGATTTAAATTTCAATTAAAGTCCGTGATTTTATATTGTAAATCAAAAAAATAATTACTGTCAAAATTAAAAAATTACATTTTTAGATTGAAACTGGAGTTGATTTCTATATTCAAACTTACATTATATTGTAGATTTACAAAATAAAACATTGCAACAGTATAATGATTTAGCAACATATAAAACATAGTATTTCAGGAAGAAAGACATGTGTAAAATTAAATCATTTAATTTAAAGTAAATACATTTATCAACTGGTAGTACACTTTTATTCGTTAATGAAAATTTATTATCAAAATTGCTCAAACCACAGCATGATGTGGGGAAGTTGTTTTAAGCTTTAAACCTCTGTGTGTTCCCAAAAAACTCAAATTCTGAAATCAATAAATAAGACTTATATGTTTGAATGAACATCTTTTTTTTTTTTTCTTTTTTTTTTTTTGTGGGCATTAATTTGCTCATTATGCCTAAGAAATCAATATATTCATTACAGTCAGTGTCAAAGATGTGTTTAATAAGGTTTTGAAATAAATAGATTTACAGCATGTTAGAACTGTTAACAGCTGTAGAAAGTAGCGCTGAATGTGCAGTAAAGTTTTGTAAAGGTAGCAAAATGTAAAAAAGTGGTATTTTGACTAAGTCCATTCAAAATATTAATAATAATTCACTATAATTACACTTTTTGCCATTGAAGCAAAAGGAGCAAAGATACATTGGCAATTGAGCAGGTTTTGGAAACTGTAGCAAAGAGATACTGAAAATTTTGAGAAATAAAACTGATAGCATTTCTGAGGCATAATGGGCCTTTTATCTAGTAAGTGCAATATACCTAATGTATAGATCAATATTGAAAGTGTATAGACTGTTTATAAGTTTATATCACATTTGAATTGATCTCAGCTTATAAGATAATCTTGTTAAACAAACATTTGTTTGTGATTAAACATTCTGAGATAAACAAATGGAAACCTGCTAAGATACACTGTATGATGTTTCTAAAGCTATCGCTCACCTGAAATAGATTGCGTTAACAAATATAAGGGCAAACTGTTTATTTATTTAAAGTGGTACTTTATTTTCATTATGACGGCATATTGATTATTGGAAATCCATAAGCCAAAGATTTATATTTTATGAGGTGGTCAAAATATTGTAGCTGTTATTTTAGTAACTTTGGTATCAGTGGATTATATTAGACAGGTGAATTCTTACAGGTAAATCTGGATATTTTTTAGTTTTTATTTTCTTTGTAAATAATTTAAAATGTTAATTTGCTTATAATGATGTAGTAATTTTTGGACTATCCAGTTGAAACTGGATATTTTTTCTCAGTGGTAGAATTAGTGTTGTCTGAGTTGCATTTTATCATTAGCCAGGTTAACAGGACTTATTTCCCATCTATAGTTTAGGCCATTTAAGCTAAGGCCTCTTCCCGACTTGAAAATTCATTCTTAAGAATCATGCAGCTCACCCTTAAAATGCAGTTAACATTAAGCTTTTTCTTCACCTTTTGCAAACTGCTATGTTAATTTATTTTCCTCCAAATTAGAGAAAAGACCCCTTATCTGTGATAAAAAAGCCCTGCTTGAAGTAAATTTATTAATAAATTAAATGCATATTTCATGAGAATATAAGATTTCCTTTACTCACTAAACCGTGAGTAAATTAATTATTTTCTATTCTCAAATACTTCTAAATAACAACAAGAAACATTATAGGTTTAGGTCGTTGTATTTGACAGAATTATCAAAAATTTCCTTTTGGCACATATTGGTAGCCTTGATGTTATATCACAATTTAAAGTGCAAGTAATTTATAGCTCAATATAACAGCAACAACTATTTAATTCTTTATTAATTGTTTTCTATATATTCCAGGTAAAACCCAACATAATAGCTATATCATTTTCATTGCCTAATATTTTCTATATTTCTGTGAAACCCGGCATATAGGCATATGTTTCAATCATTATGCTTATTATATAAATTGTTTTCTATATTTCAGGAAAAACCTACCATAACTGCTACATCAAAATCATTGACTAGTGTTTTCTTTATTCCTGTAAAATCTGGCATAATTATTCAGATAGCATAAGTGTTTTTATCCCAGCATAATGGCTGCATCTGGAATAGCGGAACACAATGAGGCAAGAAGGAAAGAAAGGTCTATGCAGAAACGTGCCTACCAACAGAAAATCTTGATGGTATAAAACATTTTCTAGTTCTTACTGCTCTTATTAAAATGTATTACCGGTATCAAGGAATATGATATCCTTTGCTGCTGTAATATGTAATTTTATGTTATAAATGATTAAAACGTGATAAAAGGTTCCTTTGTGCGGTGTTGAAATAAAATATTATTTAAGAAATAACAACAAACTCTATAATTTCAGTTATTTGGTAGCGCGAATCCCATGTTTGTGCAAATTATGTTTACAATTGTTGATAAAAAATATTTGACCGATAGTTTTAACCATTAAATTTTGTAAGATACATATGACGATGATATGTACATGTATTCCTTTTTTATATGCCCAAAGAATTTCGGGCATATTATGTTATACCCCCTGGCGTCCGTCCGTCTGTCTGTTTGTCTATCCGAGCAAACATTTGATATTTATGAGCTTCATTCCATAGTTTAATAAAGAACAAAAACTCAAAACTTCAAATTAAGAGCTATTTTTTTGTTTTTATGAGCTAATTTTGCTTATGGACGTTGGTCCAGGTGGTGTTATGAGCTGATTTGCCTCATATTTTATGTCAAAAGTTGGTACGTGATTCCCTCTGTCTGTCCGTCCGTTAGCAATTTGGTTTCCGGAGCATAACTTAAGTTCCATTTGGCCCACAACATTCAAACTTCATAGGATAATTGCCCATATTGGGTAGAAGACCCCTATTGATTTTGGGGTCACAAGGTCAAAGGTCACTATCGCCTTAAAACTGAAAACAGTTTCCGGAGCATAACTTAAGTTTCATTTGGCCCACAACATTCAAACTTCATAGGATGATTCTCCATATTGGGTAGAAGACCCCTATTGATTTTGGGGTCACAAGGTCAAAGGTCAAGGTCACTATCACCTTAAAGCTGAAAACAGTTTCAGGAGCATAACTTAAGTTCCATTTGGCCCACAGTGTTAAAACATCAAAGGATGATTGTCCATATTGGGTTCGAGACCCCTATTGACTTTGGGGTCACAAGGTAAAAGGTCAAGGTTACTATTACCTTAAAACTGAGAACAGTTTCTGGAGCATAACTTAAGTTCCATGAGGCCCACAGTGTTCAAACTTCATAGGATGAATGTCCATATTTAGTAGGAGACCCCTATTGATTTTGGAGTCACAAGGTCAAAGGTCAAGGTCACTATTACCTTAAAACTGAAAACAGTTTCCGGAGCATAACTTGAGTTCCATTTGGTCCACAATATTCAAACTTCATAGATGATTGTCCATGTTGGGTAGGAGACCCCTATTGATTTTGTTGTCACACGGTCAAAGGTCAAGGTCACTATTACTTTGAAACTGAAAACAGTTTCCAGAGCATAACTTAAGGTCTATTTGGCCCACAATATTCAAACTTCATAGGATGATTGTCCATATTGGGTAGAATACCCCTATTGATTTTGGGGTCACAAGGTCAAAGGTCAAGGTCACTATTACTTTAAAACTGAAAACAGTTTCCGGAGCATAACTTAATTTCTATTTGGCCCACAGTGTTCAAACTTCATAGGAGGATTGCTATTGGAAGGAGGTAATACTTTATTTAATTTATGTAATGTCTTACAAATGCTTCATCCTTAATATAAAAAAAACATTTTCGGGCATATAATGCTCCGCCTAGCGGTGCTCTTGTTTTAGTATTGGTTAAAGTTTATAAGTACGTATTTACAAAAATAAATTGGTCAGGCGCGGCGCAGCCATGCGACCAATTAATTTTTGTAAGTACTTACAAATAAATTTTAACCGGCTTAGACTGTGTTTTGAATTATTTCCATAAACAGTCAATTTCCTGTCTGATTAATAGCTTGCCGATTTACCAATGTAAATGTGTAATGATTTATTTGAAAAACTGCAATTTAATTGGCCAAAAAAAAAATTTTAACACCAAAAATTCTTGTAATTAAGATTTCAGGGTTTTCATTTTGATCTGAGGTAACAGATGCTCAAAAGAAAATGACAGATTTTGCCAAGGGTCTTAAGGGTGATACATTAATATACATTATACAGGCTGAAAAAACAACCGATTTTGTTACAGCATTTTAACTGATGGTTTGGATCGCCAATTGGTTAATAATGAAAACCCTGAGATTTTAGAGTCAGCTAGCATTTGTGTATAAGAGTACAAAATATGTATAAATAAATAGGTCAGTTATTGACAATTCAGTAAGATCCTGGTACTTAATGAAATATTTAATATTTATCATCATTTGATCACCCTAGTTCCTACAATAATAAATAAATTATGAATGAGACTCAAGATTGCCATACTGATCTGATTTAATTCTGGCAATCAAGTCTAGACTTAACAGGGGGGCGTGAACTTGTATTTATAAGGTACTGACTGGATTAAGAATTTAATCAAGGGTTATGGGAGAGGTCATGTTATTAGTTAAAATGTTACATAGAATGAAGTACTGTATAAAAAAACTGACTGTTAAAAAAAATTGAACTTAATTTGTTGATATACAAAACTTAAATTATGTTAATGGAAGCTATAAGCATATTTAAGACACACTCTCAAAATAATTTGAGGAATAGAAATGAGCCGTGTGACGTGACAAAACCAACATAATGGGTTTGCGACCAGCATGGATCCAGACCAGCCTGCGCATCCGCGCAGTCTGATCAGGATCCATGCTGTTCGCTATCAGTTTCTCTACTTGTAATAGAGTCGGTAAGCGAACAGCATGGATCCTGATCAGACTGCGCGGATGCGCAGGCTGGTCTTGATCCATGCTGGTCGCAAACCCATTATGTTGGTTTTGTCATGACACGGCTCAAATATATATTATTCTCTTAATTTCTTTTTATTAAAATCTTGATCTTAGCGTAAGATAATTTGCTACAAACATTATTTTTGCATACTCTCTTTTACGTAATAATTAAGTAAAAATAAATTCCAAAATAAAATTGTCCCCCAAATGTTTGTATGGTAAGAATAAACATTAGGGGGGGGGGGTGGGGAATTGCACCAATTAAACTATCCATTAAAAAAAAAAAAGGAATGGGCATGCAATAAATAGTACAGTGTTTGGAAGTAGAAGAAGCTAATGTGCTGATAGTCGTTACCTTCAAGAATTGTATAATGAATTATATACGCATGCTTGTGTTTTAATTCATTCAAATTCTTTCTTAAAAGCACATTATGCCCCAGGCATGCTTTAATTTCAAATTTTCAAAATATTTTTAATTTTGGTGTCCTGATTAAATTTGAAAAAAAAAACCCAACTAAGTGGCCAATTGCCGGAACAGTCTTCAGTGCTTCTGCTGCTTTTTGGCAATTAGTCATTATAATTGAAAATACATGTATAGTGACTTAGTATTTTGTATGGAATTCAAAATTTTAATTTGTTTTCATTTAGTTTTATGCTAGTTTTATGACACTTTTTGTACTAAAATTCTTCAGTTGATTAAGGCCTGTAAAATGCTTAAACCATTATTTAAACGTTATAAAGCTCATGTTTGTTCTTTCTAAATAATTAATAAACATTTGTTTCTGAAGCATATAATGTGCCTTTAATGTCATTTACACTGGGGACAAAATTTATACCCAGTTTACTGATGTAAATTTCCTATTAACCTATTATGTATTTTTGCAGTCACAGATGGCAGAGGAGTTTGGGGACAATCCAGACCTTGTTGGAGCAGCTATGGGATCAAATAGGGATACCTATATATCAGAAGTTAATCAGACAAGAAGATCGGGGTCACCACCTGGCCAGCCAGGGAGTAGTAGACATGATGCAGCATATGTTGACCAGTAAGTTTTTGAACCATGCTTGTCTTTGATGATATATCATAGAAAGAGTATAGGGATTTTCTTTGTCCAAGGTGCAAAGGTCACTTTAATTTATCTATCCTTCACTGCTGCAAGATAAGATTGGCTAAGAATTAATATATTATAAGAATAACATCGATTATCCATAATTACTTAAGCTCATAAGTTGCCATATAATGTCAGTTTTAGGTATAAAATGATAATTGGGCTTTTCTATTAAAGGAACTTCACTGAGGTCCTAAAGCCTTAAAAATATGATAAGTGTGATATTTGGGGTGCAATGGCTGAGTGATTACAGTCATTTTTCAACCAGTCATGCCCTTAACTGCTGTGAGTTCAAATTTGGTTTGGGATTTGGATTCTTTCATGTTAGGATACTATCAAGCCAGGTTACAGAACATCATTGGTTCTACTCTGCTTGTTTGTGCCTGAAATAATTCATAATTAAGGCTACCTGAGGTCTTCCTCCACCAGTTAAGCTGGAAAGTCACCATATGACCTTTACTGTGATGATGTAACGAACATAAATTCCAATTAAAGAAAAAATGTTTAAATGTATAGGAAGATTACATGCACATTCTTGAATTTGTTCGTAGGAACTTGTACTGAGCAATGAGTGTAAAATTTCTTGTCAAAGGAAACAACAGCTTGCCCCTATCATAGTTCAACCCACATGGTCAGCAGTCCTCTAATTATTGTGATGTGTTAGCAAGTCAGCTTCTTTAGTGCAGACCACTGTTATTGAAGGTTATCTGGTCATATCCAGTTGGCTTTAGAAAAATTTCTTGTGTAATCTGTTATTACATTTGCTTGTAAGTCCCCTACCGGTTTACCGGAGGGGACTTTAGGTTTACCCTCCGTCCGTCTGTCTGTCTGTCCGTCAGTCCGTCCGTCCACAAAACTGAATCCCGCGATAACGCAAAAAGTACTGAAAATATTTTTATGAAACTTGATATATGGATAGATGGCAGTATGGAGATTATGCACGTCTTTTTCTTTTCTTCCTATGTTGAAAATTCTGGTTGCTATAGCAACAAATCGACTGAAAATATGGCAAATTTTACACATAACCTGGATCCCGCGATAACGCAAGTACTGAAAATATTTTTATGAAACTTGATATATGGATAGATGGCAGTATGGAGATTATGCACGTCTTTTTCTTTTTTTCCTGTCCTGAAAATTCTGGTTGCTATGGCAACAAATAGACTGAAAATATGGCAATTTTTACACAAAACCTGGATCCAGTGATAACGCAAAAAGTACTGAAAATATTTTTATGAAACTTAACATTTGGGTAGATGGCAGTCTGGAAATTATGCACATCCTTTTCTTATCTTCCTATGTTGAAAATTCTGGTTGCTATGGCAACAAATGGACTGAATTTCAAGATTTCTGATTCTAGTTTTTTCACTATAAGTTCTTTATTTCTCAAAGTATTATCTTCAATCTTTAAATATAAGTTGCTAGTCATCAACCACATCATATGTGACAAAGTTTACAACTCGAGCACAAAATTTATTAGAATTACCTCCCTTGAACTTAAAATTTTTATGAAAAAAAAAATTGTTTTTTTTAATAACTTCTTTTTTTCTGAATGTCTCTACTTCAAACTTCATATATATGTTTCTTATTATCACTTAACATTTGTGAGAAAGTTAAATACTCTAGCAAGACTATTTCCAGAATTAGGCCCCTTTTGAACTTAGACTTTTTTTCGAGAAATTGGTAATTTTTACTTCAACTTCTTCAATCATGATAGGATTTTCTTCAAATTCCCACATCATAATAATATGACAAGGTTTATAAATCTAGCATCCATATTTCCAAAGTAATCTCCTCCTTAAACTTTTAATTTTTCTTATAAGTTCTTTTAACTTTCATTTACTTCAAATTAAAAATAACCATTCTTTATTCATACGTTCATAATACTTACACTCACATCAGGTATGACATCTTGCATCTTTATTTCAAGAGTTATCTCCTTTTTAAAAATTTTGCTTTTAAAAATGTTATATTTTGATAACAGTGATGTTTAAAAAATAACTGTAGAGTGTCCTTCAGTCTGTCTGTCTGTACATTAAAACTGTTTCCTGTGATCACTTTTAAAGAACTTTTTCAACAAATTTACTTAAAATAGAAACATAAGTGAATTGCCAATGGCCCTTCAGAATGTTGCTCGGGGGTTCTAACCGGTAGGGGACTTATGGATTGCTTGCAATACTATGTTTTGGGTTTTATGTCACACTGACACAGTATAGGTCATATTGCGACATTCCAGCCTTACTGTTGACGGAAGACATCAGGAGTCCTTCTATGTATTATTTCACGCACGAACATGCACCGGAGTAGAACCACCGACATTTCTAAAGCTAGCTGGATATCTTCATAACATGAAAGGATCAAAAGTCCCAGTAGAGATTCGAACCCACAGTGGTAAGGGGCAAGTGGTTTGAAGTCAACAGCCTTTACCACTCGGCCACGGACGCCCCATCTATTATTACATACAGTTTAGGGATAATTTGAGAGTGAAAGTAAAATATGTTAATTTCTCTATTGCAGAATGAGACGGGAACAATTGAGACAACAACAGATCTGTGAATATTCAGCGAAAATTCCACAACGGTTTTCAGTATGTTTGTTTGGTTTATTTTTTTATTATCGTGAACCATTAAAGAATTAAAACCAAAAGTGACAAGCGGTTGCCACCAGTGTTGTAGTCTCAGCCATGTCGGTCTGCACTTTGATCCAGTATGACCAGGCTCTATTATACTGTTAGCTAATTGATTTATAATGTTTATCTTGATACCCCTAAAATTTATAAATGTACAAACCCAAAAATGGATGTTGGGCAATACCATTTTAGAAAATCAGTAGATTCTGGATTTAGTAACGGGTAAATTGCAAAACAGGTAAGATTCAAATAATGAAATAAATTTCAATTGAATTACTATGTTAAGGGCATGTTTTTGCATAGATTTTAAAAGAAGCTGCATCGAATGATCTGAAATTTTGCACAAGTTACTGGTCCAGACCAATTTAAAAATATTTCCAGTCCTGTTATGTCCAAAAAAAAAAAAAAAAAAAAAAAAAAAATCCTTGCATTACCTTTAAGTCAACAATATTAACTAATTATAAAGATAAGATTAAACCAAAAACATTACTTCTTGAAAATTGAATAATTTAATGCAAGGTTTTTCATGATTTCTAATCAAAAAGTCAGTAATTGTCTTTTAATTGTCTTAGTAATTGTGCATCCGGGCAGTCTGATCAGGATCCATGCCGTTTGCTATTAGTTCTTCTACTTGTAATAGGATTTGTAAGCGAACAAGTTGGATCCTGATCAGATTGCTCGGAATCTTTTGCACAGGCTGGTCTGGATCCATGCTGGTCGCAAACGCACTATGTTGGTTTTGTCATGGCGCAGCTCAAATTTATTTTATTATTATTATCATAAATTTTTGTTTTCTTTTCCAGTCTATAGATTATGTGTCCCAGTGGTGACGAAATTTCAACCAGTTCACCGATGACCTCCTGCCTGTAACAATGGAACATTTATTTTATTTCCTTTCTAAATCTTTTTATTATTCTGTTTTATAACTTTGAACTTTGGACCTCCAAAATTAAAATTCACCGTAAAGAAGTTGAAAAATCCTTTGTTATTTATAATGTGAAATTTTGGTCATTTCTTATTAAATGTTACCCAACAAATAGCTTATTATCTGATATTATCAGTATTAAATCATGTTAAAGGAGGTGTAAATTTTTGCAAAATATTTAAAATTCTTATTTATACAATTAAAGAAATATTGCTTTCCAATTTTTACGATTTATAATGAAGTTGAAGTTTTATGTGTTTTATCCAATATCATAAATTTGAAAAAAATTGGACATAATATATAGTATTTGAAATGCAAAAATAATTTCACTTTGTGATATCAATATTCACTGTGATACTAGGAATTGTATTATAAATGAAGGCTTGATGTAAATGTGTAATATTTTTACGATTGTTTAAGGGACTGTTAAAGCTATATTTGGTTATCAAATAATTAGAATATTTGTTTGCATATTTATGAAAATCATACCAAAAAGTATATCTTAATTGATCAAATATTTATTGTAAATTTTAAATAAACTGTGGCATGTACTAAACCAACTAAATACAGCAGCTTAATTAATAATACTTTTGTTCCGAAATTTTTTTTGTTCTGATTTCATAATTTATAATATTATATAATACATTGGTATTTAATATTTTGCTAGAACTTTCTAATAGATATGTTCGCAAGGGTATGAAAACAGTGTGATTATACATGTATTTTTTGTTTGAAATGTTTTTTTAAAGTGGATTGGTCTATTACGTAAGGTGTGTAAATTGTAATACAAGTCATACTTACATGTATATCTAGAGTATATAGTATCGGACTTAACAACAAACCACTGAAGAATTTTATATAGATGTTGTGGTGTTGTCGGCAAGTGTGAGATATTTATGATCCAATATTATAATTCATATATTCATATAGCAAATAAAATGTCATAGAACAAAAATATTATTATTAATCTTATAAATGTTCATACTAAATCATTTCGTTGACTTCAAACCACTTGCCCCTCACCACTGTTGTTTTGAATCCTGACAGGGACTTTGGATTCTTTCATGAGAGGAAGCTATCCAGCTAGCTTACGGAATGTCGGTGGTTCTACTCGGGTGCCCGTTCGTGCCTGAAATAATGCATGGAAGGGCATCTGAGGTCTTCCTCCACCAGTAAAGCTGGAACGTCGCGATATGACCTATACTGTGTCGATATGATGTAAAACCCAAAACAAACAAACAAAATTTAGAACTTAATAATTTTTTTTGGGAAGTAATAACTTTTGTAAGAATATCCAAATGATACATTTCTATTGTTTTTGTCAATATTAGAAATAATTATGGAAATTGTGTCCATTGTAGACCAATCCCCTTTAATAATTTAGGTGGCGCGATAGCTCAGTTGGTTAAACCACTGACTATCACTCCTGAGGTCCCGGGTTCGATCCTGGGTTACACCCTTGGGATTTTTCAGAGACACTTTCAGTGTTTCCCACCTACCTAGAGGTGGTTCTGGATTCCCTTGTATCTTAAAAGCTGTTTCTTAAATGTATACAATGTATACCTGCCTGTAACACTCGTAAGAGGGGTTGGCAGTATCCAGAGATAGATAGATAGATAGATAGATAAAATCTGCAAGTTATGGCACCTTACAAAATCATTGTCTTGCAGCAGACTATAACTGTTGTAGAGGAATTGCTCATTGTTAATAATTTTTGTTATTGTAAAGTTTCCAAATTTTAGTTTTGATTTTATACATAGAATTTTTAGATAATCTTTTTATTGTTAAGTATTTTTGCTTTAAGAGAAAATAATTTATGATGGATTAGATGTGCATATATTTAACACTGTCTGGCATGTATCCAGGATTTTGACCAGAAGGACTGGTGTTGTAAAATTTTGGTAAGTGGTAATGCTCAGTCCAGAGGGAGTTTGGACTTTTATTAGAATTCCAGTGGCAGTCAGAAGACAAGTTTTTTCAATGATTTTCAATAGTTATTCTGTGATTTTCACTAAAATAGCATAAGTTGGTATCCATATCTGGGAAGACTTTGACTTTCAAGCAAAATTCTGGAGTGTGGAATCCCTCTTCCCTTTGGATCCAGGCATGACTAAACATGTTAGTTCAAATTACTTTTTAATATTTCTTTCTTGTTTTGAACCCCTGCTTCTCTGTTTATGAAATAGATTGTTTAGATGTAGCTTTTCTTTTTAAGTGTTTATTTCATTTCATTTCACATGCATAGTACCATTAGCTATAGGTGTTGCTATTTTTTCAAATCTTAACATTCATCCTGTCTTTTGACAGACTATTTTGCCAGTCATTTTCTTAGAAAACATGCATTTATAGAAGATGCCTTTGCCATTTTTGAAAAATAATATAATTATATATATATTTTTTTTTTAAAAATCCTAGATTTTTTTATTGATAAAAATCAACAATAACTTTTAAGTAGACTTGCCTAACAAAAAAAAACAACCAAAAAACTTTCTGTGAGTTCAACCTGTAATTTCAGCAAGTTTTTACACAATTCTTCAATTGTAAATTTTTGTACAATGGGGCAAAACATTTCTTTTGCTCACACAGATTTTTGTTAAACCTTAGGTATTAGTGTTGCATTAAAGCAGAATTTTAAGTTAGTACATGCTTACGTCTTTCAATTTGCATTGCACATTGTTATATAATATAATGTAACAGTATTATATTTATACTTTTTTTTTATATCCATTTATTTTATTTTTATTGTTGTGTGTAATATCTGTATTTCATACATCCAGTCTAATGTTCTTTTTCATACTAAAGTAAGGTAAACCAGTCTGAAAAAAAAATCAAGTCATCTTATTGGAGTATTCCTTTTTTGAAATTGACCAATGGTAAGGCAACTTTATATCAGACTGGTCTTCAACTTTTATTATTTAAATGAACCCAACTTTATTTTTGTAAAATAAGATTCTTTCGTATGTTTGGAACATCAAAATTAAAGGTTGCTGTTTAAATTAACATTAATAAAAGAAATTTGCATCTCGAGTTTATATACTTTATTTCAAGTCTTGAAAAATAGTAGGTAGAAAAACTTAGTGACATTATGCTCATACTATTATTGTCAAGTTGTTCTAAATTGAGTATATATTTAAAAAAATTAATTTTATAATGGCAATTAAAACCAACACTACTTGAAAATGGAAAATGTTTAGTGTAAAGCTAGGTTATAAAAAGTCTGCCCCACTCTTTTTATATATTGAATGTTACTGGTAAATTTCGATGGATATTTATAGAAATATTTCCTTTGGCTACATGCAAAGTAAATCATAAAATTGACAGGAAATATGTCAAAATATGAACTTATTTTAATGTTCACCTGTACATTCATGATATACCCTTAGATGATGTCACTAAGGTACACTTTCCAAATTTTTATTCTTTCATTCACTTTTTTACTCATAAGAATTTGTACCAGTCTGATAATTTCATATTTGTTTTGTGCTGTGAATAAAAAGATGTTAAACCACAAATTGTTTTGGTCATTACTTCTCCTATTGCTTTGATGGAAAAAGATATATGAGCCACGTCCTGACAAAACCAACATAATGGGTTTGCGACCAGTCTGGATCCAGACCAGCCTTCGCATCCGCGCAGTCTGATCAGGATCCATGCTGTTCACTATCAGTTTCTCTACTTGTTATAGGGTCTGTAAGCGAACAGCATGAATCCTGATCAGACTGCACGACTCATATACTTCCCTGAATCTTTCATGAAATACCAAACTTTTGACACTTTTGCAATTTTGTATGTATGTCTGTGTGTGTGTGCGTGCGTTCGTTCAAGGCTCCATCATTCCTTTCAGGCACTGAGAATACGAAACCCGGACATGTCACCATTCATGTCCTTTAATGTTATCTACTAAAAGTTGACCTACAAATTTTGAATTACGTAATTCACTGAACGGTACTAAATTCAACGTATGCATGCAAGTTGATTTTGCTATATTTACTATTTTGATGCACGGGAGGCCAATGAGACCATGATATACATGTATATAATTAGATGCATCATTGAGAATTATTTGAAATATCTCTGATACTTTATTTGGTTGAGTTCAAATGGATAAAAACTGCATGCATCTGCATCCCAGCTTTTACACTGTCACAGATAAGCAAATTCTGGTCTTTGAGGAAACGGTCAACTACGAAAATGTCTGTAATTTATTTTATTGAGTCGGCACCTTATCATGCACCACTGTAATATTGGTCAGGTTTCACACTAATAGGGTGAATGTCCCTCATAAAGCTAAAAATAGTTTTTCTTCACAATAAGGCAAAAGGAATTTAAAAGAGCTACGGGCAGGACAGCATATTGTCTGTTCTCAGTGCTTTATAATAAACATGTGCTGGGATAATGTATAATTTTCAAAGTTCAAATGGGCCATAATTCTGTCAAAATCTTTGTTGGAGTTATGGACCTTGGACAGTGACCGATAATGCTCTCAAATAAGTGTGAAGTTTCAGCCCATTTCATTTAGTAGTTTTGCAAAAACTTACCAAAGTGTGAAGTAAACACATGGGTGAGTGCAATTATAGCTCTCTCTACATTCATTGAAAAGTCAACCTTAAAATGAGGTTCAATGTGTCACTTGTAATCCACCAATGTTATAATTTAAATATAATTTTTTTGAGAGGCATTGATATAAGTGGATTGCTTACGCATAATAAATCATTTCGTGTCAATAATCAATATATTTCTGGAAATAAAAATTGTGAAAAACATAAAATGTTTATAATTATATCACAATTAAAAGTCATATTTATTTTCAGAACACATATAAATGACTGATCTACTATGGCAGTGTATTATTACATAAGCTTAACTAATTGACCCAAAGGAAAAAAATGAACACAAAGATATTTCCATCTGTCTAAAATACATCATATTATCCTAAATGCTAATGTTCTATAACTGTTACATTGTATTACACCAGTGCTAAAAAAACCTGTCTTACGTCCCCCATTGTATGACAAGTTGCTTGTTTTAAATGACATCATCCTCACATGCCTTTTGTAAATGAATTGCTTTTTTAGGATGACGTCATTGTGCTGTTATGAATGAAGTTGTAAATTTATCCACTACTTTAATAAAGAAAAGCTAAATGAAAAAATTAATATTAGTTTTCGTAATTTCTTTCCAACATATGATTAATGTATAAATGTGCAAGAAAAAGAATCAAGCACAGCCTGTTGTTACTGCAATAAACAGTTACCCTTGAGCTAGATAATTCCCATTAGTCAATATTATTCTTTCTTTCAAAGTGGAGGAAAAAAAGTCCAATATTAAAAAATATTATTTGTACGTACAGTAAATACTGGGAAAAAAGCTGTTATTTACTTTTCTCACTATTTAAACCCTATTATATTTAGTTTGCACTTAAATTTACCAAAGAAACTTTACACTGATTGCTCAGTACTGGTTGGTTCCAGTAACAGATTCAGGAGTATGTCTATATGCTATAAGCTTTACACACAATTGAACTAAAATGAATTCTGTATAAATAAACCAATATTACCCAAACTCAAAAGTCATTATGAACTGACAGCAAAATAATGAGGTTCCAATTAGCTTTTTTGTGGATCAAGATTCTATGATGAAAAGCTCTAAATTCTACATAAACAATTGAAAATTCAACATACATTGAAAATTTTAACATAGCTTAACAGAAAATGTGGACAACAAAGACTGATTGCATTTGAAAATTTAACAAAGCAAGAAAGTTTTCAGGACTATAAGCTTACATCTAATTTTTTTCCAGATCTTGAAAGCAACAGGACCAGGGTCAAAAGGTAATACAATTGTACATGTACATATTTTTGAAAAGTCAACAAAACTAAACAGAAAAATTTAATGCAAAGGTCCTGAAGCAAGCATTTAAAAAATTTAACAGATCTTAACAGAAAATGTTCAGGGCCTTAGCTAGCATTGAAAATTTAACAGATCTAAACAAAAAATGTCCAGGGCCCTATAAGCTAGCATTGAAAATTTAACAGATCTAAACAAAAAATGTCCAGGGCCCTTAGCTAGCATTGAAAATTTAACAGATCGAAACAGAAAATGTCAAGGGCCCATAGCTAGCATTGAAAATTTAACAGATCTAAACAGAAAATGTCCAGGGCCCTTAGCTAGCATTTTGAAAATTTAACAGATCTAAACAGAAAATGTACAGGGCCATTACCTAGCATTTTGAAAATTCAACAGATCTTAAAAGAAAATGTCCTACGATTAAAGCTTACTATTGAAAAGTTAACAAAACTATAATTATAGAAAATGTCATGGTCTAAACCCTGACATTTATTCAATTTTGTATATCTTACACATGTAAACTGAAAATGTTCACAACATTTATCATTCAAAAGATGTAAAATGGAAAATGTCCAGAAAGCAAAGCACATAGACGACCTAAAGCTAAAGGTCTTAAAGGGACTTCACTGAGGATTTTTGACATGACCAGAAAATAATGGAAATACATTTTTGAGATGAATGTTCCATTTGATGCAGACAAAAAATTTCAGATCATTCTCATTTGCTCTCTTTGTTTTTTCATTTGATCCTGATCTTTTTAAGTAAACATAGGGCCTGGATCTGAAACAGCCATTGTCACATGTGTAAAGTCAGGCCAGCCTGTTAATCCATGATCTCTGTCCAGTGTTCATAATACAATGTAGTGTATTGGTACCTCAATTTTTGTATTTTGATTCTTTGAAATAGACTTCAAAGCTCCATAACACAAATGGTTAGACAAACAATCTAAATTCATACCCTTTGTAATAAAACAGCCCGTATACAACAAAAACAAAAATCTCAAGTTACTTTTGCATAATAAATGGTAAATCTGTTTCTTTTCATCTAAAGAGGTTTAAAAATCCATTGTGGAGTTAGATATTTTCTAAAAATAGATTAATCGGAAATTCCCAAAACAAGAATCACATTATCTATAAATAGAACTAAGCATTTTCAACTTAAACAGTTCCAACAATTCTATTCACAATGGCATTTGCTACATCTAATGTTTCGTCTTCGCATATCACAATGTCGTATTTGCTCTTGTACAATTCCAAACTGTCTGCCACCTACAAAAATTAACAAAAAAACAATATGAAAAAATATAAAATCATTATAATAACATTTGTTAAATCCTTAGATCATTCTTTAATCATTTTGGCTTTGGTTTGGTCAGATTTTTCAGTCAAAACGACACAGATACTCTAATAAACTTACCAGATTTATAATGTCTGTCATATGATACAGAATATCCTCTCGAGACCCTATTTTCACCAATCAAGTTACTCAGACTGTTTGATTTGTTTGATTTGGTTAACATCACACCAACACAGTTTTGGTTATATGTTGACATTCCAGTTTTACCGGTGGAGGAAGACCTCAGTTGTCCTTGCATACACTATTTAAGGCACAAATGGGCACCTAATAGAATAACCGACTTCCATAAGCTAGGTGGAAGGCTTCATCACATGGAAAATCCAAGTCACTGTCAGGATTTGAACCCACAGCGGTGAAAGGAAAGCTACAGAGAGTGTTTATCATTTCATTGTAAGATTTTTCACTGACATTTTATAGCACATTGACCTATGACTTATTGACCTAAAGTAAATAGTGCTCAGCCAGTCCAAACAAATCTCTTTTAATAGAGAATAACAGGCCTCTGACATTGTTTTGTTAATGATTGGACCAGCTTTTGGAGGTCAAGATCACAGTTAGAGACATGTAGAAAAAGATGAATAAACATCCCCCAAAACATCCTAGGCAAACATCTTGCGCTGGGTCTCATAGAAAGTCGTAAGTCTAAAATCAGTCATGAATCATACTTGAGACAATCAATGTTGTGTATCAAAGAAAATGTTCTTACTTATGATTCCTATCTTAAGAATTCTGCAGTATCTGAACAGCAATGAAGAACAACATATTAAGGTATTCTTATTCTAACACTTAATGTTTTCCCCCAAAAAAAATTTCTTATACTGGCAAATATCGTAACAAATTAGTCATTTCCGGAACGTTATTTTTCACAATCTTCAATATTTAAAAACTATTAACCATTTATAACCAAAATTTAATAGTTAGAATAAGATAAGTGATTGTAAATAATCTAATGCCAAAGATTTTGAAAAAACAGTTCCGGAAATAATCAATTTGCTAAGATATTGGCCAAAATAGAATTTTTAGGCGAGAAACATTACAGTAAGACTACCTTAACACATTGCTGTTAAAAGTGTGTGTCCTTGTATTTGTTTTTTTTTTCAGGAGAATAATTTTAAACAAGGTGTAAATCTTTAACTTAGGCATGTTAAGATAGAAATATTTATAGAAACCGTTTAGAGTTAGCCCTATAGTCGGTCATAAGTTTTAGGACTTAGGAAACACTTAGGACTCAGGATACACTTAGGACTTACCATGAAACGCAGCACTGGTTTCTATGAAAGAGGCCACAAGTAATACTTCACTGTAGTTATCTACATGTGTATAGAAAATAAAAATTTTACCCTAGTATTAAGAAATCCTATCGTAAGTTTTGCTTCTACATTTTCAGCACCGTTTGCCATCTGGAGATCCCCTAATGAGTCACCCATCAGTAGAACGTTCGTACAGTGACTCAAATTGGAGAAATAGTCCGAGTCGTGGACGGCATTTTCATTTTTATTGAAGACATGTATTATCTCACCTTTGAAGCCGATCATTTTACCCTGTAACGATTAAATTATAATTTGTGGCAATTTTGAAATGAACTACTACCTTTTTTTGTTCTGAGTTCGGGTATAACTGACAGTGACACTTTGTTTAATATCACATATAAAACAAGACTGCATTTGAGAAAAATGCTATGCCACCGCATGGTTCAAATTTCATAGCTGTACATCAAATGACAAGAAAGTAGGTCACATCATCAAAATCTAGGTCAAAGTTCAATTTTATAACTAAATCTGTGTATATGGTCAAAATTTCATTGCTGTACATCAAAGGACAAGAAAGTATCTATGTACATAATGAAAATCAATTACCCCTGGGGTGGAACCAATTTTGACCCCAGGGCTATAATTTGTACAATCTTGCTAGAGGTTCACTACATAATGTTTCATGCAAAATATCTTAACTCTTTCCTTTGTAAATTTAGAGAAGATGATTTTTTAAGTTTTAACTATATACATATAAGATAAACCTATGGCTCCCAGGGGCAGGGCTAATTTTGACACAAGAGGCAAAATTTGAACAACTTTGGTAGAGTACCTTTAGATGATATTATTTAACAAATATTAAAGCTCTAAGCCTTGTACCTTCAGACAATAAGAATTTTTTTTTTTTTTACTATATGTATATATTGAAATCAATGACCCGGGGGGGGGGGGGGGGGGGGGGGTAGGGGGCCAATTTTGACCCCAGAGCTATAATTTGAACAATCTTGCTAGAGGTTTACAACACAATGTTTCATGCAAAATATCTAACCTCTAGCATTTGTCAATTGCTAGAAGAATTTTTTTTAAGTTTTTACTATATACATATAAGGAAAACCAATGACCCCTGGGGTGGGGCCAATTTTCACCCCAGGGCTAAAATTTGAACAATCTTGCTAGAGGTTTACATCACAATGTTTCATGCAAAATATCTAACCTCTAGCATTTGTCAATTGCTAGAAGAATTTTTTTTAATTTTTACTATATACATATAAGGAAAACCAATGACCCCTGGGGTGGGGCCAATTTTCACCCCAGGGCTATAATTTGAACAATCTGGGTAGAGGTCTACCAGACAATGCCTTATGCAAAATATCCTAGTTCTAGGCCTTTTGGGTCTTTTAAGTTTTTACTATATGTACATATAGCGAAAATCAATGACCCCGGGGCGGGGCCGATTTTGACCCAAGGGCTATAATTTGAACAATCTTGGGAAGGGTCTACCAGATGATGCCTTATGCAAAATATCTAAGCTCTAGGCCTTTTGGGTTTTTACAAGAAGGTATTTTAAGTTTTTACTATATGTATATAGTGAAAATCAATGACTCCGGGGGCGGGCCAATTTTGACCCCAGGGCTATAATTTGAATAATCTTATTAGAGGTCTACCAGACAATGCCTTAGGCAAAATATCTAAGCTCTAGGCCTTTTGGGTTTTTACAAGAAGGTATTTTAAGTTTTTACTATATCTATATAGTGAAAATCAATGACCCCCGGGGCTGGGCCAATTTTGACCCCAGGGCTTTTTGACCCCAAGGCTATAATTTGAACAATCTGGGTAGAGGTCTACAAGACAATGCCTTATGCAAAATATCCTAGCTCTAGGCCTTTTGGGTCTATACAAGAAGATTTTTTAAATTTATTCTTATAATTCCTTTTGGTTGCCATGGCAACCAGATTTCTGCATGGAATGAAATTCTTTGAACAACTTTGGAAGCCCTTCACCCAAGGAACAATCCTGCCAAGTTTGGTTGAAATTGGACTAGTTGTTTTTCACAAGAAGATTTTTTTAAGTTCACTATATAATCTATATAACACACACACACACACACACACACACACATACATACACACAGATGAATCGCTATATGCCACCGCATCGCAGATGCTGCGGTGGATGCCACCGCATCGCAGATGCTGCGGTGGCATAAAAACCCAAAGAAACATTCTTTTATTTTGTTTTTTTTTAATCAGATCCATTAATTCAAAAATAGGTTTTTTTCCAAAAAAAAAACTGATTTGATACTTGTAAAAATTGGGTCAACGATGAACTAGTTTAATTACCTTTGTGATCATTTTTTCAAATACTAACGCTACTTACGTTTTCATCAAAGTCAAGATCGTTTGAAACCACATGCATATTGTCGTAGAAAGTTGAATGTTGTGAGATAAGTTCACGTATGATGTCACCAACACCAGCAGAGAATATCAACAACGGTACATCACGTTTGTGAAGTTTGTCAAAGAAGTCAAGACATCCATCTCTGAAAATATAAAAAAACACTTGTTTAAGGGGAGTGGTGGCCCAGTGGTAAAGGTGTCTGCCTATTAACCAAGTAATCATGGGTTCGAGCCCTGCCAGGATCCTTAAAGTAATCAAGGATTCAAGCCCTGCCAGGGTCCTAATATGACACTAGTTTTGAAATATCAAACAAAATGAAACCTTATTTAAGGGTCCTATTGGTTATGGTGTCTACCTCTCAACCCAGGGAGCATGGGTTTGAGCCCTACTAGGGCCGTCATATGAAACTTTTTGTACTGAATAATCATCCCAAGAAGCCATCTGGATAATGGTTCAAATAAGGTGCAAGTATTTTTTCACAATCAAATATTAAATAATGTCTGATTGAATCACTGTTTTAAGATTTAAATTTGTTTTGGCGTAAAAACCTAAATATTGCTGACAATCCTTCTGTTTGTTTGCTTTGGTTTTAAGACACACTAACACAATTTAGCTCATATTGTGCGGAAATGGGGACGATCATTTTGGCGAACCCCTGTATAACAAACTTAAAGCAACACCAGGGGTCAAAACCACCTCACCTGCTGGAACTAAGAGATGCATATACTCCAGCATTTCATAAATTCAAACCCATTTGAGCCGTGTCATGACAAAACCAACATAATGGGTTTGCCACCAGCATGGATCCGGACCAGCCTGCGCATCCGCGCAGTCTGATCAGATGCGCAGGCTGGTCTGGATCCATGCTGGTCGCAAACCCATTATGTTGGTTTTGTCATGACGCGGCTAATTAAGTCACAAGGATAAACGGTGGCTGCAATTCTGATGCCTCATCCCTTAAAGAATTTTTCTCATTACAAATAAGAAATTTTGATTGAAACGAAATTTGCAAGTTTGTTCTATATTGTGTCAATTAGTGAGACAGACAATTCGTTTCCTGATCTTCTATTTTTAGAAACAAAAGTCACAACTGGCAAATTTCATATTCCACCTTAATTCTTTTGATTTGACAATATTATGAAGCACTTGATCTAAAAATAACAAATTTAACCTTTACAACAGCTGAAGGCCACTTAAGGAAGAGCTAAACAATTGTGGTCCTGTCACTTTAAAAAAAAATTAAAATTATATAAATCCTCCTTATTAGGCTATACCATCACCACAGTGCAATAACTGGTTAACTTCCATTAAATTTAGAAGGTTAAAGCCATTACTGCACCAAAGAGACAATATGTCATGAATATTCATCATCCTCCTTGTCAAAGCCTAAAATAACAAACTCGGGGGAATTTTTTGTCATTTCACTAACTTACCTCAATCTTGCTGTAGAATTTGCAACCATATTGTGTAGCATTTCTTTATTTAGTGGGTATTTTACCAATAGGTCATGTGCCTGTGTCCACCTGTCAAATGACAAGAAATTTTTCATCATCATAACATTTGTAATATTTCTTAACAATTCAAGCAAAGACCAATGCCAAATAAAATGCTTCTAAACAAAACATTGTGTGCAAAATCTCAATCACTTATTACACTAGTGCAAACACCTGGGATAATAACAAGGCACTAATTTTTCTTGTTCCTACTCCACAATTAACTGTAGATTCAGTACCTTTAATAGAACTCAGAATCATATTTACACAGTGGTCTTTCATCATGTGGTTGGTTACATAATGGCTTTGTTACAGTTTATTATTGGCTACCAAAATCATATACTTAATTTCTGTATGTTCAAAGCTTAGCCTCTCCCAGTATTTCTGGAAACTTGGCTCCTAACATGCCATTCTCAAATAGCTGCGGCCTGCCTGCGATAGCAAAATTTTGTATACTATGATTTAAAATAAAAACTCAATCAGAGAAGTTATGAGTACATTGGTGCATTTGATAAAGGTTAACTTGTGGTAGAAAGTGATGTCAAATAATGCCTAGAATAACATGTAGTCCAAAATTTCTAAACAGACTGGCTGAGATAGCTTTGAAAATAAAGAGCATGGAAATAATTTTTGGCACCCGATTCTCCAAAAATGTCTTATTTATTAGAAAAAGAAATTGAGCTCAGATAATTTACTTCAAAAAGAAGGCAGCAGTTAGAAATGCAAAGTGTCAAACTGGATACATTTGTTTCTGCAGACTTGAATATAAACTTGAAATATTCTGAAATTTTTACGTAGATGTAAAAGCAGATGATTGATCTTTTTTTACAGAAAGCTTCTGATGAAAGTAAAATGTTGATAACCCTAAAATCTGCTGCTTTGTTTACACTTACTGACACATACACTGGTCATACTGCACAAAGACACAATGTAACAAACCACCTGATAGGCAACTGTGATATTATTTTCTTACAAAAGCTTTAAATGGCATAAAGGTAGAAATAATTTTTATCCTTAAACCAGAAATCATATAGGTCTCCAATCTTCACATAAACAACTGACTTTTACAACAAGCTGCTTAGGGCCCCATATAAGCATCTGACTTTACCACAAACCACAAAGGGCCCTAATATAAGCATCTGACTTTTACCATAGCCACACAGCACCTTATTTAAGGATTTAACTTTTACAACATAAAACAGAAGCACGAAGTCAGTCACATTACCTTATTATTGTACATTTTCTAATATGTTATCAAAATTCTGTATATTCATAATCATACAAACCATTCTATCATATGTGGAATTTTTTCTTCTATAGTCATATTGGGATCTGTCTCAATGGGAAAATATTTGTCCCTGATCTTGTATGCCTGTAAATACACAGAAACAAATAAAACAACTTTGTAATCCATTTACTCATGAATAAAACAAGGATGGTTTACATATAATGTATAATTTTATGTTCTACCCTGTTCTTACTTTATTTCTGCTAAAATGTATCCTATATTGACTATTAATTTATTAACTTTAGAAAATTACAAAGAAAGTGTTGAGACTGCTCCTCTGTACATTATTTCAGGCACCCTCTATGCATTTTTAGGCATCCTCTGTACATTATTTCAGGCACCCTCTGTACATTATTTCAGGCACCCTCTGTACATTATTTCAGGCACCCTCTGTACATTATTTCAGGCATCCTCTGTACATTATTTCAGGCACCCTCTACATTATTTCTGGCACCCTCTGTACATAATTTCAGGCACCCTCTGTTTATTATTATTCCAGGCATCCTATGTACATTATTTCAGGCACACTCTGTACATTATTTCAGGCATCCTCTGTACATTATTTCAGGCACCCTCTGTGCATTATTTCAGGCACCCTCTGTGCATTATTTCAGGCACCCTCTGTGCATTATTTCAGACACCCTCTGTGCATTATTTCAGGCACCCTTTGTGCATTTTACAGTCACCCTCAGTGCATTATTTCAGGCACTCTCTGTACATTATTTCAGGCACCCTCTGTGCATTTTTCAGGCCCCCTCTGTACATAATTTCAGGCACTCTCTGTACATTATTTCAGGCATACTCTGTTCATTATTTCAGGCACCCTCTGTGCATTATTTCAGGCACCCCTGTACATTATTTTGACTAACTCTATGTATTATTTCAGACACCCTCTGCATTATTTCAGGCACCCTCTGTACATTATTTCTGGCACCCTCTGTACATTATTTTAGCCATCCTCTGTTCATTATTATTCCAGGCATCCTCTGTACATTATTTCAGGCACACTCTGTACATTATTTCAGGCATCCTCTGTACATTTTTTCAGGCACCCTCTGTACATAATTTCAGGCACTCTCTGTACATTATTTCAGGCACCCTCTGTGCATTTTTTCAGGCACCCTCTTTACATTATTTCAGGCACCCTCTGTGCATTATTTCAGGCACCCTCTGTGCATTTTTTCAGGCACCCTCTGTACATTATTTCAGGCATCCTCTGTTCATTATTATTCCAGGCATCCTCTGTACATTATTTCAGGCACACTCTGTACATTATTTCAGCCATCCTCTGTGCATTATTTCAGGCACCCTCTGTGCATTTTTTCAGGCACTCTCTGTACATTATTTCAGGCACACTCTTTGCATTTTTTTAGGCACCCTCTGTGCATTTTTTCAGGCACCCTCTGTGCATTATTTCAGGCACCCTCTGTGCATTATTTCAGGCACACTCTGTGCATTTTTACAGTCACCCTCAGTGCATTATTTTAGGCACTCTCTGTACATTATTTCAGGCACCCTCTGTGCATTTTTTTCAGGCACCCTCTGTACATTATTTCAGGCACTCTCTGTACATTATTTCAAGCACCCTGTGTGCATTATTTCAGACACAAGTGGTCACTTCAGTAGAACCACTGACGTTTCATAAGCTAGCTCAGGATAGCTTTCTTACATGAAAGAATCCAAAGTCCCATGCAGGATTTGACTCTACAGCAGTCACAAATTATAGTGATACGATTACAGCCTTTTGTGCTTGGCAGCATCAAAAATTAAAAGGCCTATTAAAGGGACTCCACTGAAGTTCCAATGCCTTAAAGACAATAAAAACATAAAATTTCAAAATCTAACAAATATCAAGTGAACACATTAAATGGACAAATCTGTAAAGGATAACAAAGCAGTATACTCAGAATTGAATTGAAAATCAATTTTTGTACAATTCTTAGCCGGTTTTGAGTGAAAAGCATTGCAGCACTTTTCACTTTTGGGGTCCTTTGTTGCTATAAAAATGATCATTCTGGAAAATAGGAGAGGGTGAATAAGCTGAAAATGTGCACAGTCACAAATAACTGGTCCAGACTTACATCTATTGGTTAAAAAAATTTGGAAAAATATTTCTATTCATGTCATGTCAAAATATCTCAGTGGAGTCCCTTTAAGGGTACAAAACTGTATAGAATTAGAAATAGAAAATATCTACCTTTTGTTTGTAGTCATCTGGTAACCCCCCTTCTTCCAACACATCTGAAATCATTAAGTTACACAAACATACAATATAAATCTTATGACAGAATGATCATCATCAACAACAACAACACATGAATGAAAAATTGTTTTTAGTTATTCAATCTCTTGCCCCTTAAGGATAAGTTTTATAATATACATGAAATATAATTATAAAAGGACAGTTCACACATTTTATAAACACTAAAACAATATATAATTTAATGATAATCTATCTTTAAAATCTATAAAGTATCTAACAAAAAGTTGCACATAAAAATTTAAAAAGGAAATCCTGAAGTCCAATATACTAAAAATAAAAATTATTTTTTTTATAGTCAGCTGGGGACTTTAAAAAAGAAGATTTTAAAAAAATTTTTGAAAAATTTGAATAGATTGAAAAATCATGTGTTTTTATTCTTTTCCCAATTTGATGAAAAATGTTTCAACCTTCAAATTTTTGGGGGTAATTCACAATAAAATAATCATTCTGGGAAAAAAGGGGCAAGCAATGGGCTGAATTTTCAACATCTATTATTTTGACGTCAACAAATGGAACATTAATCTTGAAAAAAATATTTCAAGTCCCGTCATGTCAAATAACCTCAGTGGAGTCCCTTTAACCTAACATCAAAGTGAGTAAGATTAGACCTGCTATTCTTCGAATAGTCTAGTTAAAAGGAAAACTGCAATTCTTGCAACATTTTTAGTGATAATTTTGTGTATGTATTATTTACTGCAGGTCTACTGTAAAATCATTATTATTCGTGGGGCATGGATTTTCGTGGTTTTGGCGGGTAGGTCAATCCACGAATTTAAGATCCGACAAAATTTTATCCCAACAAATACTTCTTGCCATGTCTCTATTCTATATACAAACATGCATCGGCGCTTTTCATAATGAATGCCATGAGGCAAGGATTAAATTCATTGACAAGCGCTGTGTGATACGTAAAGATATGTACATGCGACAAGTAATATGCATGGCGATTAAGTGTAAGATTCCTTTGCATTTGGTTACATTTTTGTGTGTTTATTTTTTTACAAGAAATTGAAAATCCACAAATTTAAGAACCCACAAAAATGCCCATTTTGATAAAACCATGATATTTCATGCCCACGAATATAAGTGAATATAATATATATAAGTATATAATTCAACTTGTATGTATGCAAGCATTAAGGATTAGACACTTATACCCACAGTGTTTATAGGCTCTTTCAATATAGGCTCCAAGATGACCAAAAAAATATCCTCGCTTAAAATTACAAAACCAACCCAATATTTGTTTTACACAGTATTAGCTATCAAGCTATTTGATAGGATAAACAAAGTGACAAGCCTACATAACTTTTTTTTGCAAAGCACTTAGCAAAAAAAGCTAAAAAAAAAGCAGAGATTTTGATAAGCTTTTTATCACTACTTTTTTAATACTGAACAGATTTTCTTAAAAAAAAATTGGTGCATAAATTCATAATATAGGAAGTTGTTTCTTTGACTGTAGAGCATTAGGTATGATTAATGTCGCAATTATGATTTTCTCCAACATTTTCCAAACTGATCTATAGTCAATGAACAACATGTACCAACTAAACAACTGAATAATTAAGGAAAGATTGTTGAAAATCAGAGCAATTCCACACAAAGTCTGTTACATCAAAAAAGGTGCTTACCATGCAAGGGTTTGTACATTTGACTTGAAGAAAATCTGTTTAGTAAGTAATAGGACACTGACTTTCTTTTTTCCAAGATGAAGATTAAACCCTTTTTTATTACAAAAATTCAGCCCAAATTTTGCAACAATCAGAAAAAAAACAATAATTTTACTTCAAGGGAAGGTATACAGATCAATCAATTGGTTTTATATGAATAATGTAGTTACAAGAATCAGGGCTTTTTATTGCCACTAAGACTATATTTAAGGGTATCAATATATCTATATCTAAAAAATATTCATAAAAAATTTTTAAAAACAAAAATTTTTTGTTTCCATTAGTACATTATATTTTGGAGATTCTAAACATTTGATTTTAAAATATTTCTGCCCTTTTAAATTTTAAAACTCTTGAAAAGTTAAAAACTATGAAACAAAAAAAATGTAAAAAAAGAAAAAATTATTGCTATATTTTAGTACTATATTTTCCATTTTTGAAAGGGCCTTATTTATGGGCCAGCAGGAAAAATTCAAACATCTTTCATACAGGTATTTTTAAATGAAAATTTAAAAAAAAACAACATTTTTTTTTGTAACTAAAGACAGCAGAATACATAGCTTTATACACTTTAAATGGATTTTTTTTTTGTTGGGAAGGGGGGTGGGAGAGAGGGGGGGGGGGGCGGAGATCGACACACAAACACAGTATAGGTCATATGGTGACAATCTAGCTTTACTGGTGGAAGAGAAAACTCAGGTGCCCCTTTCAGGCACCAAGGGACACTGCTGGTAGAAGCACCTAAGTTCCCTAAGCTTAAGCTGTATAAGCTCAGATAGTGAAAGGTTCAAAGAAATAGGTGAAATGGGCAAAGAAGAGAAAAGCTGAAGCTCCAGATATTAAAATAACAGCACACTACATGAGCAGCGTCACAACGAAACCAACGTTATGTGTTTGCTACCAGCATGGATCCAGATCAGATCAGGTTCCATACCGTTCGCTAACAGTTTCTCTACTTGTTATAGAGTTGGTAAGCGAACAGCATGGATCCTGATCAGACTGCGTGGGATGCGGCTAGGTAGTCTGGATCCAGCTGGTCCCGAAAATCATTAATGGTGATTTTGTAGTGATGCGTGCTCATTATAAGGACTACTTGACATGTGGGCCACCATTTCCACTGTGTGTGTACTTATGACGTGGTCCCTATCGAAATCGGCTACTACCTTGAAAAGTAAATCAATGGAAGATAAATAATATATATGGAATACATAAACGACCCATGGCTATTTCGATCATCCTCAAAGTATTCAAATTAGTCTGCCAAGAGACAAGTAAATCAATATTTAAACTAGCCATATCATAGTAGCTTTTAAAAGTAGGATAATTTGGCATGGTGTAATGAATACATTATTTCCCATCGCCCGCGCCTGTTTTTGTTGCGACTTCAATCATGCACAACTCTGTTTAGGTCATTAAAAGCCACTTTCCAGCTTTACTGATGGGGAAAGACCTCAGGGTCCCTTCAGTGCATTATTTCAAGCATGAATTTTACCTATTTATTACATTAAAAAAATGTGTTTTTCACAAGAAAAAAGGGAATTTTTGCATAAGAAAAGGAGCCAATTCAGGAAAATCTTCCAATTTTCATAACAATTTAATCAAATAATTTATCCATCAGCCCATGTTATCACCACCCCGATATTAAATGAGCCGCACCATGACAAAACCAACATAGTGGGTCTGCGCAGTCTGATCAAGATCCATTTTGTTCGCCATCGGTTTCTCTACTTGTAATAGGGTTTGGATGCTAACAGCATGGATACTGATCAGACGGCCCGGATGCGCAGGCTGGTCTGGATCCATGCAGGTCACAAACCCATTATGTTGGTTTTGTCGTGACGCAGCTCAAATGTCCATCTTGCACTACTTATATTGGAGAAGAATTTCATTGTTATGGTATACATACTTACTGTAGGTGCAAGGACCTTTGTAGTTGGTAATAGTGGCATCAAAATCTGAACAGACCTGTGAGAATTTGTAAAATGTCAAATTGTGAAAAAATGTGAAAATGTGAAAATTGTGAAAATGTGAAAATTGTGAAAAAATTAAAATTTTACATTTATGAAAAACAAGAAGAAAGCTTACAAAGGACAGTAACTCCAAAGTTATGATAAAGAGTTATGATTCTTGAGCACTGCAATATAATTATTCTGCTCATTGAGAACTATCCATCATTAAAGATTCAAGATTTGATAATATTTATCAAGAGCCAAACAAAAACACAATAGTCAAATGGACAGACAGACAAGCTGGGTGATTTTAGTATATCCACAATATAGCATGCATAATTGTTATCTAAGGGATATTATAATAACAAGTCGACGAAAAGTTGGGTAAACTTAGATTAACACACTGGTAATGCATAAACATGACCGTATCTAGGCAATATTTCAACAGCCAATCATTTGTGCAAGTAATTGATTCATGAATATTATAATAAGGAGAGAGGAGGAGCATATGCAAATTCTGAATAAATATTAATAATAGAGGGAAAATCTTAGAATAAAAGAATAACTTACTTGTAGTTTGTCAGGTCCATCTTTCACCATTTTCATTATTGTGTTCATTACATAATCCCGGTCCCGTATATGAACATTATTACGATTCAATTCCTCAATCTGAAATTGACAAGAAAAGATATTAGTGTAACCTTTAAGAACATAATTTTATTATCCAAAGAGAAAATTTCTGCAGTGAAAGAAACTTTGGATCTACATCTGTTTAAGAATTATCAAAGTTTATTCTTGCATAAAAACTCACAGTGTGCGCAGGTTACGCATTCACATAGAAGTAAACTGTTTGGGTTACGGATTGAATGTTACCTTTTTAATATCTTGCTTATTGTGACCTGACACAAGTTTAACACTTATTTCCTTATAATATAATGCCTTGATTTGATGTAATAATTATATGTTTTAAATAAGTGATATGTAAATTAGTAATAAACATTTCCTAATAGGTTATATGCTATATGTATTAAATAATTATATGTATTAAATCAATAATTATACGTTTTTAATAGGTTATATGTAATAATATGTAATAATTACATGTATATTATGTATTAAATTAATAAGTATACATTTTTTTAAATAGGTTATATGCAATAATTATATGTATTAAATTAATAATTAAATATTTTTTTCAAATAGGTTATATCATTATGAAATAATTATATGTATTAAATTAATAATTATATGCTGTTTTTTTTAAATTAGGTTATATGTAATAATAATTATATGTATTTAATTGGTTTTATGTAATGTGTATTAAAGTGTATGAAGTTATATATCTGCTGCCTGAAGTACAAAATTTTTGTTTCAATTGAAAAGAATTATCAATTCCAAAATATTTTTATGAAGAAATAATGTTGGTTTAGTGAAAGATTCATACATAATGTACAATAAATCATTGGTAAATTACAACTTATATTAGCAAAATAATATTTGTTCTGCAACATTTTATTATGTTTTCGTACAAAACTCATAATATGTATTATTAATTAACAGAGACAATTTCTATCACAAATTTTCAATGGATCAACTGTAACTGGCTATGCATGGAAACAAAATAATTTTACCTATCCATTTTAAAATTTTATAATATTTTAATGTATTATTTCATAAGATATAGTTTGATACCTTTAAAATTGATTTCCTGTAAAAATTATTATATGAATATTAAGTATAATTAAGTATAATTACCTGAAACTGTGGAGCAATCCCCATGTTTCTTTGAAAATATCAGGATAAAATTCCTAGACTTCTCAAAATTTATAATATAATAACAGAATCTCCCCCTTTCCGAAACTTTACCAAAATTATTAATATAAATACAATAACAGAGTACATATATATATTGGAAACACAATATAAAAGCTAATACTCTTTTCCTGATACAATTATGCTGGAAATCTGATCAAATAAATATATACGTGCAACAAGATGTAACATTATTAACTGATATTGCTTATCAATAGACAAAATTAGGATATACTATTATTCTTGCCCCAAAAGTTTTGTTTCTTGTCTCCATTATACTAAAAATAGGGTAATCAAATAGAATTTTTTTTTTATTTCTTATATTTTATTTATATAATTAATATATCTTTACTGCATTTAAATTCAAAGGGCTAGCTGACTTAAGGCTAAAAAATCAGCACTTAAAACCCCTTTAAAAAATAATGGAAATATTGGAGTTTGTTGTTATTTCTTAATTTTTATATATATTACAAATACTATAATATAATAATTATTTGTTGCTATTATTTTTAAAGGGCTGATTTAGTGTCAAAATTCAGCACAAAACCCTAATGTTTTTTTTTAATAAAAAGAAAGATACTAGTATATTCCCCTGGTTTCTGAATCGGCTAAACAATTTTTTTTTGGAGATCCATCAAAAAAGAGAGGCACTTTATTTCTTGTGTATAGTTTGGACTAAAGGGAGGTATTCTGATGTTTTATCACAATTTCAAACAAAATGCACTGTGTTCTCCATTTCTAAATTTGCCCTCCATGATGCAATTTTCCCCCTCTCTATGGGCCACTAATGACTCTAATAATATATTCCCCTTAAGTATAAAAAGTACAGACATTGAAACTTTGAATCAGAAGAAATTGTGTTTGAAGAAGCAGAAAGGAAAATTACAAGTGTTAAGGGTACGTAATATACACTGTACATCTTACATGTATAAAGCAAATGTAAGGAGAACCAAATCAGAACATTTGTATGGCCTTATCTATAGACCTGATTAACAGATAATTATTATATCATTCTCACTAATTTATACATGTAGTATACAATATTATCTGATATTAGCCAGTAACAACATTGTAATGGCCTCTACACTCTAAATTCTTTACAATTATGCTTAAATAACTATCATTAATAATTTTACAGTATATCAATTTAATGCCATAATCTACAGGATCTTTATTATCTAAAAAGGAAAGTGGAAAAATTATATACTGTCCTTTCATAAAGAATTAAAATATAATATGATCTCATTTGCTTTGTCAAAATGAAAAGATATTGTATAATTATTCATAATAAAGATGTTATAAAACTAGATGATGTTTCAAACAAATTATGTAACTTCTAGTACACCTTGGGCTTTCGGAGAATTTTGAAGGTTTTACTATACACATACATTACAGACACCAGGGCAGGTTCAATTTTGTCCCAAATGGCATAAATCAAACAATCTTGGTATAGTTAGAGATCCATCAAGTGCTGTAACATTTCAAACATCTAAGCTCTAGCTCTAAAGGTTTCACCGAGAAGAGGATTAGTTAGTTGTATATATTTAAGTAAAAATCCAGAGCTGAACCAATTTTGACCCTAGAAATAATTATAATTTAAAACAACTTTGGTAGAAGACCTCTTGGTGACTTTCCCCCTCCCCCCAACCTCTTGGTGATGTTATATACAACAAATTCAATCATATCAATGGTCTAGGCCTTGTACTTTTTGCATTTCTGAAACCCCATTCTTTGTCCCTGTGACCCTACTTCTGCACATTCTGCCTTAGGTGAGCTTAAAAGTCAGGGCTGTGTACAAATTTGAAGTATTGAAGATTTTCTCAAGATGTATTGAGTACAACTGTGAAAATTCTGATTAACCAGGGTTAATGGTTTATGCAGACCATACAAGAAAAAATACAAGAAAAAATTCAAAGAAGGAATTTTCGAAACACACTGGCAGTAACAAAAGTTATCACAAGAACTGGGTAGGCCATCTTCAGAGTTATCAAAAGAACTCCAAGACATTTGAAAAAATCGGGCAAAAATTTGTTAGCGGGCGCTTTTTGTATGCAATTTTGCATTATAATCAGGTAATTATGTATGGCAAGGATAAATACCAGAAATAAACATGTCAATACATGCAAATTGGCAAATAATTTGAAAATTTCACTCAAAACTACCAGATTTTGTTGTGATCAAAGTGAATCACCACACTAAGTGATTCCATTCCCTTTAGAAGTTATGGAGATACCAGCTTACACGCAAAAACTCAACCAAGAATTTCTAAGTCGAAAAAGGGTCATAATTATGCAAAAAAGCAAATTAGAGTTATGGGACTTGTGCCAATCATCTTAGATAATCACAGAGAACAAGGTGTGAAGTTTCAATCCATTCCCATCAATAGTCATGGAGATACCAGCTTACAGTTACACGCAAAAACTACTAAGGATTTCCTAGTCTAAAAACGGGCATAATTATGCAAAAAAGCAAATTAGAGTTATGGGACTTGTGCCAATTATGTAAGAAATCAAAGAGAACAAGTGTGTGAAGTGTCAATCCATTCCCTTCAATAGTTGTGGAGATACCAGCTTACACGCAAAAACTAAACCACAGGGACGCCAACGCCGACAAATGGGTGACTGCATTAGCTTGATTACTCTGTGAATAGTCAAGCTTAAAACTGTTCAAACCCAGCTAGCACTGAAATGCTCTATTGTTTTATTAAACCCCTACATAGCGCACATGTATAGATAGCTTATCTTTTGGTAATTGATTATCAGTTTTTTACTGATAACACAATAGGTAGTATCAGAATGTCTAATCATAACACTTTTCTATCTATAGGGGAATGGGTTAATAATGTTCTTGTGACATGAAGTGCTATTTATAGCAAACTAGCAACCTTGAAGGGACATGGGTCTTGGATATCATATGTCATCTTGATGTAGTAGATATTTATGCTAAGTTATTTTAAAATCCTTCAATGCATGACAAACACAAAATGTTTACCTTCAGTTTTTAAGTGTGACCGTGACCTTTTAGGTAAAGAGATGGGCCTTTAAAGCCACACATCATCCTGATGTGGTAGACATTGATGCCCAGTTATTTTAAAATCCATCAATGCATGACAAAGTTACAGTCAGGACACAAATGTTGTTTAAATGGTGTACCTTTAACCTCTAAATTACTTAGTCTAGGTGTAATTATGACCATTTAGGTAATGACATGGCATGACGGGCCTTAGATGCGACACTTCATCTGGTTCTGTGCCATGTTTTTTCGTTCTGTCAGATTTTCTTGTGGAACGTGCTATGGGTTTTTGAGCAATTTTGATATGATGTTGCTTTGCCCAGAAGCAAAAATATCTCAAAGCACCGTCATTTTTATAGATTAGGACTAATTACGTGACTAGCTCCCACAGGCACTAGTCAAAGAATAAATTTTTTACATAATCTGCCTATATAATTATGTATATTTAGTTATTAAAGTATATAATTTAGTTAAAAGATATTTTATTGTATATATACATACATAAATTTTCACGATTTTACATAAATACATTAATGTAAATATAATAAAGGGTTGGGCCAAAAGATATAACAACATTATCGGGTGCCCATATACATGTAGATATATGTCCTAAAACACCCATATTAAGAATGGGATTGTAACCTTATGTCACCCTTGTCATGTAGGGTAACAGTCCTATAAATATGACGTTGCTTTGAGATAAATTTGCTGCTGGGCAAAGCAACGTCATATCGAAATTGCTCAAAAACCCATAGCATGTTCTGTCAGAAAATCAGGCGGAATGAACAAACAATTAAGACAGCATGTATTTAAATTAATTTTGACCTATTTATGAACAAAACTAAAAAATAAATACCTTTTGACAAAATAATTTTACACTGTCACATCTGAAAAATCATGATTAAATCCTCTCTCGTACATGTAATTAAATTCCTTTTACAGCCGATAAACAAAATGGCCACCATACAGTGCGCAAAATCTGTTTGGCTGATTCAAATGCAAGCGTTTACCTGAGTCAGAAGATTCTAACGGAATATTATTAAACAAAATAATTGCCCATGTACCGTTAAGGTGATCAGATATATTTTTTCCGTTAAAAATTTGGAATCAATCTGTAAAGAGCCTAACTTAACCAGTACGGTGACAGGCAGATAGACAAAAATAGATTCAGATGTTTATATTTTATTTTAAATTGATAAGTAGTCTACATTGTTTTTGAGAGTTTTTGTTTATAATTAAGCATGAATTTATTGAAAGAAAAGAAGAGAAGCTTTTGAATAAATGTTGAAAGGCAAGACAATAGACATTTTAAAAAAAATTTAAGATGCTATTCATTCATGAGTGTGGTGGTCCAGGGTTGTCATTAACATTTTTTGCAGAAGGTTTGTTTTGAACTTGAGGCGGTCATTTCTGTCTTTATCATGCATAACAAAGAGTGTTTTCTTAATTTTGAGGCGGCCCATAATGCATTTGAGACAGGCATTTTTGCCTCCTGCCGCCTCTTAATGACAGCCCTGTGGTCATTGACCTAACTGATACATAGTGGTGTTTGACCTTTGTAAAATGGGACATCCCAGTATTCCCTCAGTCCACATCCTGGTTTCCTGTTGAATGGACAAGCAAAAAACTGCTAAGATTAACCCATTACGTGACATTTACGCCTTTTTCACCGGTCCCCTCCTTTTTTGGTGTCTTAAATGGTGAAAAAATGCCTTATTTAGGCCCCCAATACTTGTTTTTGTTTTTTGAAGGGATGTGCCCCCTTCCGTTTGGAGGGTTTGAAGGGGGGCGGAGTCCCCCTCATCGTCAAGAAAATTTTGAACTTGTGAGAGGCTAAAAATGATCCCAGATCGATCATAAGGTAACTTGTAACCAATGCTGAAAGCATTTGACTCTATCTCAATCCATTGAGAAGTTGTGGCACTTTGAAATAAATTTTGATGGAAAAAATCAGCGCAAAATAGTGATTTTTGGCACTTTTGAGATGTCCCCTTGTTGCTATGGTAACAGTACATTTAAGTCTGAGCATGTTGTTGCAAAGGCAATGGTCCAGTCAACACTTGTGCCAAGTTTGATTAGTATTGAAGCAGTTTTCATAGTTTTATAGCAATTTGAACTTGTAACAGGAGACTTTTCAATGAAAACAGCCATTTTCACAAAATGCTCATGAAGTAATGGGTTAATCTACCCGATTACATCAGTGTGTCAAAGTATCCAAAGAACTTGAACATCTATGTACAGTAAGTTTGTTATACCAATATAGATTTAATATACTCATGAGCAACAGACTTCCCGAAATACGTCGGTCCGACGGACATGTCCGATAATTTTTGATCAGGTCCGACGATTTTTTAATCTGGATCGGTCCGAATGTCCGGCTTTTATCCAAGCCATATGTATAGGAAATGGCGTCGCTAAAGCTGCCAAACCTGGGAAAAACGAAAATCTACGTCAGAGGAGCGCGCAGAACAGCAATAAAAGGATGAAAAGAATAGGCCTGAGACAAAATTTAATGAAAAATGGAAGCAGGACCATGAATCGTTGGTGTATAACAGGGAGGAGATGAAAAATCCAAAATGCACTGTACGGAATGTGCCGATTTTTACGGTGAAAAAATTAAAAACAAAAAGTGTCTTAGAAATACAAACACAAGCTTTTCTTTGATTTTGATCAATTTTATTTGGTCTGACAGATTTCGTTTCGGTCCGACAGGTTTTCATGGTTTGTCAGACCGAATGTCTGACAGTTTTTTTTAACTTTCGGGAAGTCTGGAGCAATATCAATTAGAGGTCAAGCCTCGACATAAACTATAAGGAATTGGAATAATTATAATAATAATTATATGCATTAGCTTAAGGTCTTCAGCGTACCCATTTATATACTTTGACATGACGTGAACGCTGAAAATAACCCCGTAGGGAAAGTCCACCATTAATCCTGCCAGGAATCTGACACGATCATATTTATTCATCAAACATGCCATGAAGTAAAGTGAAGCATACCTTGATAAAACTATATAATTATAATCTGTTGATAAGCCAAGGATGGACAAATAAAAATTTATTACAAACATAAACTACCTAATAGTTTCCGACAAGTAAAAATTTCGGCACTTGGCCGCCATGATTGCCAAAATGTTTGACCACGTGATTACGAGAGTGACTTTTATGAACCCATGTGCCTCCAATATTTTTATAAATTACTTTTTTAAAGATATTGAAAAAGGGTGATTTACTGACTTTAATATTCAATAAAATCATATTTAAGTACTAAAAAATTAATGAAAATAAATAAAAACATTATCTTGAATAAAAATATCGAAATCATGTCAACAAAATGTTCTTAATATAGTACATAACTCTATTCAAATCTGTTCCCGCGAATGACGTCATACGAGGTCTCGGGTGGCACCTGAATGTCATGGCAGACTGTAGTCGGCGTAAATTGATGTTTTACAGTTAAATAGGCAATTTTAATGACAGTATTAATTAAATAATATTTTGATACTTTAATTGGTATATAACGATATTAAAATGATTGTTTTATTGTAAAATGCACAAGAATTGATTGGGTCATCATATAAGTGTATTTGCAAGTGAAAAACAAGAATAAATCAACTTATGTTATTCTGGTTAGGTTTCGTAACGGGTCTAATCCAAAACTTTAATGCCGCATCAGATGAAAAACAAAAATATCAAATAGCGGCTTAAAAAGTTTTGGAAGCCAGAACTAGAATTTTGAATGAAGTCTGATGTTGTGGTAAAGACTGATGCATAGGCCCTATCAGAACTTTCAAGCACCTGTGGACTGATGAAAATGAGAAATTTTAGATCTCTGTGTTCCGCATAGTATTGCACGAGTTTTTCTTAATTTAAAAGAAATGTTCATGGTATGTCTTACTGCATTAAATTTCTTACCTCAGACATTTCTAAAACTGCAATAAAATGCAAGCAAACTAGTTTTCGAAAAAATTGATATTCTGTTTTTGTAGACGCTTGAACACATGCATTCAAATAACTCTGATCATAATGTAACGATTCGTCACCATAACATTCCGCTACACTTATGATTCGCCTCGGATAGGTAAACGATTCGACCACCACAACTAATAGTGATTCCTGTCCGTTATTTTGGTGGATTTACCCAATGTCAATATACAAAAACGTACATTTGATGTCCCTGATATTCCTTAAATATATAATTTGAATAATATAATTATCCCCCAGTGTATATTTGTAATCCAAATTCTAATGAAAGATAAATATAAAATAGAATTGATAAATATTAAGTAAAGGGAAGTAATCCCATTAAACTGTACAATTAAACATGTAAAGAGTTATCTGATCTTGATATCATAATATTATACATGTCTTTTCAATATCTTTATTTTAAGAATTTAACAATATTGTGAACATTCATACTTTTTTCATATAGAAAAAAAATTGTCCCGATTTAGCAGTGGCTTAATTAAAATGATTGTATTATTGTGCATATATAATGTCAATGTGAAATATAGTGAAATTTCTGATGTTATATCAAACCTTTTTACGAATATTATGAGATTAACTTGATATATTTACGCTTACATTGTTTCAAGAAAAATACCCGTCATTAACATTACAATAAACCAAACAACTACCTCAAAGTAATTTCCCTTTTGATAACTCTTCATTTGATGACGTAAATAAGTTTATTGGCGCGAATATTTTAAATGTAGAGAAGATGCCACCTAAATGGCGGACGGTTTAGGAGAAAAAATAAAAAATATAGGGGATACTGGGGTACTCTGGGACATGGGGCACTGTGGGAAAATGATATTTTTTGATACCCTTTGTTCTTTGATTTAAATCTGAATCACAGAGATGATTGATCTTATCAAGTCTCTTTCCCTGCAAAAGTTTCATGGCGGCAAATTTTGAAAAAAATCAGTCTGGTGAGTAAAACTTATTTTTTACCTTTCAAAGTGAAATTCTAGATAAGACAAATATTGTTTGCAAATTCTTCCATATTGAATACTTCTTTATATTTTATTTTTTAATGTTAGTGTACTAAACATTGCTTATATTTTCTGATTTAAAATAAATCCTGGTCTTTTGGTCTTTTCAAATTATAGTCCCATAAAAATGGTAGCTGGGGTACTCTGGGACAGTTGATTCAGTACACTCTGGCAGTCTGAGACACTGTCCCAGAGTACCCCATTCTGTCACAGATCACCAGTACAGAATATTGTTTTAATATTAGGTATATTAGAGTTACATTATATGCATGTTAGACTTATAATATATAAAATAATTTAATATAATAATATCTTATATAATCTATTATTCATAATTCCTTTGCAGATGAGTCAATGTTCACCACTACAAAGTCTTCCAACGGAACTCATTTTCAAGATATTTTTTTTTTGCAGTCAAAGATCTAGATCTACTGAGACTTGAAAATATTTCTCAAGGATTCTAGACCAATTTGTTTAATCCTATGCTGTTCAAATATCTTGATTTATCAGACACAGATACAACAGATGAATCTTTTGAAGTTTTGATCAGAAAAAGCTAGATTTCCAAAAGTAAAAGAACTATCATTCCATAACTGCAAATATGTATGCGGGATTTTCTTAGGGCACAAGTCATATCTTTTTCAATCACTGGCTGAGTTGAACTTCAATGGAACAAAAATAAACAATGCATCTTTAGGACTGGTGTTGAAGATCTCAAGTCAGCATGATGTGTTACAAAAATTATCAATTATTGATTGTGTTTGTATTACTCCAGAAGTAACTGAATTAATTAAATATCCTCATCATTCTCTGAAAACTTTACAGTGCTCGGATGAGTTGTCTCCAGACTCATTGTGTCATTTTGTAGCTGTTTCTCCAAATTTAGAACATCTTGATACTGATAGTATTATATTAAATGTGCAACAGATTATCACAATTTTAACTCTTGCATCAAAGTTACTTACTCTACATGTACCATTTTCTCTTTTGAATGATGACAATATTTTTGAAATGTTCCCAGTAATGGATAAGCTGCAGTTGTTGAGCATACCATTTTGTGAAGTTTCTTCTGCTAGTATTGCTTCATTAATAAAGGATGTATTTAAAAATCTGACCATATAACTTTAAATATGGTAAAAACAGCAAAACGTAAATCAAATGATAATTATGGAAAAACTCAACCAGAGACCATGAGAGAAGCAGTAAGGTTAGTTATAGCTGGGAAAGGTGTACGAGAAACAGCTGCACAGTTCTTTATATCAAAGTCTACTCTGCAGAGGTATGTTCATAAGGCCCGTATGCATGGAATCAATACTAGGATGGAGCCTGGATGGGATAATCGTCGTATATTTTCAGACACAGAGGAATTAGAAATTTAAAAATATTTAATTACAGCAAGTAAGTTACATCATGGACTTTCTACAGTTGGAACTAGAACTTTGGCTTACGAGTATGCAATTAAAAACAATATTCATATTCCTGGGCAGTGGAGAGAGAACAAAATAGCTGGTTTTGACTGGCTGTATGGTTTTATGAAGCGCCATAAAAATCTAACAATTCGTAAACCCGAGGCAACTAGTCTAAGTAGGGCTACAAGTTTCAACAAAAAAAATGTCTCTGAGTTTTTTTGACAATTTTGAAACGGTAATGAATCGTTTTCATTTCCAAGGACCCTCTATATACAATGCTGACGAAACAGCACTTACTACTGTTCACAGGCCTCAAAATATTATTGCAGAAAAGGGCTGTAAACAGGTTGGTCAGATTACTTCTGCTGAAAGAGGGGCATTAGTTACGATGAATGGTGCAGTGAATGCAATAGGCAACTCAATCCCGCCCTTCTTGATTTTCCAAAGGGCTAACTACAAGACCTATATGATCAAAGGGGCACCAGCTGGTACAAAAGGTGTAGCCAGCAAAACAGGATGGATGACAAAAAAGCTGTATGTAGAATGGCTTGACAATTTCATCAAGTATTGTCATTCCTCAAAAGAAAACCCTGTTTTACTAATAACAGATAACCATGAGAGCAATATATTTGTAGATGCTATAGATACTGCAAAAGAAAACAGAGTGACTATTTTGACCATGGGACAGCAGTGAAACGAGCTGTTGACCAAGCTATAATTGTTAGAGAATTAGACATAACATGTGCAAAAGATTTCATAAATTTTATACAAGACACAACGTCAGTAAAATTATTCCAAATACACCAAGAGAAGATATGTGCCATAGATAAAGATGTTCCAGAAAACCTCCCCCTTTGCAAGGCACTGTGAATATTCACCAGGTAAAAGCATGCATCTTAATTTTTAAATACTTGGTATTTTGAATATCTAAGGACTAGAAAATAAGATGTATGCAAAGTTATATTTATGATTTTGTTTGTTTGTTTGTTTCATTTTACGCCCTTTTCCAACAGTATTTCACTCATGTAGGCGGGTAGTTTCCTAACCATCGTTCCTGGAGAGTTACACCAGTACTAGACTACCTTCCTCCTCGCTAAACTACCAAAGCATCTCCCGGGGATCGAACCCACGCCAGAGAGGTAACTGGATTAGAAGTCATCGACTCTAACCCCTCGACCGCGGAGGCGGTATAGTATATTTGGGGGCGCATGCGCAATGCGCCCCCAATGCAATAACGACAAATTCAGATTTACTATGATTTGAACACAATTAGTCAGCTACCTACGCTAAGCAAAATAGTTCCAAAACTTCGCAGTAACTCCAAAATCATAGTTCCCTATCTATTTTAAAATTGACTGGCCAATTTTGTACTAAATTTAGCAATCGTCTTTTAAAATTGTATGTATATTTTTGCTTTACGCGATTTTAATATTACTACGCCAGCGGTCGATCATAGCCAAAGTACTTGCATAAATATAGTACAAATTACATGTAGTCACAAGTTAATTAAGTGTCATAGAACTCAAAAATTTAGCAAGTAATGGAATACGGATTTCAGATCAGCTAACTTTAAAGCTTATAGGACCTAATGCTTCATGAGTGTAAATAAGAAAAACATTGCATGCGTATGAATACGAACTATTTTCGCCCTGCAATCGCCATTGTTTACAAGTTCATCCGTGAAAGATTGAGAAGGTTATATAGAAGTTCCACGTGTTAAAACGAGTTGTAAGTTTTATATTACAAAAGCCTTATCTCCCATTTACCTAACTGTTGAATAACTTTGCTTGTTTTGCATTTATCCATTTATCAGTGGCGAAATCGTCGTCAAATCGTTGGCGATTCTGGGGTGAGTGACCAGAAGCATTCGTTAGAGTTACGATCATCGTTAGGCCTTGGTTAAGCTCTAGTTAGTAATTTACCCTCTAACCCGAAACGTTCGTTATACCAAAAATACTAACGAAACTGTCGTAAAATAACGACTACCTCGGAGTACATGTTAGACCTTCGTTGAAGGAAAACAACGTCTGAAGCTCCCTCAACAAACTTTTTATGAGTATGTATTAGTTATATCACGTATTTTCTTCCTATTTTCTTGATAATAAGTCCTTGATATGATGTTACAATCTGTAAATGTCTTAATATGTTAAGTTAGTATTTATTTATCATTATTATTATCATAATTATCATTATTACTATCATAATTATTATTATAATTATTATTATTATTATTTTATTATTATTATTATTATTATTATTATTATTATTATTATTATTATTATTATGACTGCATTCATTTTCAAAATAAAACGTAACCGTACTCATTAAACTTAAATCAGCATTTCTTTCGTAAATGATTTTAAGAATAATTCCAAATATCTTTATACAAGTGATGTTGTTTTTTCATTCCGCAGACAATGGCCGCCATGCTGCTAGAGTATTTAGATAACTGATAGACTTTGGACACTTATATGTTTGAATTGTTCTAAGGAGGTTGATTAATTTCATCAACTGACATAGAGAATACAAAGTGACCTGTTAATCGCCTTAGTTATCTTATGTAATAGTATTCTTTCTTATTTATCTCAAAACAAGCTAACACTATTTGTATTGCATGTTTAGCAATACATCACATTCTTTCATGTATGAAATTAAATAGATATAATATTA